TCTTTGTTTGCAAATAGCTTGAATAACTGCAGTCTTTCGATTGGCTGATTGCTACCACAAAAAACGGCACCCTAATTTCACTCAGATCAAGATCCATAACATAACATAGACGTTATAATAATCAAAATATCATAAAAGGTGGCTCTTCAATGTCCATCCATCTATTCATTTTCGTCCGCTTCATCCGTTGCCGGGTCGCGGGTGCAGCAGTCTAAGCAGCTGTTTAAGTAATCCACCCCCGACTTCATCACTCATGAAAACAATGTCTTATCACATGATACAGATGTTATGATGAAATTCTAATTATATTTCCAACGTCACATCGAATACTGTTTTTTTTTTTAAAGTTTATAAATGCATTTATTTGTCTTGTTGAGTTAAAATATATACATGTTTGTGTAAGCTCCAGTCGTACATGGATTAGTCAAAACAAAGAAAGGTTTCTCAGGAAAACAAAAACATACCTATTTGATTTTGTTCTTTTGAAAGACAAGTTAGCTTTGTCAACAAACCTAACTAACAGCAATAGTAGTAACAGAAGAACATAAATACAAAAGATGGATAGGAAAGGAGATTGAATAAGGAAGCGGGGCGCGCAGACCATCAACGGAGACGAGGGGGCTTTCACCTTGGCTCACACTTGGGACTCACTTCTCCAGAGACCACAACACGGTCTGACGGATCTGTGAGATCTGTCAGACTGACCACATCCGGCAACAACAGCTGTTAAGAGACATGTAACACCATCATGTGTCACCTCTGACGAAGGTGGAAGTCTACCGCAAAAACATGTGGTAATTAAGCAGACCTAGCTTTTTTTTACTTATTAAAAGAACTTTCTAAGCATTAAACATAAGAAGACAGATTAACTTTTTACATTTAGACCTCACTTGTCATTCAAAAGAACCACAAAAACAAGAATGCATTAAAACAGTTAATGGCCTTAATGCATTGTGTATCATTCTTGCAATATCTGTGTTGAATAAATAGACAAAACTGTTTCTGATAAAAGCGAAAGCCGTTGCCTTCACCGTCTCAGGGTTTATGCAAATCAGATTGTATTATTGTTAGCGGGAGGAAAACGCAAGGTTAACCTGGTGGTACTTTGAGCCGCTGCTGAGGCTGAGGCTGAGGCTGAGGCTGGCCCTGTGTCACTGATTAGAATAAGGTCACCTCCAACTTTGTGTCTCTGTCTCAGCGGCTGCTTTGGTCTTCACAACAGCTCCTCAGCCAATCACAGCACAGCAGCAACACATGAAGCTGGATTTGACAACACAATACCGGCACCAAAGAGGGCGGCGGCTGTCGACTATAACCGAGTCATCATGCACTCTTTTCCTTTCACCACGCTCTCCTTAAATGCTTTTAACACACACATTTTACGCTCCAGAATGAGGAACAGTAATTGTGTTATGAGTGAGGTAGCATGTGGAGCCACTCAGAATCAGCTCTGTGTAAAACAAGCGCCACAAGGAGTTGGAGAGCGACAGTTTCACAGGGTTTTAAACGGATATTAAAATCACTGATTCATTGTTTATAATTGCAGGAGGGTGTAAGGATAGTGGTGACGGTCCAGGACATTTAAGGACATTTATGGTAATTTTATGGACATTGGTCGTTCGCACTTTATGGACCGATGGCTCTATATGTTTCTTATCATTGCATTTTTTGTGTTGAATTTTTGATCTGTGTTGGTAAATTGACAACTTTATAAAGTCCTCCGAGAAAAATACGGCTGTGATTTAGGGCTATACAAAAACTAAATTAAATTGAAAGGATAAATTTGATGCTTGTACCTGTTCAGTCCCTCCTAATGTTGTGTAACAGTACTTTTTAATGTACTGTGATTATGTATGATTTTAATGCTGTCTTGTTTTGTTCAGCACTTTGAGTTGCCTTGTGTATGAATTTTGCGATACAAATAAACTTGCCTTGCCTTGCCTTTTGTAACATAGCCAACTAGAAGCCTTGATTAAAAGAGCATATCTAATTATAGTGGCGATTTGACCCTAATTCAAACCTTAGCCAACTTAAACTTAAACAAATCAAAAGTCCACTTTGCCACGGTGTAGTCAGGTCGGTTTTACAAAGTGGAGAGAAATGAAATGTCCATACAAAAAGTGCATTTTTGGCAGTTTATTTGACAGAGCAAATGGCAAAAAAATCAATCAGCAGCCTCTCCCATGCTGGTAAAAATCCATAAGTCCCAAATGCCTCCACCTGCGCCCTGTGTACCCCTGTGACCAAAGGAAACGAAATAAGCAATAATTAACAACAAAAAAATCTTAAACAAATGAACTTTGCAAAAAAATATAAAGAACTAAATTAGATTGTCAGAACTGTAGTCTTACAAAGGCTACAACAATGACGCTTTAGTGCATGATTGGAGAGATAAGAAAATATACTTTGTGGTTACTACTTGATAATAATGTATCATCGAATAGCACAGTGAAAGCTCCTCCAGTTATAAATTAAAACACAAAACATGTTTAAAAAAAATAGTTTTAAAAAGTGTGTTTTCAATCTTTTAACTCGGCATACTTCTAGCAAAGCCATTCTTTCATATTTGGATTTTATAAAGTAATTGTTCGGCAGGTCAACAACATCTGTGTGAGATTTCAAAGCTCTCGGCCCAATTTCACTAAATCCAAATGATCATGTGTCGAGTTTCACTACAATATTCCAACATTTTGCAAACAGAGCCATTTTCCGTCTCAACAAACTATGTCTGAAGTGAAGCAAACAGTTCGGTTGTTCTTGTGGGATTAAAAAAACAGTTAAAATACATAATGTAGAAAGTGAGCTGAGATCTGAGGGTCTCTTCCGTGAGTATCAGCAGATGGAAAACCAAACTTTTTTGTTTTGTTTTTTGTTTGTTTAGGAAGATTCATCTTGTCTTTTTAGTAGAATCACAAGTATTTGGTTCTTCTATACCTGACTAAAGTAATTGTAATAACATCGCTAACCTGCTATTCTCTGGTAAAGACGAACCATACTTTTAAAGCCACACTACCAGGATGGGATCAGTGCGTTCCGAGTATTTGAACGCCTGTCTACCTTCTTTGCTTCTTTGCACATTCAATACGATTTCCCCCTGAGGTAATGATTATTTGGGTTAAGATGGAGCAAGAATCAATAATAATCCAGACAACAGCATGACAGAGCTTGTATTCCAGAGGAGAGAGTTCACATTAATAAGACACGCTTCATGGATATTTGGACAACAGCACAACGTCAGAAATGATCGATTCCGAGGTTTCACACAGAGAGAAACAAGCGGCACTCGGCTAAACTTCTCCGTAACATTCTCAAACACCAGAAATCAGACCTCACATTTGCTCCTGCTCTCAGTATGTCGGGCCTGTGTATGTATAATGTTTATTTATATTGTGCATTTTACAGACCATAGTCACCCGAAGCGCTTTGCAATGTTCAGATTTCAGATATTTTCACCATCCATCCACCGTCCATTCATCCAACCTAAGCAGGCACAGGGAGAACATGCAAACTCCACACAGATAGGCCTGGAGGTGGAATCAAATCCAGGATCTTCTACTGTAGCTGTGAAACAAGCTCTAACCGCTGCTGTACTGCCTGTGTGTTGTCAGAGTGTGTGTGTGAGTGTTGTCAAAGTGTGTGGGTGTATTTGTGTTTTGTTTTGTGTGTCTAATGCCTTCTGTGGTAGTGTCATGCATTGTATTTCTGTATATATCGTACAATCGTATGTTTTCTACTGCATGATATTGTTAAAACAGTGGATTTTGTGGCAAGTGTGATGGGGTTGGAATCAAATTTCAACCCCCGTAAATTGCTTCATCCAACCCCTTTTGAACCAGGTTGTTATTTGTCTGTTATATTGATATATTTAAAAAACATGCATTGTGCAGGTTTGGAACAAAATTAATAAGAATAAGAAACGGAAATAAATACATTTTCAGTTGGGCTGGTGCTTTGTGAATTGGGTGCAGCTCTGACTGCCACCCCCTGACCCAGAAATTGATTAAGGGGAAGAAAATAGATTTCTTACTGACTTCTTGTCTACTTTTTGTACAGACAGGAGCAGACACTTATCTTATTATATTAAATTATGCTGATTTAGGGAAAACATAGTGTGAGATGAATGAAAAGAGGTCGACGAATGCGTCAGTCCTGTCCCTACAACAGTGAGTTTGGGAGAAACAACAGCAATAGTCAATAATCAAGATTGCGGAAAACCAAGATTGTAATTTTCAGATCTTCCCATTATTGGCACCGTTAGTGAAGTCTGGGCCACTTGGTTTGTTATTCCAGGTGATTGCAGTTGACGAGTGGAGTTGAAAAATAACAAAAAGGTCTATTTCAGTGATGAATCTACCTTTGTCTGCCTCACCTGTTTAAAAACATAGAACATATTGAACAGCAAAACTAAGTTGCAGCTTTGGAATGTTAGATCAGAGAAAAAACATTTGATAGATTTGTGAGATACAAAGCTGGAAAGTCTATCATTTTGACCATAAAGGCAGACCAGGGGCATGTTATACTGTGTAGACATTGCTTGAAGCGACCATAACATCGATTGTCCCTCACCTAAAGGTCACTGGAGGAAGGTATAGAGAGATGATCACAACCAAACAGATCTGCTAAACCTGCCAATTTCCAACTATTTCTACTTCTAGCTGTCAATCGGCGGTGATCTAGTTACATGAATAATTCCAGTGGATGCTCAGACTGGAGGAATCCCCTTGTTGCCTCTCTTGCTGCGTGTTGACAGGTGATCTCTCTCTTGCAGTGCAATCCTACTTGTCAAGGCTCCCACGCACACGAGTGGGCAAGTCAGCGTGGGCTCCGAGTACGTGTCTGTGACTATGCACGCTGCTGCTGGTGCCAGAATGCGCGCTGGTAAGCACGCAACAGCGTTATTTCTGGACTTCAAAGAGCTGCACTGACTTATGCGCACACAGCGACTCCTGCCTTCTATCATAACAAGGCCAAAATGTGTTAAAATGTTTTGAAAAACACACCTTCTGCTGAGACGCATCTTCCCAGGAGCAGCAGCCACAGCACAGGGGACAAGCTCTTTGGAAGTCCGCATCTGAGAGACCAGTGCGAAGGCATGGTGCAGGAGGAGAGAGCCCGGGCTGGAGGAGGTGGTCTCACGCTCTCCGAGTCCCGGGGACAGAGGACGTCCTCTTGTGTCCGACAGAAGTGTGTCAGCGTGGCATGCTCCAGACTGAACACATCTCATAAGCAGCGCTCCTCTCCTCTGTGAGCCGCAGCGTGTCTGCTCTGAGTCCCGCGGACTCCAGCCCCCGCCCCTCAGCTCTATCTCTATTCTCACTCTTTCGCATCTCTTCCATCTGCCCCACATCCAGGCAACACGGTCACGTGGTCTGATATCAACTTGGCAACAGTCTTATTTTACATTATTTAACAACAAACAACTCAAACAATAATTAACTGCAGGGACAGACATGGACAGTTTGAATTCTGGGAAAACAGATTAATAAAGGAGACATGATGTAAAATCTACTTTATGAAGCTTTTTACAATGTCACAACATTGTTCCCTCAAAAACAGAGCTGTTGTTAGATCCATCCTCGCTAATATCAAGAACCTCTGGCAAATGTCCTGTAATACTGTAAGAGTGTGATGTCACTGTACCGCTATGACATCACACTCAGCGCAAACACGGGCAAAAGTGTTGCCCATAGATTAGTTTGGTAATTTCTCAGATGAAAAGACATTCAGACCTTACTGCCGGTACATTTAAAATTTGGAGGGAAAATAACAATTCACTCCCTACCTCCCTCTGGTGGCAGTATAAGGAGTTACAGGCCGATACCATAATTTATCCTAGATACTAGTTTCACCATATATTCTATAATTAAGTGATTATTTCAAATTTTAAAACATTAGATGACAAAGTTAAAAGTATGATTTTCAATCATTTTCAGGATCAAAATTAAGGATTAATAATTCTTCTTTAAAGTCAAGAAAGACGGTGGATGCACATTACTACCATTGGTCTACAGGGGACGCTATAGTTCAATACTAGGGAAAACTCAAGGCTCAAGGTGCAGAGAATGAACCAGTGCCAGAAGCTGCGATGATTGACCATCAACTTCATTTAACTTCATAATGCCGCAGGTTTTTATTTAATTTATTTTTTTATACTTTATTTTTGAATTTTTGCCTTTACAATTCCAGGAGAATGTCATAAACAAAAAACCTCACAAGGCAACATTTATAAAGCAAAGAGAGGATTACATAAAATAAAAAAAAAAAATAAAATAAAATGCCGCAGGTTTTAGGTGATGACGAAATCGGAGTTCCCGGAGGAAACCCACTCAGACATGAAAACTCCAACAGAGGGGATGGACTGAGGACCTCTTTGCTGTGAGGGCCACAGAGCTGACTATTGGAGAGAAGGAGGACATCTCTATCTGTTCAATCTTTTAAAGTATCTGTATATCACTGTTACTGTCGCTTAATCTAAAAGCACTGGAACACAACACTTCAGGCTGACAAATCTGCTTGTGGCTCTGGACAAAGACACACACAGTGAGAAACATGTGCTGACTTTCTAACTACAATTTGTTACTATATGGAGAGAATAGTTCAGTGATGTGTATGAACGTAAATAAATGAAATTTAAGAAAGTGTATGTAGCTTCCATTCAAATGGAAGATTAGACTCACAACATTTAAACTTCAAAAAATATATATATATACATACAGTACATACAAACCTATACGCACACCAGGTGAACCCATGTTATATATTTATATATATATATATATATATATATATATATAGAATGGTAATGGCGAACCAACCTGACATAGTGGTGGTGGACAAAGGGCAGAGGACAGCCGTGGTGGTGGACGTGGCAATTCCAAGCGATGGTAACATCCGGAAAAAAGAACATGAAAAGCTTGAGAAATACCAAGGTCTCAGAGAGGAGCTGGAGAGGGCCTGGAGGGTAAAGGTGACAGTAGTGCCCGTGGTGATCGGTGCACTCGGGGCAGTGACCCCGAAGCTAGATGAGTGGTTACAGCGGATCCCCGGAACAACCTCGGACATCTCGGTCCAGAAATGTGCAGTGCTAGGAACAGCAAAGATACTGCGCAGAACCCTCAAGCTCCCAGGCCTCTGGTAGAGGACCCGAGCTTAGAGAGGGATAACCGCCCGCGGAGGGCCAAAGGTGAGTGGACAATTTTTTTTTTTTTTTTTTTTTTATATATAGAGACGCACCCAGTACACGTAGCACCAGCTCCTCACTGATCCTCCTGCAGGTGGTGAGGATGGCCGCTCTATGGCACAGCCTTGATCTTTCAGCAGGGGCTTCAGGCAAAGTGGGGTTAAATGTCTTGCCCAAGGACACAATGACAGCAGTCATCAGTGGGAGTCGGTGGAGAAGGTCTCATGGTGGGCTCGAAACCCACGACCTTCAGGCTCAAAGGCCAATGCTCTACAAACTGAGCCACTGTCACCCAGAGTAAATTGAAAATATAAAATTCAACTATATAAATACACATTAGACATTTAACAGTGTGGAGTGTGTCCAGTGGTATGATATTATTAGGCTTTAGTCCTGGAATAGCCTGTCCATCTGTGGGAGTGGATATCCCTCTCTCAATGTGGGCCTCCCGAGCTTTCTCACTTTTTTCTTGTTATCATATTTAGATTATGTTAAGACAAAAGTAATCCAAAAGTAACTTGAGGCAGTAACTAAATAATGTCATTTATAAACTAATCTTCTGCATTCATCGATCTGCAACGATCACATAAAGAAACGCCTCTGGTCTGTGTTTGAAGCTGGCTGTCTCTGGTACAGAATGGCGCAGACAGAACAGAAGGAGATATGATTATTCGTACAGTACACAGCCTCAGTGGCACTGCTGCTCATCCTGTCTTGTCCTAATCCCCTGCGCTCTCTTCTTTACCCCGATCCAACCTCTTTTCTTTCTGCCGCGCTCCTCGTGCTGCACAGTGTGTTGTCTTCACAGATACATGTGATGGGGATAAGCCCTGTGCCCTGAGCCAGCTCTGCGGACGCTGTTTTACTCATCTCTCTCTTCTCTGTGCTTTCATAGAGGTCACAGTACAAAGGAGAAGAATCAAAATGTCTTTCTTAACACATTTCACACACTACTAAAGCAATAGATTCTGTTCCAAACGTTACCAACATACAGTATATGAGGCACAGAGATTCCAAGATTCGAGAATTTATTTATTTATCTGTTTTATATAGACACTCAGAGACGCTTCATGTGTCATTATTCATTCACTCGATACACGGTGGTGATAAACTACTGCTGTAGCCAAAGCTGCCCTGGGGCACACTGACAGAAGCGAGGCAACCAGTCTGTGCCATCGGCCCCTCCGACCACCACCAACCATTCACACACACACCAGACTCATTCTAGGCAAAGTGGGTGAAGTGTCTTGCCGAAGGACACAGCGTCAGTTTGGCACTTTACAGCCGCAGCCGCCCCACTGTGGCACCCGGTGTTCCGAGAGGTTAAGTGTCTTGCCAAGGACACAACGACTGCAGACATCAGCGGGAATCAGTGTAGAAAGTGTTGAGGTGGGCTCAAATCCACGACCTTCAGGCTCAAAGGCCAATGCTCTACCAACTGAGCTATTGCCGGTCATTGCCATCTGCAGTAAAACCACATTGGAAAAACTGCGCAAGACTACCCCAGTGTGTACCAGACAGAGAAGAAGCCATGATGTGTATTAAGGTCATATAAATAAGCTTAAAAAAAAGTATTGTCCTTTCATACAATGGCACATGACAACAGGCTTTTAGGTCACTGAGCAGAAAAGTGGGCGCCCTCTTGAATCTGCTTTTCAGCAGAGTCACAGAGCATTTTTCTGGCTCTATTGTCCAAACGTGAATGAGACAGCAGCTGTTGTTGTTCACAGAATAAGACACCCAGGGGTTCCAGTTGAGAGTCTATTAAAGCCACCCCCAACAATGCACTTACCTTAATTTCATCCTCCTTTGTCCAGAAACTAAACGAGACATAAATTACAGACGTGTAGCAGCGCAAGGAGCCTGCCCACAGTTGGAGATATTAGCTTGGTTTGCCTGTTGCTTCCATGTAAATCACACTGCAATTACAAGCAGCATAATCAGGCTTTATTGCTATAATTCTTGGTCTGTGTCGCGTCGCTGAGATGTAATCACGGAGAAAGTCCCCTCCTGATGTGGCAACGCGAACGCACAGCTGTTCTCTGGGACAAACTCAAAAAGCATAGAAAATTAGTGGTTGATTTTTTTGAGTGACCCGTATTTTTTCCAGACTTGCTTCATGCCACGCCACTCAGTGAGATAGACAGGTGAGCCATGAATATAAAACAATATCTATCTTTTTTTCTGTCAGAATGGAAGTCAGAATGTTATAACTATGAGCCTGAATGTCAAATTTACTGCCATTCGGGACCGGTCTGAGCAGTGGAGACATTGGTACAGCTTGTGTTATTATAAGAAGATGAAAAAAATCCTTTGTTTGTCCCACAGTGGGTAAATTTCAGTGTTGCATCACAAGTTACAGTCAGCAGGAATGAGGAGCAACACAGTAAAACAAGATAAATAAATAATAACTCCATTCTAAAATGAACAACATCCATCCATTTTCTTCGCCTCCATTTCTGGGTTGAGGGGTGGTAGTCAGAGACAACACAGCCTTGATCTTTTAGAGGGAGCTTCAGGCAACGTAGGGTAAAGTGTCTTGCCCAAGGACGCAAAGACAGCAGACATCAGCGAAATAATAACACATGCATAATAACTAAAATTAAATTAAATGTCTGACTCTGGCATAAAAAGAAGCAGAATCAGTCTGTATCTGTAGCATAATAAGGAAATAAGTCTAAAATCTCCAACTTTAGAATGATGAGGAAGCAAGACTTAAGTATAAAAAGCTATGACTTTAGCATAAAAGACTGAATATTCCAGTTTGTGTGTTTACATGCGCACATGTTAGCTTAGCAGCATGAGGGTATGGGGCACAGGGACTCAGTGAAGTGTAGGGCTGAAACAACTAATCGATTAATCGACGACTAATCAATTATTGAAATAGTCGACAACTATTTTAGTAATCGATTAATCGTTTTCTGGTTCACACGGACTCAAACAGAGCAAAAATGACATCAAAATGTAGTATTTTTGATTAAAACCGACTTTGTTTTTATAATTTCATGAATATCTGTCTGTCTCATCCAATCAGATAGCAGAATTAACACAAAGAGCCTGTTACAAACATTTACTTTAAGTTTACGCCATCAATACGTCCTCAAGTGTTGCCACTTTAGCTTTTTGTGATGAAAAAATATTTTTTTTCTACACAATTCACAGCCAAGCGATTACTCGATTAATCGTAAAAATAATCAATAGATTAATCGATTACAAAATAATCGTTAGTTGCAGCTCTAGTGAAGTGACAGTAACACCTTTGGTTCTATTGTGTACATTCTGACATTAGTTCAGCTTATTTCATGTCGACAGTGTTTGTTAGTCCTCATTGTTCGTTGTACAGTCTGACAGCAGCAGGAAGGAAGGACCTGCGGAACCTCTCCTTCACACAGAGAGAATGAATATGTGTTGTTTTGTGTGATGCAGTTGTCTTATTCTGGACGAGTCTGTAATAAGACAATTACATCACACAAAACAACACATATTCATTCTCTCTGTGTGAAGGAGAGGTTCCGCAGGTCCTTCCTTCCTGCTGCTGTCAGACTGTACAACGAACAATGAGGACTAGTAAACCTTGGTTAGTGGTTTGATGATGATGATGTAGTATATCTTCCTACACATATATACAATAGAATGTACTTGATATTAACCCGGGGATGTAATTATGATTGCACATGTTGCTTGTAAACGTTGCTTTACAATTTGTGTCTACATTTCTGAGGTCTAATACAAAGAAATCAAGTAAAGCATGCCATAAAGTTTAGATATTTCATTACACTTTGAAGCAATGTGGTTAAAGTTCAACTCATCATTCTAACATATGCACAAGTCCTGAAGCCAGTACTTTTATCTATCTGAAGGCCAAGCTACTGGCATCGCGGCGAAAGCTGATTGGACGGTGTTCATTCCTCCATGCTATATGATCACTTTCAGTTTGTAACATCTTTTGTTTGTGCTCTACCATCAACAATAAAACATGTCTTCTGTCTGAATTAAAGACACGATCCCAGACTTTGGCATCTTCTTCAAGAGTTTAATTGCATCTAGTCAGAAAACTAAACTGTTACCCTCGATATACACCTTTTTGTTTGGTTTTACTGCCTCACAAAAGCTTTCGTGACAGGTTTGAAACAAATTCAAGTACATTGATAGCTTGACACCGTTGAGAGTTTGGGCAGACCCCCTTGAAAAAGAGAGGATTCTTCTCAAGGGGCAATCCACAATAAATAAATAAAAAAATAAAACTAGATCTACAAAATAATGGTTGCATTTAGCACAAACCATTACAACATGAACACAGATGAATACTCTTTTCTCATAGTTTGAGAGCTGTTTCCACGATTCAGAGAAGTTGTGTTCATTCTAATGTGAAAACGTTTGAAGTATTCTGGCCTTGACAAACAGAATCCCAAACTACAAAAGTTAGGACCAATTCTATTCACCAAAAAACATCTAATTCTTTATACAGACAAACACTTGTAAACATGTTTAAATTAAATATGTTTTATATAATTAACCTTGTGTCATTTCCACTCGAGCTGAGCATCTCACTTGTGTCCAACAAGCCTTAATTCATGATTATTTATTAAACAAAATCACATATATGTATAAGCCGATACTTGAGTTTGATCCTAGTTTCTCCATCTCAATCCACTGGGTTTAATTTGAGGCTGGTTTTCTTTGCGCGAGGCAAATATATCTTTGGTTTTCCAAGTCTCTAATGTTGATTCCATTTGATTTTCAGGATAAAATAACATTCACTGAGAACATTGGCGAAACTCTTTCATAATAAATGAAGGCAGTAGAAAGTCTTTTTGCATTTTATTCATGTACAAACATTTCAGAATCTGTGTTTAATCCTTGAGCAGCAGCTTGACTTATAAAGTGCACACTGGGCGTGGATCTGTGTACAGACTGGAGAAAGAACAAAACTAAGTCAGATAAAAGTACAAAATGGTCATAAAAGAATGATTGAGAAAGTTGGGTGCACCTGTTCAGTCGTTCTCCTTCTTGAGGTATTTCTTCATGACTGAAGCAACATCTTCTCCCTCGCTGCCTTCTGCCTCGAGTCTCTCTCCCTGAGGTTTGTCAAAGCGCCGCCGGGGCGCCCCGCTTTGAGAACTCCCCCCTGAGCCCCCTGAACTGGACGACTCTGTCTCTGAGGACCTCCGACCACGAATGGAAGGAGGCAGTTCCCCAAAGTGCACGCTCAGCGCCCTGCGCCCTCCTCTCACTGAACTGGCTAAACTGCTGGTGGACTGGGCTCTTCTGATGGCAGGCAGGATGTCTGAAGCTGCATCATCTCTGTCACTGGCTAACCTGCGATTTTGAAACACTAAAGGTTCGGATCCAAGTGGATGCTCACCACCATCTTCTGTGACCAAACTACCCAACATGCACCGCCTGAGGGGCTGCGGGGAGCGCTGGGCTGAAGACACAGAGCGCAGAGGCTCCTCTGAGTCCTCCTCTGGGATGGACAGAGACGGAGAGAGGTGGTGAGCTGCTAAAGATGAGGTCAAAGAAGAGAGCCGAGGCAGCGAGGGAAGAGATGAGACCGAATCACAAGAGCTAAAACGCTTTGTTCCTGTAGACACGTCACCCATGGAGCATGAACTGGCAGCTCGCGACAGCTGCGGAGACGAGGACTTCAGGATACTAACAGGCCGAAGATCCTGAGCATCTTCAGGACTGAGGGACATCGCTGAAGCTCTGCGTCTCAGGGTGGATGCAGCGGTGGCTTGGTAAATGGGCAGAGATGCAGTGCTCCCAGCCCCATCTGCAGAGTCACTTGTGCCTCTTCGTTTACGAAGACCCTCCAAAAGCTCAGACAAAGCAGAAGAAGACGGAGCTCGAGTTAGACTTCTGTTGCCTGGTCCTGGCTCATAGCCTTCATCATCTGGATCCACACACGAGCTACACAACATAACACACATCATAACGACACATACGTATCTAGGTCAACTCTCTAAAACAAGTTAATGTAATGCAGAACGTACCGGAAACTGTAAGTACTAGCAGTGTCTGCGACAGACTGGCGTCCCCCATGTCCACTGATGTTACTTCCTGCGTCATAGAAAGAGCTGCCTCCTTGAGAGCGGGCTCTTGGAACCCCCAGCCAGTGACGGATGCCCTCTCCCACATCCTCTGTTCCAATGGAGCCCACACTAGAGACTGAGTCACTATAAAAGAGGGATAAAAGTGGGTACTGCTCTATGTCTTAAATCCAAAGAAAACGTGCCAAGACATGACTCATGGCCAAAACTGGGTTTGATGAATACACAGCAGTCTGTTGGTGAGTTTGCACTTTAAAAGATTTAAATCATCTTTACTGGTAGACGTAGGCAGATATGTATCTACCATATCTACACATCAGAATATCCTTAAATACTGTATGTAGCACTGAGCCATATTCTGGATGTGTTTCATTTAATCAAACGCCATCCAGTAAGATGATTACATTTCAAGTCGGGCAGTTAAATAACTACTGCATATAATGCTGTAAGTCTGACGTAACTAAAGCGGCAAAAGTAGTCGATAAATAGCCAGCATATTGTTAGTAGCCCATGGACACAACTACTTTTAAATTCTCTTTTGTTATTTCACAATTTCAGTTCAGTATTTCAGCAACACTGAAACATATTGTTTTGGACAGATTAGATGAAGGAATAAGCTGAGCACAAGCACATGACAACATCACTGTCTTACAGGTCTTTCTTTCTTGTTAAAGACTCCACAGCAGTTTGAACGCTGAATTGAACAAATGTGAGGTAAATATGGGAATTATATATTTGTGTATTTGTCTTAGTTCATCAGAGACAGTCACCTCTCAGAGTCGCTCTCGTCACTGGACTCCACCTCCTCCAGAGCGGCCTGCAGATCCACAATGCGTCTGATGGACGTCTCCAGATCGGCTTGTAATGTCTGTCTGACAGCATTCAGCTCCTCCACCTGCATTTCCTACAAACATATGGAAGCTCAAGGTTGAGAGGTGCAATGCTCCTGCACGCTCCCAGAGTCAGCTGTGTTTCCCTCTGATATTAGGGGCTGGAGGGCTATTCCAGCTCAACAATTACACCCGCTCAGGCTTATATTACCCCATCAGTCAAACAGTGAGTGTCCTATGGCATTTGTCCTCTCTAAAGGTGTGACCACAGCCTCTGCTCCACGTGATCAGGTTAGTCTGAAAACCGTTGCTCCTTTTAGATGACATTTCTCGAATAATAATAAATCATCTTTTTGTCTGTCTGTCTCAGGTTTACTAGCCTTCAAAGTTATTGGCTTTGTTGCCTTCAGACGAAGGGTGTGGGTGCAGCAGTTGTCATAGAGACATAAGCATGTATGAATGTGTGTGTGTTTGCCCATAACCTTGAGGAGACAATGAGGATTAATCACAGAGAGAGAGAAGGCAGGAAGAGATGCTGTGAAGAAGGGAGGATGGAGGAAGGTGGAGGCCGATTAGGTGTCTGTGAGTGCTTTAAAGGGCATACCTTTGCAAATAAATGTGTTCCTTATACGGCCGAACGTCAAGAGATACAAATAGTTTTAAATGATTCTCTAATGAGGCTTATCTGAAGTGACTGATAATGCTTTTAACACACACACACAATATTTCATAGATTTTAAGGTTTTAACATAATTACATGAGGAAATGGGAATAATTTGTATTTATTATTTATGGAATAATTCAATTGGCTTCAAAGTCTCTGATAAGTTTAGATGACAAACTTTTTAAACAACTATCAACTTCTGCATTTAAACTATAAATTTTATTGTGACAAATATCCCAGCCCTCTATCATTACAAGACAAATAGTGCTTTAGAGCAATTTCTGTCTCAAAAATAAAAACCCAGCAGTGAACCATTATAAATCTATTCAACACATTGAATCCTTTATTTGGCTGATGCTCATGTGCACTTGGGGTTTTAAGCATTCTGCTGATGGTGTAGCTGTTGCTATAATGAAAATATAATGTGATGTTTTAATGGTTCAGATAATTCAGCAGCTGTTGTTTTTCTTAATAACAACAGCGCAAAGACATTTTGAAAGTGGAGAGCATTTCAAACACTGCCTGAGGGAAGGAGCTTTGTACCAGAGACGGTATACCTTTTATAAACGTTTATCAGGCTAACGTTGTGCTGAGCTTAAAAACCAAATGTGCAATACTGCAGGAAGTAAATAAAGTTTGTATTGGCTTGGGAAGACTCAAGAAGACTTTGGTTGTTCGTGGGCTTCAGCTTCCTGTTTCTTGCAACATTCTGAGGTCCATTTCTCCTTTATATGTAGTAATAATAATAACATCTATAAAACGCTCCACATTTATTAGTGGAAAATCTTCAGGATGTAAAACGGCAGCTCTCGAGATATAGTTGTTTCTATTCCAAAGCTGTATGAGGAAAAAAAGTCAGCTTTTTGGAGTCAGCTGTCAATTTCATCAAGGCAAACAAATAATAGATATATTTAATGTATTTATTGTTTGATTCAAAGAGGTTCCTTTTGTCATTAGTTAAAATATTTGTTTTTGGTTCTTTTGAAAGACAAGTTTAGAAGTATTAACTTGTTAACATGTTTCGGCTGTAGAGCTGCGAGCCATCTTCAGAACAGTCACCTGCCTTGGTGACGTGTCATTTATCAGCTGATGTTACTTCCTAAGTAGACATGGTCAGCCTGATTGACCTGACAGCTCGTTCAGACTGACCACGCCCCCTCTCTCCCGGTGGTCTCTGGAGGAGGGTGTCCCATGTGTGGGACAGGAGGAAAGCTCCCTCCTGAGGGAGCTTTCCTCCTGTCCAAAGCAGGTGATTGTTCGGCTTGAAGCTCTGCAGCCGAAACATGTTAACAAGGTAATACATCTAAACTTGTCTTTCAAAAGAACCAAAAACAATATATTTATTGTTTATTTGGTTGGGACAGTGCAGGTTAATGAACACACCTCTGCGGATTGTAGCCTTGGGCTCATTCACAAACACTCATTCACCCTGAACTATATAGTATTGTACATGCTTTTAATGGTAGGGGAAACCGGAGCACCTGGAGGAAACCTACCACCTATTTGATATATTAGATATACAATAAATATAATGTTTGAATGAATGTTGAATTATGATATGAAATGTTTATTCAGTTTTCGGAGATCACTTTTTCTATTGTATGTTTGTACTTGATCCTGTGTTGTGTGTATCTTAGGAAGAGCACTTGTGGAAGCTAATAGGAATCCAAATAAATAAATAAAAACATGAAAAAAAGGTTTTGAATCGTTTGTCAAGCTACGGTTCTCGTCATTCATAAATCTTAAAACCATGGATACCAGTTCCATGCGCTTGCGGCTGCTGTCCTGCTCTCTCTGGGCCAGGTCGTCCATCTCCAGCCTCATGTCCTGCAGACGCTGGTGGTAGTAGCGGGCGCTCTCCCTCTCCCTGGCTTCAGCCTGGGCACTCTGCTCCAGCTCCTCCCCCAGACGGACCACGCTGTCCCTGAGACGCAGCACCAGCACCTGAACACAGCCACAGATGGGCCCGAAAGAATCAACACCGCAGACCCCACTGAAAGCTGGGGTACCTCGATTCAATTCAATCAGTGTTGTAATATTGCTGATATACTCTGATCTGGGATATTCAATTCGATCTATTTGTGTATGTATATTCCTAAATCACAACCGCAGAGGACAAAGTTGTAAATTTGTCAACAACAGAGCAGGGAATCAGGGAATCAGAAACAGTTCGAACACAATATGGAATAAAAACAAACACGTAGGTCCATAGGGGAGTGGGAAAACCAACATCCATAAATGTTAATAAATATCCATAAATGTCTATAGATACCTTTTTTGTTTTATAAATAATACATATTGAAAATGCTAAAGGCCAACCTGAAGGATTTACGCTTAGGGCTCCAAAAATGCTAGTTGAAATATTCGCTGACCAGACGACTACTGAAGTAATAGTTTGTGTGTCTTTGAGGATATGGCAGGGTTTGAGGCTCCGCTCGGTGGAGACTGGGACGAGCTGAGGTTGCTGAGAGCATTGAGGGCTTTTATCTCATCCACTGCAGGTATGAGAGGGTCAGACCAGCTCTTTGTGTGTTATGGCAAAGCTAAACGAGGCCGCCCACTCTCTTAACAACGGCTTTCCCACTTGATTATCTATCCTTCAGCCACAGCCCTCGGTCCGGAGTCAGGGCTTATTCTACCAGACATGTCTCAATCTCCGGGGCCACTATAGACTCGTTCTGTGCTACTGCTTCCTGGGCTCCGGCAAGAACGGTCACCAGGTTCTGTAATATCAATGAGACCAATCCGGCAGGTCAATCAGGAATCCTCTGACTCTCTTCCATGAGGTGTGTGATCAGGATTCTCTATGACATACAGTGCCTTGTAAAAGTATGTATACAACTGAAACTTTTCACATTTGGTCAATGATTGTATTGGCCTACTCAAGGTTTCTCTTTTATCCCACTGTTTTTTGTTTTTTTTGAGTCGTTCCTTGAAGATACAGGAGGGTCTAAGGACAGAGATGATCCAACACATTTAAGGACATTTATGCATCTATCGATTAAGACTTATGGACATTGGTCCATAACCTGAAAAACCACAGCAAAGCAACTGACAACTGTGAAAAGACACAGTTTACTTTCTCACTGTCTGAAATGTAACTTCTGGCATTAACACAATTCTCAACATTGTGGCACTGTACAAATAGAAATACTAGAAAGATAAATACATACTGGTAAAAATAAATGACCTAAATCAGGACATCCCATTTTCTGAGGCACAGAAAATGACATGTCCTGAAAACTTTACATATTTTTATGATTATTTTCCTTATTTTTACAGTAATGCTACACCTGTAATACATCAATTCTGGAGTCTATGTTTGGCTGAACTCTTTTTTGAATATATAAATAAGTGAACATGTAGTGTCTTCAAACCTCAAACCGCTTGACTTGTCCTCTCTGAAACTCCAGCTTGTTTTCCAGGTCACACACTCTAGCCTCTTGTTTACTGACGATGCTGCGCCCCACTGTGGACGACTCGAGGAACTGCACCCGAGACACATTTTGCTGGAGCTGCAGAGATTTGAAGAGCAGAATTACACAATAAATAATCCACGTATGAAAGTAAAGTGTGGGGTGTCATTTTGTCACTTACCTCTTCCTGCAGTGACTGTCTCTGTTTCTTCACTTCCTCAAGTTCAGCCTGCAGCTCTCTGATCTGAGTAATGTCACTAGAAGACTGGGCAACATTTGGCGTTTTTAGTAATAGCTACTTTGAAAATGTCTGTGTACAGAGTCACACCTGTGCAATGAGAGCTTTGTGCTTCTTCATGAGCTCATTCAGATCTTCCTGGTCCTCTTCCAGTCTCTTGAGCAGGTCTACTTTTTCATGCTGGAGTAAAGCCAACTGGTCATCCACCTGGACACAAGTCAAAAAGAGCGCATGCAGATTTTGCTCAGGTATGGCTTCTACATCCTGTTCGAACGTTCTGGCTGGTCAAGCCATAGTTCGAGTAAATATTGTCCTCAATATTAGAAAAAATAATGAAATGATCCATAGAGCATGAATTATAAGACCGTTAAGTCTTTAACACAGATCACATTTGAATCTTTTTGCAGTTGCTTAAAAGTAGTATTGATATTGGGGAAGGCACATATACACTTTTTTGTTTCTGCCTTCTCCTTTTGAACTTGTTTCTTGAAATGATATGGACCTGTAAAAAATACATTGTAAAACTGTTCAAATAAACTACTACTGCTACTACTAAACAAAAACATAAATCTATAATATATATCTATGTCTATCATTGACTCCTTTTAAATCTATTTATGTCAATAATACTAAACTTGGCTGAAGTCAAAATAATAAAGTTTGGACTACAGCCACATAAAAAGTCCTTTGTATTTTGTGTATCTCCTTGTGTCTGCTCTCTACTGTTCACATAAACACTCCAACACTGATATGTCCTCACTGTGGGACGAATAAAGGAACTCCTAATCTTAAACAAAATACACATCTGATTGAACTGTGTCCAAATTCATTCCTGCGTTCATAGGGATTCTCCAAAACAATAGATATATGTATATACTGCATGGCTATATGGGCCGCAGAGTTTAAAGAACTCACCACACTCTTCTGTTTGCAGATGGTTTCTAGTTCAATCTGAGTGTTCTCCAGCTCCTGTGCAAGAGTCGTGTGGATGTTCTCAAGCTCCAGTCGTCGCACTTCACTCTCCTCAAACTGTGCAGACAGCAGAGAATTTGTTACAGACCCATGTGAACGGTGAGACCACTCATTTCACTAAAAATCACTCCAACAAATACGTATTTATGACTGAAGCTTTCACTCAAAATCTGTCCCTTGGCTGATGTAAAACTAATATTCCCCAGAGTCCTGTCCCCCCAGCAGAGGGACAGTGGTGCAGTGTGGGTAATGCGGACCTGGCAGTGGATGCGCTCCACCTGGTCCTTGTTGCTGCTGGGCTTGTTGTCCTCTGTGTTGTTGATGGTGGCGATGAGCAGCTGAGCGTCGGCCAGTAGAGCGTGAGTCCGCTTCAAATCCCTCCTGAGCTTCTTCTCCACATCAAAGTCTCTGTGACCCACCTACAACACAGCGTCAACAACTGAGACACCCACAGGAGACAGCATCACGGTAATGAACTCCACAGTCTGTCCTTCTGTTTTAGTCAAAGGTTTTTACACCGTGCATTGAAACGATTATTAGCTTGAAAAACGGTTTGACTTTCTTTTAAATGCTTAAAAGTTTGTTAAATGTAAAAAAAGAAAAAAAAGAAAAAAGAAAACAGTCAAAAGAAGTGTGCCTGAAGGTTGTGGGTTCGAGCCCACCACAAGACCTTCTTCACGACTCCCACTGATGTCTGCTGTCGTTATGTCCTTGAGCAAGACACTGAACCCCACTTTGCCTAAAGCTCCCACTGAAAGATCTCAGCTCCTGTGGACTCACCACCTGCCAGAGGATCAGTGAGGGGCTGGTGCTCTGTGAACTGAGTGCAGCTCTGACTGCCACCCCCCCGACCCAGAAATGGATTAAGGGTAAGAAAATGGATGGATGTATGGACAGACAAAAAAAAAAATCCTACAAAACGCCAAAAGTTAGTTTGTGAAAGATGAGGAAAGTGGGGTCCCAATGGTTCTCTTGTTTATCCTCCACACTGAAGTATTGATGTGCGAGCTCTCCTTCTCCTTCTGTAGATAAAGTATGAGTTAACCTGAGACACAGAAACTATTACACCTTGGCTTCAAACGAGGAAGCCCAGGAAAATGCTTGTATCCACCAGGTGAGTAGAGAAGCTAACAGGTGTTACTACTACAAGTGTGTGTGTTACTTTTGAATGCGCTGGAAACGGCAGCAAGTACTAAGTAGCTCTGAAACAGTTATTGTCTTGCTTAACAACTGTTATTTTTCTTGCTTTATTCCACCTGATATGTTTCTGCAGTACAGTGTTCATGGTTTTGCACTGGTCTAGACCGGAGCGGAGAGGATTCATGGTCCGAAACAAGCGGATCAGCCGAAAATCCACTGGAGGAATGCTAACTTTTTGAAAAATGCTAACAAAGCATTCAGAATCTCACTTTGGACCAGAGCAGAGAAAATGGTCCAAACCAAGCGGCTACTCCACCTCTGCTGCTGTGACCTGAAGTGCTGCTGCATTTTAGTACAATTAGCTATTTTTAGAACTAGCTATTCTTTTTTTTTTTTTTTGTATGGATGAATGTGTTTCTGCCGCTTCTGGACACATGAATTTCTCCTACGAGGGATCAATAAAGTATCGATCTATCTATATATCTATCTACCTACTCTTAGTAAATTAGTTGTTTTAGCAGAATAATGTGACTCAGAGTTGTGCTGACGTACAACTCCAAATGCTGCTGTTTTGTTTGGTTGCCTAAGACTCTAGACTTTACAATTAACATATTATAACAAATCTTTGTTTCATGATTCATAATTTCAGATTTACTTGCAACTTTAGAGCCTCCCAGTTGTGAATGAAAAAACAAATAAAATGTACTGTATGTAACTGAAATGAGCTTCCTCTGCAGAGTGGCTGGGCGCTCCCTTAGGGAAGACCCAGGGCTGGAGGAACTATGTCTCTCAGCTGGCCTGGATGAGCAGGAGGAAGTGTGTGTAGATAGGGAAGTCTGGGCGTCTCTGCTTAGACTACTGCCCCCGCAACCCGGCAATGGACGAAGCGGAGGAAAAAGGATGGATGAACTCAATCATGTCAAACATATGTATCGCAGAACATTGCGGGCTGTACCTGATCACACAGTGTTGCAACAAGTCCTTCCAAGTCGTGCTTCTCATGAATCACCATCTGTTTTTCCTCGTACTCCTGTTCCAACTGCATCTCCAACTGTTTGAGCTGAAGATGAGAAGAAAAATCACCACGTTTTGTTAACTGCTTTTCCATTGTACAGGCAGTTTTCTCAGAAGGAAGATGCACAGCAGGAAGCAACACAACAATCCCACTTCTTTGAAGACAAACAATGTTTATAAATCCAGCTTGAAGTAGTGTTATCTTATTACTGTGAATATAAAGTATAGTACTGTTATTAAGGGCGTGGATGTTGAGCTTGTGGAGCAATACAGATATCTGGGGATATTGTAAACTACAGGCTGGGCTTTGAACCCTTGGTCGATGCAGTCTGTAAAAAAGAGCAGAGAATGTACTTTCTTAGGTGCATGAACACTTTTAAGGTGTCATCAGAAATGATGACCTTGTTTTATCGTTCTTTTACTGAATCTGTGTTTACATTTTGTATCACAGCATGGTTTGGAAGCCTATCCCAAGCGAACATAAACAGACTTAGTAGTCTGGTTAAAGTGGCCAGTAAGGTGTCAGGGAAAACACAGGCTCAGCCCAGAGACCTGTACAGTAAGCAGGTGCTGAGGAAGGACAACTCTATCATTGGTTCTTTGGAGCACCCCCTGAGGGAGCAGTTTGAACTTTTACCCTCAGGACGACGCTATAGGGCTCTTGGGTGTAGGACAAAACGGCTCGGAACTACATTTATTCCAACAGCTGTGAAGCACCTCAACAGCACATAGCACTTGTACAAACCTTTGCACTTTACAGCATATTTGCACTGATAATTAGCTTCGTGACAATCTCTCTTGTTCTTGTTTTCTTCAATGTTGTGATCTTACTGTATATGCCTGTTTTAGATGACTGTTGCTGCAAAACCAATTTCCTCCAGTGGGACAATAAAGACAACTTGAACTTGAAGAGAATTTACCTGGGTTTGGGACATAAATAAACTAAAACTGACCCGTCTCTGAGACGACTTGTGGACATCCTCCAGCTCCTCTTCTTTATCCTCAAGCTCCTTCTGATGCATCTGCTTCATACGCTCCATCTCTATTTCAAATCGCATGTGAATCTACGATGAAAGACATGAGTTGAGAAAAGAGACGGTGGTTTCTGAAATCCCTGACGACCATTGAGGCACCTGTTGCTGTTGTTGGAGTTTGGCAGTAAATTTGGTGATTTCCTCGGCTTGTTCGCTGGCCTGGCTCTCCAGCAGACGAAGCTGCTTTTTCAGATCAGGCAGGGATTCCGAGGTTAGGTCTACAGGAAGACTGAGGTCTCGGATCTGAGCACACAACTCATCCTTCTGCTTCTGCAGGCGGTCTACTTCTGATTGGGTGTCCTGCACACAAACATGCATAAACGTTGTGTGAAAAGTTTGAACATGATTGAATTTAGTTTGTTTTATCATAAAGATTACACACTTGAAGGTTGCGGCGCACTGTGTAGATTTCTGCCTCCAGAGAAGTGTTCTCATGAACAGCTTTGTCTTTTTGCTCTCTCTCATTTTCAGCTTCCTCCAAAGCTTGAGTCAACTCATTGTCAAACCTGTGACCACAAACACAGCACTGTGCATCACTCTCGGTGTGTGGTGTGTGCACTTGTGTGGACTTTGTGAACTTACTTCTTCTGTTTGCGCTCCAGCTCGTGCATGCGGCTCTGCAGACTGTCCGTGAGGACCCTGGCGTCCTGAAGGTCAGAGGTCACTCTGCGACAGTAGCGTTTCAGCTCCGTCACACTCCTCCTGGACTGATCCAGCTGAGCCTGTAACGAGGCCACCTACACACACACACACACACACACACACAAACGCACACGCATTCACATCAGTGTGTGTCCTTGAGAGCCTTTAGTGTGTGCTGTACAGAGTGCATCTCACCGCGGCATCGAGCTGTTGCCGCGTCTGTTTCTCCGTCTCCAGTTTTTCCTCTGTCTGTTTCAGTCGTCTGCGGAGAAAGTCCACCTCTGTTTGGCAGCACTCCAGCTGCATGCTCAGTTCACTCTCTGAGGACGACACAACGACACTCACAGCATCTTTGCAATTTTAACACATGCGTTTTTCAAAGTCCTGATTTCTGAATAACAGACTGTCACACCCTCCACACCTACAATCACACATTTAAATAATTATGTATTTTTTTAAAACAGTGGAACTAAAAAATGTCTCTAATGAATGTTTAAAGTTATTACCTGTCTCTTTTCCTCTTTGACTCTGTGCGATGGTAGATTTCTGTTTCTCCTCCTCAAGCTGCTTCTCCAGTGTTTCCATGGTGACTTTGCACTGCTCCAGACGAAGCTTGTATCCAAACAAAGTTAAAAAGATAAAATCCATGAACATAAAGTTTAATAGAGGATTGATGTATGTGTCACGAGGGTCAACGTCAGCAAAGAATACAATGATGTAACATGTAGTTTTGACACCTGCAGGTCCTTGTTTTCCCGGCTGAGCCTCAGTCTCTCCGACCGCTCCACGTCCAAAGCTTGACCGACCGCATCGCCACGGAACCGCTCATCACTCAGCTCAGATGTCACTGCTGTGACCTGGACAATAACAAGCAGTCGCATTAACATTGTTAAACAAGATAACAGTGAAAAGTCTCACCCTCATTTTACTGGAGGTTTTGTTTGTCCTTTATTTTGCTTTAATTCCAGAAATAATCAAGAAACTCAGATTAGTAGCAGTGTTGGGTAAGTAACACATTACTGAATACTAAAAGGGAAATTAAATGACAATATTTTGTCACTGCAGCAGGACAGTGACGTGGTAATTTACTCTGGGATTTGGGCAGAATATACTATAAATTATTCATTTCATCAAGAAAAAGGCTCTGGACTATGCGTTCCGACTCACAAGTCTATGTTAATGAGATGGTTAGATGTATTTTGTGGTTCCAAAATCTTACAAATAAGGGACACGGTCGAGACATGTGAGAGAGTGATGATTTATTTATTTATTTGTTTTATTTTTGTCTTTTAATGTTGTTTTATGTCTATTTGTCTGTGCACACTGGAGACTTTTGCTAATGTATTCCAATGTGGTTTTTTTTTACTGCAAATGGCAAATAAACTGAATCTGAATCTGAATCTGACATTTGTGGACAAATGTATTAGTTATTATTGCACTTGCACTTGCTGAGTCCAAACTATTGGTTTTTCTGATCTGTTGTTGATCTGTAAAGTTCTCTGTGACGACTGCTGCTTTAATTTAGAGCAATACAAAAACAAATTGAACTGAATTGAATTTTAAATTGACCTTTGTTTCCAAGCTGTAGGTGCTTTGCCGCAGTTCGTTCCTCTCTCTCTCAGACTTCTCCAGACGTCGTCTCAGAGCTGAAATTTCGTCCTGGCAACAGAAAAACCAAATCTCTAAAATAATGAATGAAACTTCAAGTTAAATTTACCAAGGAGCATGTCATAGATCCAGCCTAATGTCAACCTAATCTACAATCGACCTTATCAAATACTGTAATGTAATGTGTACCTCTTTAGCCCTGAGTCTTTCGTTGTCCATATTGACATCCAGCAAAGGCCGAATGCGACAGAACAGTTTCCACCAGCTCCACGGAGACACGGCCCACAGCGCCCTCAGGTTCCTCTGCAGACAACTCACTGCCATCTGCTGCACCTGAGCGCCACGACACAAACAGGTTCAGCCACTATTCCATTCTTTATTAGCAGCGAAAAGTCCAGCAGCTTGACTTTAAATCTCACTTTGAGCTTCCTGTATCTCTGACGAGCCAGGTGTCCCACACAGGCCGCCTGGAGATGTACCAGCCACTCAGTCACCTGCTGGTCCCTCTGCTGCTCCAGGTACTGCAGCACGCCTCGCTTCATGAAGATCTGAAACAAAAGTCCAGCGTGAACAGTGGTCAATCAGTGCATCGAGGGCAGACATCATCCTCTCACCCTGCTGGCTCCCAACACAACACTCCGTTTGTCCAAGTCCAACTCCACCAGCAGCTCCTCCACTGCCTGAGAGAACAATCCATGTTACCATAAAAACACAAAGTCAAATATTTGTTATGAATTCTCTCTGACCTTTCTCTCGTCGTGCATCACAAACATCGAGGCGTAGCGCTTCATGATGGGAGGTGACAAGGCCTGAAAATGACACCTGAAGTCGCTCAGAGTCATGTTATCAGAAAAACCTGAAAGACCGAGAGACAGAACAAATGAAGGATAAGAGGTGATTTTATGGTTGTAACATTGGCCGACTTTACTCCCAGTCAGTGTTTAATAATAGATATTGTATTTACCGCACAATTAGGCGTACATAAAAGCCTTTATTTTTAACAGTGCGCCTTAATATTTTTCATAAAGCACATTTTAAAACAACCTAGGCTTACCAAAGTCCAAAACAGTAACAATAAAAACACATAAAGAAACAATAAATATGTATAACAGAAAGCTCTGTTGCTACCTGGGGCTGAAAGCCAAAGAGAAAAGGTGCATCTTGAGCAGGGATTTAAAAGTGTGATTGTGCAGTTCTAGTGTGCAAAGGTAAAGAGTTCTCCGGCTGTGTTTACAGCAACATTTTCATTACTGACTTTGTTTATAACTGAGAAATGTTACAATCAATGTTGACAGTTATTTAAGTTATAGAGTTTATTATACAATGAGTGAGTTCAAGAATTCCATTGATTTATGTTTGAGGTAGAATCAAACCCAGCACCTTCTTGCTGGGAAGCACAAGCGCTGATTAAAATATCAGCAATATTTTGAGCTTGAAGTTCATAATTATTTAACTTATTCTGTTGGAATGACACATGTTTAAATTATAAACAAATAGTTTACACCAATAAAGCTTTAAATAATAAAGTTTTAAAAAATCTGTTGGCATCCAGGAAGTAAAGCAGAGTTCTGGAACTGATGATAGCACACTAGAGAGGGACTGAACACATGCCACGATTTACAGTAAACACATGTTTGACTCTTTTATGATTCTCTCAACGGATTAATACATTTAAATAAAGAACATTTATATAATTTCCATTGGAGTAGCAGTATTTCACTTTGCAACATTCCTATGACGATGTCATCAATCACAACAAGTGTCAAATCTGAAATGTAATGTTAACTGTGTTTGTGACCGGTGTAACCAGTCGCCTGCACTTCAGGCTCATGGTTCTTAAACAGTTTAGGTGAGTTGTTTCAGTGTGATGCTCACCGGTCCGGTACAGCTGCAGCGCCGACAGGATCTGAGTGGAGTGGAGCTGCACCCGCAGCGCAGACACATCCAAACTGGAGCCTTCAGAGCGGCTGCTGACGCACTGAAGGAACACTGGCCTGGCTCTGCGGATGATGTTCACCAGAGCGTCCTGCAGGACGCACACAGCAGCGTGACACAGACCATCAGTCAAACAGCCGTGTTTACAAGACACTTACAGCCTGCAGTTTCACTGCTATGCACTGCGAGAGTCTGCGCACGGCAGCCATCCCTCCACTGAAAGTCTTTCTGATGGTGCCGTTTCTCTGCAGAGAACGCTGGCTGCTCCCCTCCAGCCCGCCCAGACCCCGGCACAGAGGAGGCACGGAGATCTTTGGAGTGAATAAGGCCTTCACTGACGCTCTGAGAAAAACATACGTTTTGGAGAATTGAATGAAATGACACACACTCAAAAGGACACATCTATACCTTCACACGACTAATGTCAAAAATACATCATGTTTTAGTCCTAGTTATTAAGACTAGCTGTTTTTATTGATTCATTGCCTTAATAATCGGAGAGGTAATTTATCTCTATTGATATTATTTTCTACAAAGTCAGAAGTGTAACTTCCAACAGTAAGAAAAAAGAAATAACGTCTTTTTACGCAGTGAAAGTAAACTTGGAGGCCATAACTACACAATGCTTTGGTATTTGAACACACTAGTAGCAAAGAGGAGGCAGCTGCTCCTAAAGATGGAGTATAGACATGATTAATGCATGGTGTGGTGGCTGCTCGTACATGGTGGAGTTCTGAAGCACACAGATGGCATTAGAGGCAGATGGGTTGTTCTGTATGAGTCCAAACCAGCCGGTCATGTCGTAGCGGATCGGGTCGCCCGACATGAGGTGGTTAAGCTCGCATTGAAGGGGTTGCTCACACTGACGGACTGTAGGGAATACAGATTGATGTTTATTACACTGTCGGCTCAATTGCAAATCTTTTGTGCAGTCAAAATATCAAGTCTTTGGTACCAGTGCTGCCGTAGTACTGGCACACTCTCTCCAGGACACAGCTCTCACTGGAGCCTGGTGCCACCATCTCCTCATCCAGAACCCACAAGAGTCCTCGAGGGTCTCCATCTGCGGCTCTGATCTGAATCACAGAAAATAAACATAGACACACTTTCCAGCACAGAGCTCATCAGTTTGTGTCATAGTGCACCTGTGGAGGAGGCTGGTCAATGGCCGACACCAGTTCAGACGGGCTGTTCTCTGGACATTCAAACTGGACAGGGATGCTCTCCTGAAAAACAACATGTGTTAAACTCAAAATCAAATGTCAAATTACTCATCAGCCCAAACCAGGAGCACACAGTGACTAATCTGTGAATTGGCTGGTGCTGTGAATGTGGAGCATTTGTAACCTGCAGTCATTCCATTAGTTGCTATAATTGTACTGTAGTTTTGAGAGGTTTCCACATGCATCTCATCTGCTGATTTTCAGTTTATATTTGCTAACCCATAAAGAGCTTTACAATTGAAGGCATCATGATGATTATTACATGAGTTTTTGGCTGCAGTACCTGCTCGTATCTCTCCAGCGTGTGTTTGAAGGTGTGGGTGTGGTAGTGTTCCAGCAGCCTCTCCTGGAGGTAGTTGTGACAGAGTTCTGACCAGCTCGCTCCACGCTCCTCTCCACAGTGTCTGGGGTTGCGGATCCCTGGGGTGTCTGTGACCATGACGGAGGCCAGTGTCAGCTGCTGGCTGCACAGGGCCCTGGAACAACATTATCATATGGTATTATCATAATGACGCACTAGACTTATAGTCATAATAACCACTGTAGGCAGAACTGGAAGACTGATGGAAACATATGCTTTTTATTGAAATATCTAACCACATGGATCATTTCATTAATTACAGTAAAATATGTTTTATTGCAGTGAGCAGCCAAAGTTCATGTAGCTTATGCTAATGCTAATATATGATCCTGTATGAGCTTTTCTACATGAAAATGAAGTCAGCACAGAAAATGGGCGGGGAAAGGTGACAGGATAACACAGGATAACACAGGATAACACAGGATAACACAGGATAACACAGGATAACACAGGATAACACAGGATAACACAGGATCACTCAAACAAGCCTGAAACAGACGTGAGGTTCATCTCTGATGTATAAAATACACCTACCTGTTTATGAGAGAAACAAGAGCAGTAAATAGTTCTTCGTAGAGACCAGAGGCCATCCCTTCCAGACACTGAGCCGCGGTCAGCCGCGGGCCTGCGTGTAGCAGTGGTCAGTAAAGCATTTTATTATGTTTGCCATAAGAATACACGGAGAGGGTGTAGTAATAATACTAATGATGATAAAAATAAGATAATGATGGTGGTGAAGAGAAACAATTTCTCACCTTCATCTGATTCGAGAGGGGCACCTCTCTCTCTAGCGCCCCCAGTGGCTCTTTGTAGGAGCTGTCTGAGGTGATGCTTGAACACAGCAGTGTGTAAATCATCTCCCTCACAGCCCAGCACACTGCTGGCCACCTGGGAACTGTCAAAATTACCAAACTGCCTCCTGCCCACTGTGCAAACAAATAAAAATAGATGTCTTATGTAAATGAACAAAAAGTGTAGCCTTGTATTATTCTGTTCAAACAAGAATCATGACCTTGCTTTGGCCTTAATTGTAATTGGTGTTGATAATGTATTCTTACCCTTGCTGCTCCCAGCAGCTCCCAGATGGTAAATACCAGCCAGCACATGCCATATCGCCTTTTGTTCACTGAGAGAGAAGCCCAATGTTTCCATAGCACTCAGAAGCTTTGTGAAAGCAACAGAGGCACGCTGCTTCTCTTCAACCTGAATTAGTAGGATGTCAGCAATGCAGTTATTTTGTTTCATAACAACAGAGTCTCACAACCCCTGCCACAAAGTCCCTTTAGTAGTTTAATATGGACTTGTCTGTTACACTTACTTTACCTTGGTGGGGTGAACAATACCAAAGGAGTTGGTTTCAGGAAGTTGATGAAGCTGCAAATCTGTTCTGTAAAAGTAATCTACATTTAGTGATGATTAGTTTTAGGTGTCATTGCAATAAAACAGGCACTACCTAATTTCTGTACTGAGTCCTGCAAGCATCTGGGCAAAAACCAGGAAGTTACTTTCTCCTGGGGTTTTTTGACACACTTTCCATTTGTCAAGCATCATGGTCTGGAGAAGAAGAAATGGATTGGTCATGGTTTAGCTATAGAAGGCAGAAATATATTGTGTGAGTGTCCGACAGGTGGATGTGTGCCGTGCCTGGAGGTGTCCGGCTGCGGCCTGGCCGGCATGGTTGAAGTCTAATGAGAAAACCATTGCAAATCGTGTTGAAGCATCACTGTGAGGGGAAGAAACGCAGCCAAAAGACTTCAGGATGGTAAACATAGCCTTCACTCGATCAACTGGAGATATTAAAAGAAATTAGTATGTTTTATTATTGTGAAAGCCGCTATGACTCACATATGCTCACAGCTGAAGTACTCACCGCTGATGTTGTTCCCAGCTGTCCCTGCTCGTTTGAGTAGTGCGAGTGTGAAGGCCTGACAGGCGGTGGTCTTGCCGGTCCCACTGCGGCCCAAAGCACACATGCTGTGGTCCCTCCTGGTCCCCACCATAGACACATAAACCTGTCTGACCAAGGACTCCAGAGCAGCAGGGGCATCCCACACAGACTCCCCACGCCGAGACTTTGGGGTCTGGAGAAAAGATTGTTTATGTAATTATATAAGATTAATAATATTAGATTAGAGAACCTTTATTCGTCCCAGAGTGGGGAAATCTCGAAATAGCAGTGCGCGTACAGAAGTAAGTCGCTGTAAATCAGGGGTCTCCAACCTGTAGCTCGGAGGCCACCAGTAGCTCGCCAGCTCCTTACAGGTAGCTTGCCAAAGGAATCAGAATTTAACAAATACACTTCAACAAATTCTTTTTGACCCATTACATATCTATTATAAGTATAAATATAGGGTTATACAGTATTATGGTGTATTTTATATGTGTTCTCTGAGTTTGGTCGTAATTATTAGATCGATTTTTATTACGACAGCAAAAAGGAGTAGCTCTCTGCCTGTTTGTTTGTATAAAAGTAGCTCTCTGATTGAAAAAGGTTGGAGACCCCTGCTGTAAATGCTTCATAAGAGCAGCAAGTGAATAACAATATATATGTGTAGTGTAAATGATATACATATAAAATAAAATGAGGATTAAATAAGTTATCTTCTTTCCACTCCATTTCAGGCAGAAATTTTTTTTGTTGTCATAGGTTCTTTCAGGATCATAGCAACTGTGATGCTCCTGTGTTTGCCTGAAATAAATACATAGAATAACAGTTATATAACTATTCTTAAATTGCAGTATTGCACATAATTGTAGTATTTATTTACAGATGACATGTACAGATATACTTAAAGCTGGTGTACCTAACCTTTTGTGTTTGTCACAACAGAAATGGACTTGGACCTTCTTCATTATTTCAGAAAACGTGTTATCTTTTGCATACATAAGAAAGATCCCTGTGAGTCACTAGCTGCCGCTTTGGGTTGAGAGCTGATTGGCTGAGTGAGGGTGTTTCATGGTTCTATCTGGGGAAAAAAAACAATCTAAAGATGTGACCAAGGCCCAAAATACATGCATATGAAAATTAGTGATAGAACCAAACTGTTTTGTTGTGAGCGAGGAACTAATTGTTGTTGTTAAGATGTTTTATCTAACATTACCCAAGCTTTAACCCTTTAGGCACTGGAGATTTCTTTCGGAGGAGACTCAATTTTGACATCTTCATTTCTTAATAACTTAAAAGTGATAGGAGGTAGAGGCTTTATGTAAATTAGATAAATTATAAGGATGGCCCAAAGTTTATGTAGGAATTTGATATACCCATCTAATTAGCATAATATGACGTCATATGACACAGATACAGATCACTAGGACATGAACACGCAAACAGAAATCACACTGTACCACAATCAAGGGTCAGGGAAAAAGTAAAACAGTGAAAACCATCGTGTGGCAAGGAGTTTGAAGGAATTTTACACCCAATGGATTGTTTTAAACAATAAGGCCCGATTTTGATTAAAGTCAACCGTGGCGCCTAGAAGGTTAAGACATCAGGTTTGGGTGATGTCACTACCAGAGCACATACATATGATTGAATAACGTTTACTTTGCTGTTGACTTGCACCGGGGGCCAGAAGTTGATGAGGTTGGGTCCTGCGTGAGTGAGGGGTAAACCGGCTTTGGCTCGGCTGCTGAGGGTGTGCAGGATGCTACACTCATTCACACTCTGGAGGTTGCTCAGGTCTTCACAGAGATCCAGCTCTTTGGGGTTACACTGTGGATGAGATGAGGACAGGAGTGAGGCTCTTGAACAAGTGGTGGTGAAACAAACCAGCTTTTCGTTTACCTTCTCGATGTCGAACTCAGAGACATCGTGCAGTGTGCCGTCCGTCTGCAGTCGCACCCTCACTTTACTGTCCGGGAGATCTGGGGTGCCTTCATCTGGCTTCAGCTGAGTGGCTAATAACAAGCATGTAGTGAACGACACGTGTCCATGCACTATGTTCAACACTAGAACTCCCAGAGCAGTCAATATGACGGCTTTTCGCTTTTTTGGAGCTTAGTTACTCAGTGTTTGTCTCTTTGTGGTCTTCCTAAATGTGTGACTGCCTGTTTCTGTATGTAGTTTCTCTCTATGTATTTCATGACTTTTGTGAAATAATCTGTTGTAGTATTTTGAGTTTTAGTATTTACTGAGTAAAGGTAAAATGTATTCCAAATGTCTTACTTTTAAAAAACTGGTGGCAACGGCTTTTAGTATTGGGAGTGTAATTACTTAGATAGATAGACATAGATAGATAGATAGATAGATAGATAGATAGATAGATAGATAGATAGATAGATAGATAGATAGATAGATAGATAGATAGATAGATAGATAGATATAGATAGATAGATACTTTATTGATCCCCATAAGATAAGTTCAATTGTCCAGCAGTAGAAAGTAGTAGAAACACATCATCCTTACTAACAATAGTAATAAAGTGCACATGTTTAACTCAGACAGATCTTATAACCAATGGAACAAAGATATGTGCATAACTTTGTGACTTTATCTGTTTCAATTTGTAGTTACATCATTATTTTTGCGAAATTATCTTTCATTATTGAAAACAGATTTTGCCTCTTCCATTCATTTGAATGGAATAAAAATTAGAAATAAAAATTCAACTGTTGCCATTTTTGGTCGCTTGGCAACCAAGATTCTATTGCAGTTGAAGCTTTTCTCAAGGAGCTGGTTGTGGTTCAGTTTGGATTTCCACCAGAGAAGAGCAAGTGCTAGTTACTATAGCAACACACTGTTTACTTGAAGCCGCTAGGATTTGGCCTTTAGCCTTAGCCTTTCACAAAACTGTCTTTGTCTGTATTTTAAGCTTCATTAATGCTGTATTTTAATCTATATCAACCAGTTGTCAGCACTTAAATGACTTAGTTTTAATAAAATAAAATAAATTTAATAAAAACTCACTTATTTGAGATTTTTTAAGAATTCCATTGATTTGAATGAGAGCCATCAAACTGACTTTTCCGGCTGTTCCAGTATTTTGATCATTTTGGGAATCCTTCCTAGTGATAATGGATGTTGTGTTCCCGGGGGTTTTAGAGTGATACAGGTCAGAGGTTGTGTTGTGAGCCATATGATTAGATTATTGCAGTCCACATGCTCACGGATAAAGAGGGACACAAGAGATCTGCGCACATATGGAACACCACAGCTAATATGTCACATAATACAAGTGGCCTGTAGTAACTAGCAGATTATAAGAGATTGTGATTGGATTAACAGGCTCCACGCTAATCGCAGAGAGCATTATGATAAATGAAAGAGATTATTTCACTGTTCACACACAAACATGGGCACAGAGGGAACAATAATAGGCTAGTAACAACAATAACCAATGACAAACAAATTACAGGCAACTTTTGACGGGAAAAAATGAACTTACCGAGACAGTATCCATCCTTGTGGACGTACCAAACAGTTCCAGCTTCATACCAAACGTCTTTAACCTTTGAATATTTGAGACATTATTAACAAGTACATTTTTTACCACCACTACTGCTGCTACTGCTTAAAAAAGAGTTATTATGCATTCATTTTAGCAACGATGATGATGATCACTAGACCTTTTACTTTGTCATTTCTTGGGTTTGACTGGAAAATAATATCTTGAAAAAAATAAAAATAAATGGTGAAAGTGTTGTGGGTAAAAAGTGTAATTGTTCATGCTATCACAAGAGATTTCTAATTTGTTTTGTTTTCAAATTTGAAAATTACAGACTGCAAACTCAGCTATGTGATTGTAAAGAATGTATTTTCACCTGCAAAATTAGCAAAAATAATTAATGTGCATTGATTAATTCATTGTTTTAAAACACATAGACTGTATATAGATGGACAAGGCCAATCCACTTACTCAATGAAGCCCAATAGTGAAGTGCCCATAGACAAGATTTTTCTCCAACTCTCTCCCATCGACTTTCATAGAACAGTAAACTCCTCTAGCTCAATAACCATGATGCTGGTTTGTTTGTATTTGGATATTGTCCGTGTGACACTGTGTTTCAATATATGAGCCATAAGGGTTGATCTTCATGTGCACGGGAAACTCCATTTTACCTTAGCAACTATCATAGCAACATGTTTTTTAATGTTACGGGGCAAAGCGGACGCAATCGGAACAAATGCCCATATAAGGAAAACACTATCATGTTATCATGAAAGTATAAATCTTGTTGTACATACTGGGCCCAAACCAAGTAAAGGGGACATTTACACGGTCAGTCCACTCCGATTATATACAGTCTATGTTTAAAAGGCAGAAAACCGCTCTCAGCGTGATGTCAAAGTGTTTCAGAAGTTACAAGTTCCTGATATTACCTTTGATGGATTTAAAAGACACCTCCAGGTCTGTTTTCTATGAAGGGACAATATTGTAGCATGATCAAATTTAAAAAAATATGTCTTCTTTAAGCGTGCTTCGGTTTCACCCAGTTTTAATCCAATGAATGAATACCAGCTTATAGCAGAGAGTAACTTACCTCTTTTCTCTCGACCTCCACAACAGCACTGTCCGCCTGCTGTTCCTCTGGCTCTTGTCTCGACTCAATCCCGTCCACCGTCGTCCCCAGCACCTTCCTCTCTACGTCCTTGTTCACGTTCCTCTGCTCTGCCTTCACATCTTTCTGCTTGACTTGGGGCTTTTTGGGCGGTATCACGTCTTGCCTTATGACCTGCACATCGTCCGGGGTGATTATTTGCCTCAGAGAAGGAGATTTGCGTTCAGACTGCTTGTTTTCCGAGGGCTGGTCTGCTTTGAGGGACATTTCGGCTTCTAGGATTGCTGGTGTCTGGTCTGGGTTGAGGAATTGCTGCACCAGATTGTTACTGAGTTTCGTGGGCTGTGGAGAGAGGGTTTGGATCAGTGATGTCTTGCATGAAGCCGATAGTGCACAGACAAAACACACTCACAGCTTTGTCGTCTGTTTTGAGCTCCGGTTCCTTCAGTTTGGTCTCCTTCTCTGAGTCTCGGACCAGCTGCTTGAGGAAGCCCCCGGGAACTGCTGACAGGGGCGCTGGTGGTGGTACTACAGCGGGCACAGGCGTCTTTTCCTCCTTTATCTGTTGTTTTCAGTGCAGCACAGAGATTATAATAAGTATGAGATAGATTCTATAACTTCTATGAAAGCTGGGGTACCTGACTTTCACAGCACAAACACTATTCAGATTATTTTATTTGCCAACAATGGAACTATATAATGAAAGGTTTAGTTTCTTGCTTGCTTTTATCACAAGTTTTCACAAGCATGTATTCTTGGCCTTTGTCACATCTTTAGATCAGCTTTTTCAGACAGAACGTTTAAATAGAGAAGACCATCCTCACTCAGCCAATCAGCTCTCAGCCCAAAGCGTCATCTGGTACTACACAGGCCTTATTTTGTTTGTTTTAAGTATTTCTCTTAGAATAAATACAGCACGTTATGGTCTGGTTTGACTTGTACAAAACGTTTGGCCGATTCTTGTTCTTTCTTATGTTGTCCTTGATGACTTTTTTATATTGATTCAGGATGACAACCTTGAGATAAACATTGATTGTCAAATGGCCTTTCTGTTTGGTTGCCATGCCATCCTATACAATAATATTATATAATAAAATAGATCCATGTGCCAAACCCATATGTGCATTTGGAAGGGAAAATCTAAATAACTTTTCATTGCACAAGGGTCTATATTTACTAGACCATGAATGAGGCTTTTGGGAAGAAAAATCACAGTAGCTAATGGGTGCTACTGTATTTATTGGAATCTAGAAAGTCGCCTAAGAAATGAAATGTATTATTATTATTTCTATTATAAAAACAATATTATTTTTTGGTAATATGGCCGACTGTTTTGGCAGTGTCATCATGTAATCTATAATGTGTAATCTAATAATAACACAGACTTCACATTAGGGGCAGTTGTAATTGGTTCGGTTAGACATATTTATTTGATTTTTGAAAACTCTCTGGACCTTTATGCACTCGTAGTTTTTGTTGATATCAGACTCGTGGGTTGAACCTTGTTTTCTTTATTTATACAATTTCATTCAATCTGGAGCCATTTGAATAGTTCCTCGGCTCATGACTAATGCCTCTATCGCTTAAAGGAGGATTTTCTACTCCCAGGTGGATCATCAAAACTATTGGTCCTCCCAATTGTCAATCACTCTGCTGAAGCTTGGAGAGGGCGGTTCTTTCCAAAATTTTGGGAATATCCTCTTTTATATCTTTGAGTGAAATCTCTAACATTCAGGTGAAAGAAGCGAGGCTGCCTGTCCTCACCAACGCCATTGTCATTCACCAGCTCACTTGCCGATGCAGGAGGATCTGTTTTGTCAGAGGGTCGAACTAAAAGGACAGTGGTGATGATCCAGAACACGCAACATTCAACAACATTTATGGACATTTATCAACATTTATGGACATTGGTCAACTCCCCCTATGGACCAATGGATCTATGTGTTTTTTATCATTGCATTTCTTGTGTTGAACTCTTTGATTCTCTGATCTGTGTTGGCAAATTCAACGGTTTTGTAAAGTCCTCCAAGATAACGACTGTTGTGACTTAGGGCTATACAAGAATACATTGAATTGACAATTGAACTACTTTCATACTATAGATTTTGGTAAATAGTCGAAACTGGAGCGCCTGCAGGAGAAACATACAAACTCCACATTCTTCAGGCCTGAGTCAGCACAGTTTTGCACCTAATAGCTGTAAGGTGTGGGCAATAACCACTCAGCCACTGTACTGTACATGCACATATGATACAGACACACATGCGTACATACACACATGCATACACACAACATGCAGAAGCCCTGGACCTCCCTTCTGCTCCCACAGCTTGAGCCTTGATGACAGTGCCATGGTGTCTGGTGTGACTGGGGGGAGGGTGGGTGCACAGTGGGGGGTCGGCCAGATGTGCTTTCCGCGCGGCGTGAAGGTGTGCGTGACCAGACACAAGCAGTGACGCGTGGACCTGAGCCTGAGGTGAACACACAAGGACACGCTGATGTCACATAGCAACACGCTCCTCCAGCCGCACTGGGGAAATCCAGGTTTAGAGACAGGTTTGTCCAAGTCGAACAGTCCATGTTTGCTCAGAGGAGAAAAAAAATCATAATTTGATATATTTTTACATTTATAATCAAAACACAATTTTGCCAATGGAGCAAGCAGCTTTGGTTTTATTTAAAGTACCGTTCCATTTCTTGTTCTAATCTAAAGTGAGAAATAGTTTGGCTTTTTCTTGAATAATGATGAAAACAACTGCATTAATAATAATAATAATGAAGCATCGGTTTTATATAGCGCTTTTTTGGACACTCAGAGACATTTATTATTCATTCCCTTCATACACGGTGGTGATAAACTACTACTGTAGCCACAGCTGCCCTGGGGCACACTGAAGGACCATTAATCACTTACTTTATATACAATGATTGCACATATTACTTCCCTTGTTGGCTATTTGACCAGTCTGACCAAGGAAGGACAATACAGGTTTTTAAATATATATATATGTAATTTTAAAAACAAGTCTGTAACTACACTCGGGTAAGTTACGAGTTATATCTGTGGAGAAGCCAGTCTTCTCACTGTACACAATTCTATGCTTTAAACACAAACATAATCCATAATTGATGAGCGTCATTTCAAGCAAAACCATAAAAAAATCAATCCAAGAAGCAGGTTTTGGGCCACTTCACAAAAAAGTGTGTCACCGCAGGACAGAGGCCAACATGTAGAAATCAAAATAGATCCAAATGTTGTTGATGAGTTCGTCCTAATTACGAAATCACTGCAAAAGTAGCATCACACGTGTTTGTTATTTGAGTTGCCAGTTTCTTTAGTGAAATCCTGAATAACTGTATGCTTAATATGGTCAGAAAAATCAGGTTTAGACTGTATTCTTAAATTTCTAAAACCAGAAAGAGAAAAAGACTACATACTGTTCCTTTAACAGCATCTCATGTGGAACTTTTACAAACTGATTCCTCACTTGACTATTTCTCACTCTCATGTTTCAGTCTGGGGCTTTCTTGTGTCGGTCTAGAAAACAGCTCCCAATTAATAAACAGTCAACAGAAGTCTCCCCTTTATGAACAAATGTAAGCATACTGTATTAACCACTTCAAATCACATTGACGTGAAAATCGGTTCACTTTCTGTTCACTTTTATTCTAGCTCTACCAAGATCAAACCCAGACAAAAGAAAATCCCCATGAACGGCAAATCGATATGTATCACAACACCTTTAAAACACTATGGATTTATTGTGGTGGTGCTATGGACAGAAATAACACCATTGACCTAGATTGTACTTTCTGAAGAAACCATTTTTGTTTTCATATTTATATAATTGTCTGTCAGCAAAAAAACACACTCAATAAATAATAAAACACATGACCCAAATCCTGCCTGTGTGGAGGCAGAGGCAATGTCACATCACACCCTGCACACTTGGGCCTGAGCTCATCGTAAAAATAGCCCCAAAAATGTCGTTACATTGACGTGTACAGTAGAGGAACCAAAACACACACACAATACACACAAATACGTACCTTCCAAGATCCAAATAAAGAGTATTTTCACACTTGTTGAGGGCCAAACTGGAGGCCTTCTGTCCCACAAACACCAGCAGACACACACGGCAGCAGACTGTAGGGGCATGGAGCAATAGGGTCAGAAATAGAGTAGATCTCCCCCTCTCCCTCACACAAACACTGGCTATAAATATACTGATGGACGGGGGGTTGAGCAGAGTGACCCGTTTAAAGGATGACTTCAAGGAGATCAGAGTTTTGCCCTCATGTGGTGTATGAAGATAAAACTGAGTCAGGTGTGTGGATGTAAAGGGCCGTCGTGTTGGGAATAAAACATATTCTGACCACAGAGTGAAAAGCACAGTTGTGGATTAGTAGTCAGCTGTTTGGTGTGACTGACAGCTGCAGCTGAGGAGGCGGGGTCTGTTTGGGAGGCGCATGGTGATATACACACACATAGTAGTTTCTTGGTTTAAAATATATATTTTTTACAAGCCTTTAGTGGGAATGTGATGCATTTTCACATCTTTAGCTGGTGGACTATGGAAAAGCAATAACTTCTAACCTTACACACACCCACTGGGTTTTTGAGTCATCACTTGCGGTCTAAGGACACTGATGATCCAGGACATTTATGAATATATGTTGTTTGGAACCGTTTGATTCTCTGATCTGTTGTTGAGGAAACGACAACTTTGTAAAGTCTGCTCTCGTGATTTAAAGCTATGTACCAAGATCAACTGAATTGAACTACACCCATGTTTTCTTTTAAAACAATTGAAATAATACAACATAAAAATAAATCTAGTTCCCATTCTCTACATGTGATATATCTGAAAGAAATAAGCAAACGTAACAATATTTGCCCAATGAATTTTGAATGTATGCATTGTTTTTTCCTTTTATTTGTGTATTTATTGGGACACCTTGACATACACCATAAAGCACATTTATCTTTCATAACAGAAAAAATATTAAGATGTTTTAATAATATTTGAGGATTTTAATGGGATCTGCCTGGAGCTTTTTCCTTTGTTACATCTCTTCAAATCGCAAAACCAGTGACATTTGTTTCAGCTGAAAGGGGAAGTGTAAAAACCCCACAAGTGGTGACTCTGACACTAGACACCATTGCTACCCTCCATCATATTTACCATAAAAATGACCTGTCTGTGCACATTGTTCCTTCTTATAATAAGAGCAAATATTTCATCAAAGGCCAAAAAGACAGGGCCGATTGCTCGTGCTCCAAAAGGGTTCTCAGTTTGATTTGTGGAAGAAAAAGGTCAGCGTTGTGAAGTGGTACGATTGAATCATAAGAACAGGTTCTGCAGATATTTGGTGTCACTTTGAAAGTAAAGGAACTTATGTTACACCAAAGAAAAACACTTGACAAAGTGCAACACGGGAAAAAAGGATTTTATTTATGAACTGTTTGCACAAGCAGTCCAACACGCAACTTCCTGTTTTGAAAACCAAAAGAACAATTGAAGTGAAATAAAATTAATTTAATTGTTGAATAATATCACTTATATTTCAGCATCATCATAACCTGAATGGCAATAACCTAGAGCCAGTAGTACTTGTGTGTATAACAATGAAGAGGAGATTGTGTTGGGTGTAAACCGGAGGATCTACCACCATCGTCTCCACACACTCCACAATAAATATGAAAGAGTCTGGTATTTGAACAAAAATATTCATCTGTTACTCCAGGTACAATATCTTAAGTCTTTATGTGCAAGGTTTGAGCTGGACTCATAACAACAAACATAGAATCACATCAAACCCCTGACATCCTCGCAACAATTTGTTTTCTACATCATTTTTTAAATAAACCTAGAGAACTTCTCATTTCATATTATACACATATATTTATATATACCTTTAATTTTTCCTATATTCCACACCCTTTAAATTGTCTTGTGTTGATCCGGTATCCGGGCAGATTTGTGTACAAACACAAGATTTAAGTAGTTCACGGAGCACATCAGCACACATCTGCTCGCACATACATACAGAGGTGAACGGGTGAAAGTTTCATGGCAACTTGGTCGAGGCCTGACGCGGCAGACGCTGAGTCCTGGACAGAACACACTGGTCACAGTTTTGCACCCTTCACTGCTGCTGACTGAACTGCTGACCACACAAGTTCACTGAGCGGCCCAAAGTCCACTCCCCGTTCACATCAAGCTTCCAAAGTTATTTGGCACATTTAATCACAAATAAGTAACACAGTGGGCTGAAAGGTGCAACAACTTGAATTTCAAACAATAAAACAACAAAACCATTTTGGTTTATAGAATTAAAAAAACACCTTGAAAAGGTGACACATTTTTCTAAAAAAACAAAAACTCTCCCCTGAATGAAAATATTAAAAATATAACCAACAAAAATGCACCCCAATTGAACCTTATTCCCTGCACAGTCAAACAGTGATCTGGAAATGCATCCACACTAATGTGAAGTGATATATCCGACATGCGTCCTCTCAAAGTTAGACTCTCCTCCGAAGCATCAACTCAAATACTTCCAACTCCAGTTACTTAGAAATCATTTGTAAATCTGATGACCCCAATTTCATAAAAATATATGCATTCTTTTGCTGAGGTTAAAGAAATCTAAATAGTTGACAAAATGGACAATAAAATCTTAAGACGACATACAGTGCATTTAGAAAGTAGAGGTTGAATACTTTCTGAATGCACTGCACCCCAGGTAGAAATCCCAACAATTGTTAGATATTTACATTAAGAAACTAAAACACTGGGAATGTGGGAATGAGGAACTTGTGATATGAAAAACGGGTCCCACACAGTTGCAAGAACAATGAACCCAAAGGTTTATCCAAACTAACACAACTGTACGATCCCATCCTTGTGTCTTTTGTTATTTGATCTGATTTTACTTAAAACATTGTGTTTAAAATAATGGAATAATGTGGAATACAGTAAAAATAGTTTGAATTTTACTTGGAAATGTCTGTTTTTGAATGTTCAATAGAAATATGAATATATAGAGTTTGTATAGTTTCTTGCAACTGTATACCAAGGCATTGTGCTTTAATAATTATCAACTGATTGAGTTTGTGTTTAAAGATGTAAAAAAAATACCTTGGACCCATAAAACCAACAATAACAGTAGTGAGAGTAAACAATGTTTTCTTTTTACATTTAGCGCAAGCGGTTTTTGATTGACATTATGGAAATGAATTAACAAATTTAAGTCAAGGCAAAAAGAGTGCAAAAAGAATAACACTTCAAACCTTCATATGAAAACGAAACTAGAAATGCCCCTAAAATGTGTTGAATGGATTCAAGAGTGGAATATCTCTAACCTTCAAGAGGTCGTCTTCATACTCAAAACCAGAGGTGGGTTGTTTTTCATATTGATCGACACAATGCCAATCATACATTTTGGACGTGCACAGAGAAAGAACATCTGGCCCATTGAAAGAAAAGCCATCTCCATCGGTCGAGCTAAACTGACCGCTGTCCGAACACGTCTGCTGCGAGTGTTGCTCCCACCCACAGAGACTGACACAGGCCAACGATTTGAAAAAGCCCACACATGTACGACTCACGGCAGGCAGACAAGAGAGGTCTTTGATGATGCACACACATTGTAGCATAGACTGAAACACTAATACTTATGTACACACTCACAGTTCTCCCTGTTCTCCTCAGAGTGTCGTCCACGTTACAATGTTGTCCTTGGAAGTGCACCCAATGGAAGTGCAGTCTCCATAGTAACCGGCTATCCGAGGACCAATCGGCGCAGTCTGTGGTCCGGGCACTTCCTGTTGATGGAATGATTGGGCCTGGAGTGCGCAAACCCTGCTCTCTCTCTCACTCTCACCCCCTCTCCGTTTTGCTCTCAGTCTCTGGTGAGTTTGTGGGCAAAAAGAATCACCAGCAGCATGTTGTGTGTCCGTTGTGTCTCCAGTACGAATCAATATTGGCACTTCACGCACTTCACTTGTGGAGGGGAGGAATGGTTATAGACACAATGGACATTTTGAGCAGCCTTATTTTTCTAAGTTTGGCCATTCAAAAATACACATATACATACGAAATACTTGCCATGTCCTTCTTCGGCTGGTCCACCGTAAAGCTGGTTTTCGATATGAGCCTCCTGATTTTGACTTGGGTAGAAAGTGTAAGGGGGGGGGGAATAGTCGAAAAGGTAAAGCAAAAACACAAAGCCAAGGGAGCTCTTTTTTTCCCCTGGACTTCACTCAAGAGGCCATTCACATGCTCAGACCTCTAAATAAGACATCCAGCTCTCGTCCACCACGGCGATGCCTGTCCAAGTTCCCCCCCACGGTGGTGCAAACAAGAGATATTTGGTCACAAAGCTGGCTGTGTGCCGCACGTCCGTAAACACACACACACGCACGCACGCACGCACACAGGAGACGGGCTCCGGAAGGTGGACAGGGTCAGGTCCTAGTGTCCTGAGGCGAGAGTGGGTGATCGGGGAGAAGTGTGCAGTGTGTAGGTCAGACTGTGCGTGCGGATGGACGTGATCGGTGGGTTCACAAGCCGTTACTGTTGCGGTGTGTGAGGGGAGGTTTGGACAGCTCCACCACTCCGGCTCTGCCTTTGCCGATGACTTTGGGGGCGCGACGCAGCAGCTTCTGTGCCTCTGTAAACGCTTCGGTCAGCTCTTTTTTCCACTGCACAAACTCCGGATCGCTCTAGACCAGCACCAACGACAAACACAAATCAGGGGGTTTAAGTTAAAAGTGTCATAGAAAGATAAGATAGATATTCAGTGATTGTGGATGTATTGAACGCCTTTGGGTTACCTCACACTGCAGGACGAACTGCTTGCCGCCTTTGATGCGCAGGAGGATACATTTCTTGTCTTTTATCTGCGTTTCTTCCACCGTCACTATTTGCTCCATCGTCAGCAGGTTTTGCTGGAAGGAAACAGGCCGATGAGTGCGGGCATTGGCGAGGAATACCATCTGATATCGCTCTAACGCGTGAACGGAGTCACTACAGGAGTCAACATGAACAAGTCAAGGTGCACTGCTACGCGTACGTACGGCGCGATAAATCTTTAGATTACGTGAAATGGGCTTGTGCCAAAAAATGCCCAACACTACTGTGGCTTCTATCGGTGTATTGCACTCAAAACATTTATTTTTTTAACAGAATTTTTATCCACCAACTATAATGAGCAGTAGTGTTGGGCATTAACATTACTACTATGGAGACTAGCTGAATCCCTCTAACTCTACATATCTGTCTTTGAGTGTAACGTCTCTCTGCATTGTCCCTTCAAATATAGACTAAACTAAACATAATTTTGGAAAACTAACAAGGAATCTAACTAGGTACTTTGGGCTAACCCTGTTATAGTTGCTGCCAGTGTAATGGGGTTGAGCCGGAGTGAACACTAGGGCCCAGGAAGAATCATCTCTGGATCAAAAAAAGGGTGCGACTGTGTATAAACAGCCAGCGCTCTGGAGTTTTGCCGAGTCCTCCCATTGGTTTACTACAAATACAATTCCATTTTTACAATGTTTGTGATTTTACTGTGTCCAATCCCCCCCAGTGGAACAATACAGAGAACTTAGAACTTTGATTTCATTCACAGGAGGTAGAGAAAGCAAATTGACGTTACAGAAGTAAGCAGTGCCTGGTTTAATTGGTTTAGTGAGGCACCTTTACACAAGTGTATTTTGTTTTGAAGATACATCACATTTTTGAGGACTAATATTGGGAGTAGAAGCAGACGATAACACAGGAAGTGAGACAAGAATGCATAGGCGTGTTTTTTTTCTGATATCAGTGGTTTTGGTGAATAGGTTGGTGCACTTATATATGTGCAGCCTAAAGGGGACTGTTATTGAAAGTTTATTCTACATTAAACAGTAAAAAAATATATATATATTTAAGAAAAAGTTGGTCGATAAATGGTAACTTTCACTGCTCAGTAACACAATTACAAATGCAATTACTTTTGCGGTGGTAACTATAGTAACTAGATCTATTTTTTGAAGGCACATGCCCGACACTGATCAGCAGGGGGTCATAAAGAGGAGCAACACATGCTACGGACTGAAGAAGGTTGTCTGTTACTGGCTCTAAGAAAACAGGACACATTGGCACCTGGTGAATAAAACACTCACCCCTCTGAGATTTTTTAATTGAGTAAGCCAGGATTCCTTTAATGAGTGCGGACAACAACAAACAGACATGTATTCACTGACAAATAAACAATATACAAAATAGTCAGAAATGTATGAACTGCAGACTTACCCGCGATTCACCTTCCCCTCTCCATTCTACGCGGTTTGGAAAAAGGTAGAAGTATCTGCGCTGCCACTGGGTTAGGAAGGGGTTCCCCAACTTCAGCATATAGCCGTGCATTATGCAGTCTTTCCCAAAAGCGTAGTCTACACATATACAAGAAAATGTCATCTTTATTCTGTAGATTACATCATTAAAAGCTTAAAGATGGGACTTGCCTTCCTCGTGGCCTAGTTGCTTGTTTTTGGCTCGTTTGCGAGCCTCGATCTTGTCCGTGTCGGAATTCACTGCTTCATAAACGGTCTCTGCCACCTCCTGCTGCCAGCGCTCCGATATGACCAGGGGGAAGTTCTTGTACAGTTCCTGGTCACTGTCCAACAACTGAGAGAAAGATGCAAGAATCACTGAAAATGTGTGCGCGACAATAATGTTAAATCATTAAATCATTATTGATGATATTCTCTGAGAAAGTGAAACCCTCAGGTCACACTGTTTGAGTTCACCAAGTTATGAGTTGCTTTGATTTGACTCTAGCTTTAAACAAACTGATAATTTCATTAGTTATATGTTAAAACAAGCAGATTCATTATGTTGTATTGTTATAGAATTGGTAATAAAACAAATCTTCAAGCACTTTCTTTTTATTCTGGTTTAATTCTATTGCAAAAAGTTTGACCAAAGTTTCATCAATGCAAAGATTTAACAAAATATGGTTTGGCTTTCATTATCCTCTGAGCCACAATATTTGAAATGCATATCTCTGTTTGATCTTGATCGATTTCAATTATTTGGAACCGACCACATGCCTGATCTTTGCTTTTTGTAGAGACTATCATGGATCCTTAACAAAAAAGGGAACTTTAAAAAAGGAACTGCTCCGACATTAGAAATCTAAAATAATCACTCTACAGCGACAAAAAAATACTGTTCTGCAAGAGAATGTCAGGGCATGTATGATTACACATCCTGCCAGAGATGAGGGAAGTTTAGACCCCATCTGGACTATTTTTTCAATTTAAAAAAACATAGTAGATTTAATTTGAAATATTTTCTGCCAAGAATCTTTCCAGAAGGAGGGATTACAGACTGAGGTTACTTATGCAGCGCACTGTACCTTGATGCCCTTGGTGTCCTCCTCATCAAAAGAACCTATGTCAAAAGCATCAGCAGCGTTTACTTCTCCTCTGGGAGGAATTAATGGAGGGGAGTACTGCGGGGAAAGAAAGAGAACGTATTAAACATGCACAGGACAGCTGACTGTTCTGGCATCAGCATTGTGCTAGTAAACATGAACATATAGAAATAATTAGCGGTGTTCATAGAATTCATAGAATCAAAACGTATTCTCTTATTAAAGAGCACAGAAATTCAATCTCTTTCATTCCAGACATTTCTTCTGTGTTTACAATGCAGCGTTACCTTTTGCAAATACACTTGCTGCCAATCAATGCCTTTGAAAAACTGATGCTCCTTTACTTCTTGGGCTCTGCATAAAAAAGACAGAAGCAATTGTTATTATTAACAGAAGGTGGAGCTGTTTTCCCAGAGTAAGAGTCAAAGTTCAATTCATGGCCTAGTCCCTAGTGTGTCCAGTTACTGTAATTTACAGAAGTAATAAATATGTGTACAAACACATATAAATACATTCAAACAGCAGCTGCATTTTTAGATTTGTGCAACAAAAGAATTCAGGTGGTCTTTCTTTACCCCTGTCCTTGGCAGCCAAGCCTCTTGTATACATCCCTCTGCAGAAGACCCTCCAGCAGGTCTTTGAGCTCTGCAGTGAACGAGTCCGGTAGCTCTACGTTCTGTAAGAGATCACAGAGTTACACCATCCTGTCAGGTTACGGACCACTAGGACTGATGCAGGGCGGTCGTGCTAATTGTCTTACGTAAACATTAAAACAAATGGAAAATTATTTCAGACTTAGAAACATTGACGTAGGGTTTACATCTATTTTTGGTGCAAAGAACTGATAAATAACATTGTGTGAGCGTGCAAATGTGTCAACCTGTGATCGAACATGTTTATGTACTATGTATAATGTCCCTCTGTGGATGGATGGAACCTGAAAGGGTTGACAAAAAATAAGAACTGAGAATTGTGTAGATATTAAGAGTTTCTTACACAGAAATGCAGATCAATCTCAAACTTTGACATCTCACCCTGAAACGCCTCATATAATTCAGTTCAGAGTTCTTTTTACACAGCGTTCTGTTTCTCTATGGGAATCACCTTTGTCTTGACCATTCTGTCTCTTTGACAGTACTGAGCAGTGATTTTCAACCGCCAGCTCCTAGGATCATTCTCGCTTTCCTTCTATACGTAACATTAGCATTCTGTGGTGGATTTTTTTCTTTTTATCTAACAGGTTAGCTTTCATTTTCTAACCAATAGAAATGTCTTTCCGTGCGGCTAAAGCTCCTATTGGCTGTACTTGCTGACATGAAGGAGACGAGGAGGTTCTCAGATAGTGTTCAAGTCTACTCAAAGCTGGAGATTCATGGGATTCATGGCTTCCAAAATGGTGAGAGTTACCCCTCCATTTATGTTCAACGTAGTGTCTTTACTGTCCGTTATCAGAGGGAAATTCTTGAGGAAATGAGCCAACAATTGGACTCTGGGACTCCAAACCCAGTCCTCTGGGAAGAAATCTGTGTGATGAATGATGATCCTCCTACACTCGGCTCTATGGAGCCGTCCAAGGCTGGGGCCAAGTGATGGTGCAGGTCTATGGCTCAACCACTTTGGAGATGGAGACAAGCCCCCTTTGTACATACACCAGTTTTCCCACACATAGGCGAATCTGCCACAGATTCGAGACCGACCGCCACACATTGCGTTTCGTTATTAACCCTCTAGGCGCCACGGTCGATTTAAGTCGACAAGCAGCGGTACTGTGTCAAACAGTGTCAAAATTCATTCATTCAAACTCCCTGCCACTAGTTGGCAGACATGTCAGACTATCTCCCTGCCCCCAAAAAACATCATGCTCTCATACAAAATGTTCGAGCAAGACCGCGTTGAATCAGTGGAGAAACCATAGCGAAGCGAATGCAGCAGCAGAGTGCGAGTGTTGTTCCGCATCAAACACTAACTTTAGACACTTTGCTCAGAGTCAGTGGTGAGAACAGTGTTTCTCAGAGTCAGTGCTGTCATTGGGAGGTTCAGAGACAGCTTAGATTTGCGGAGAACAAGCCTGGAAGTCGTGTCGACTTTAGCTTCCGCTAAAGTCTCCGCGCATAGTTCCTCTCACAGAAGTTATTATCGTGCCTCCCGCCATCACCGGGACAGTAACATGTTGGAGAAGCCTTTTTCTTGTGTTTGTTAGACAAGAGAGAGAGCAGGGGAGACGAGAGAGTGTCGCGGAGACACAGGCGCGCGCTTCACCTGGAGGCGCGCGTCTGGGCAGACTGCTCACAGCAGTTTTCCCAACTCAATTACACCTTTCTCAAGGTATCCTGAGTATGGCAATTAGCATAGCCCCTGAGCTTTTTGGGAAGCAGAGTGGATGGCCACAGCACAGCCAATCCACTCTAATACCAAATAGTAACATCATGTTTTTCCAATGTCCAAATGTCCTCTTTTGAAAAGGACAGAAAAGGGATTTCCAGCATTGAGAAACAACTCTCCAATGTGTCAGAAGTAACATGTGTCAATAACCAGCTCCTCTGCTTGTCAGTAGCATGCATATAAATAGTTGTGTGCGCTTTGTATTACTGAGGGTAAACAGGGCAAGACTCAGGGCAAGATGTGAGCGTGGTTGAGTAAAGACAAATTCTCTTTCAGTATTGACACAATGACTTTGTAATGTACAGCATGTGTCCCATTGTCCGCCTTCTCCCTGGGCACACCTGTCTTTAAAGAGAAGAGTCTTACCATGGTGAGTGTCATGCGGTCAATCTCATGTTTGTCTTTGGTCTTGTGCTGCCTGAAAGGGCTGTGTCTGAAAGACAAACCAGGGCGGTATTAGAGGAATACAGGGCCCAAGAGTGATGGGTTCTGTCCGGAAACTTTTATCACAATCTGCGATACGCGCTGATATACTTTCTTGCGACTGCCTCAGACCTCAAACTGCCCTGGTATTGCTTTTCCCCCCGTCAGGACAATGGTTAGGGCGCACTATGTGCTCCCTCGCCCCCTCTTCGAGGTCCATGGCATGGCACCAGCAGCCTTGTATACAATACAGCTACAGTGTAATCAACTTGACTGTAAATACACTAATATTGCTGATATTGAAAAGTTATTTTAATCAATACATTGTTTTGTGGCAAATCAGACATCAATATTATTTTATCATAATTATTTCATAATACTTATTATAATAATTATTTTATCATTTATAAAGTGCTTTTAACACAATGTGCAACAAAGTGCTTACAGATTATTAAAAACATCAACCCATCCAAAAGATCAGCCCCAGACAAAAGTCGTCGTTTTGTATGAAACGTGCAATATCAATAAAATGTCTTCAGATTAGAAAACAATTTCTAATGGAATTTGATGATGTCCATAAATGAGTTTTGAATCAGAAATACTGCATAAGCAAGTACTTTCTGTTTTAATGGAGAGAACAGCGGGATGTTATCTGATGTCTCTGTGAGCCAACCTTCAAGCTCTAGTCCTATTCAGTATTCCTCTTTTAAGTGCTGAACAGACAGAGCCTGACATCAATAGGACACGTCATGCACTTCTCTTTGCACCTTCCTTACACACACACACACACACCCTACGTCTCTCCATGCACACTGACCTACTGGGCTCAGACCTCTGGCATTTACACACTCTGGATCAAACAAAATACACACACAGGCTGCTGCACACAAAACCAGATCAAACACACCCAACAGGCACTGAGAAAAATGGGACACAGTGCAAAGGCTAGAAAGGACTGGAAGAGGTTCCCTGAGAGTGACAGAAGTGGTTTCAAATCAGACAGGAAGTCAGAGCACAGTGGGAGTGGTGAGCAGGCAGAGGCAGAAACATGTCAGGGTCAAAAAGGGAGGCTGCTTACCCTCGGAGCAGTTTGAAGAGCATGCAGCCTAAAGAGAACCAGTCGGCACTGCTGTCGTACGCCGTTCCCTTCTGCAGGACCTCCGGAGCCATGTAACCGTGCGTACCTCTGTCAATGAGGGGCACTTTTGTCAAACACAGCGGTTGATTTGACTTTGTCCTAAAATTGTTAATAGTTTACTCACACGCTGGCATGGGGCTTCTTCTTTGAGAAATCACAAGCCAGTCCCAAGTCAGAGATGCGAACATGTCCATGTTCGTCCAACAGGATATTAGCTGGCTGCACAGAGGTAAAGGAGACATGAGGTTCGAGCTGATATAGACTGTATGATAACATGCGCTCTGTAGTGGAACATTGTTCAAGAGTGTGTTCATTCATGATTTAAGTTACAATTTCCGTTGTCTTGGATGAAGTTGACGTAGACGTCTCCTGGTCTGGTTATACTCAACAGCAAAACTACATCCCTCACTTACTTTCTCTCATTTTTCAAGTATTATCTGCATTAAGATAATGTTTATTTAAACTGCAAAAGAGCTCCCTTCTAACAAAGTATATCTAATATTATATCAACCAGTCACAATGTGAGAACAGAGGAAAAGCAGGTCAGCTACAAATACTGTAACAAACAGTCCATTAGAGACCAGTTCTGAGTCATAAAATGTGGTGAAATATTAGTTTCTTTACCTTCAGGTCTCTGTAGACAACGAAACGATTGTGCATATGTTCCAGTCCCAAGATTATTTCAGCTGCATAAAAACGCATCTCTTTCTCACTGAATACTCCATGTTGAGAAAGGTGGTAATGCAGGTCACCTCCTGTACAGAAAACACAGCAACATGAGTCCAACAACACCTAACCACACTTTATGACTTTTATTATATTATGTAAAATCACTGGATTAAAGAGTGAAAAAATAAACATCATTTAACCATGAAGTATCTGAAAGAATAATTAGGAAGCATGACCTGAACAATGTGGATTTTAAAGAATCAAAATAGAAAAATAGATGTAAAGGCATGAATAATTTTGTTTTTATTATATTAGAATTGTATTGTAAAATACAAGCGTAAATATGTATCGACACACAAGGGTCTCATACATTAGAATGTTATAGAGGCGTGAAGGAGCTTCATGGCTCGATAAGCATAATACAAAGGTCACAGTACAATACGATTACATAATGATACTAAACTAAAAGACTTTTTGGAAAAAATGTATAAAAAGAAATAAGCTCTTGTGAGATGCTACTGTTTCTTCTGAGTGTCCCCCGGAATCTCCCACTGATGTATAGCATGTCTACATTGGTGAAGCTGAAGTTGGCTGGATGACAGCCAACATGATCTCAATGGCTACTTTAAGTAGTAGTCAAATAAACGCATAAACTTATCGACTTTAACAGAATTCCACAAATTCCGGGCTTTACAGGAGGTATGAATGAAGAAAATTTGATGGCCTTCAAAACTTAGGCCCTATTGCAACTTATAACTGCATATCTTTAACACATTATATAGAAAATAGTTTTAAAGAAATTACCATTCATAAGATCCAGAATGAAGCATAGCTTGTCAGGGGTGTGAAAGGCGTAGGTCATACATACAATGAATGGGCAATCCTGCAATAATGCATAAATCCAATTAATACAGAGTGCAAACCTCATCAATAAATTGATCAATGTAAAACCTACCCCTGTGCTAACGAGTGACAGCATAATTCTTTCATTGAGCGCCAGAGTCTCCCCCTGTTTCATCTTAATTCTCTTCTTGTCCAAACATTTCATGGCGTACCTTTAGGTGAAAACAGTGAAGTGTTTCTTCCGTTCACCTGGATAAAATATGTACTTACATCTTCCCTGTATCGGCCTTCCTGCAGCCGTACACCTCCCCAAAGCCTCCTCTGCCGATTATCCGATGCACACTAAAGTCATTCATAGTCAGCTGAAGACAAAGGGGAAGAATGATCAATCACACTTCACAGTTCAACACATGGCCCATAACTACACAAACAATTCCACATAATTATGTCAATAACATTTTATTTCGAGAAAAGGTATTTTAACGATGTACATGTTAATCAGAAGTAAAAGCATTGGACACTGTACAACTTTTCACATCGAGTCCAGCTCATTTGTGCTCAGTCATCACTGGTTGAAGACAGCCATGTCTTCAGTCACGATCGTGGGCCTAATGTAACCTGATTCAACGTTCCAATCTCGTAGAGCAGCCTTCAGAAAGATGCATTTCAAACATGTTTTAATTTTATGGCCAATTTTGAATGCACAACAGCTGTTTACAGCTCCCTCTGCACGAGAGACAGTGTCAGAATATATTTTCATCAGAGAAGAGGCGCACAAGCCATAACAGAGACAAGTGATATTCATCTTTCACAAAACATCATAATAATGGTAATAATATTATTAATAATAATAATAATAATAAGGAAATACATAATAAGGTTTGACTTCTTCTATTATTTTTATACATATCGAAATGGCAAACCAGTATAATTAAAATGTGTTAATTTGATCTCTTGTGCAAAAAAATTTAAACCTGCTCTAATGTAAAGAGGTAGACTATTCCACAGTTTGGGAAGAGCAACAGAAAAGGCCTGGTCTCCTCGAGTTTTGAGACGAGACCAGGACACATTCAACAGAAGCTGGTTCTGACCTCACTGGTCTGACAGAGGCATACACAGATAACAGCTCTGTCAGATATACAGGAGCTAAACCATTAAGAACTTTTAAAACAAGCATCCGAATATTAAAATGAACCCAGAACGTGACAGAGAGCCAGTGAAGTGAGGCCAGCACAGGGGTGATGTGCTCCCTGTAAGCAAGTCATCTTTATTTATACAGCAAGCAGCAACATTCCGGACCTGCTGAAGGCGCTTTAGTGAGCCGAGGTCCAGGCCACAGTTCAGCGAGTGAAATAGATTGGATAGGATTGGTTTGGAAAGGACACAGGTACATTTACACGTTTAAAGCAGAAGCAGCAAGTAGAGCCGTAAACACCCTGCTGTGAGTCTACGTCATCTCTTCCTCTGAGATGGTGTTTTCCTATTGAAGCGTCACACATACATTTACGGACCTAGTTCCATCCTTATGGTTTCAAAGGTTTGTCTCCAAATTTCTTTACATGATTTAGGAAAGTCTATTTCAAATATTAAACGTTTAGGAGGCGGTAAGAGTGCAACCATTCAGAAATCTCACTATTTTGGTTCACAATTCAGTATTGCGTTTTAGCGGAGAAATGTAATGTTTTCTGAGACTACGGAGAAGTTAACTATCAGGGGATATTTTCTGGGCTTTTAACAAGGGATTCCAGAGCACTTCTATAAGTAACTATAAAACCATTGATTGACAGCGAGGTAGACCAATTTGTGGCGTACGGTGGCGGGATTTCAATAATTTCACTTTCATACTTTGACTTCCGTACCCAAGATAATTACTTACTCAACAGGGCATATTGTGACATTTGTACAATGCAGTGTTATACTCGCAACACTGAATGGACTAAAAAATATTTATGTCGGGATAAAGCGACCTGCTATGGGCTCTATGCACGCACCACTTCCGCGTTTTAGCTACAACCCCACTTCACTTCCTGTTTGCGGGAAACGGCTTGAGTTTCACTGTGAGTTCAGCAGTGGTTTACACAAGTTTCCCAAATAATGCTCAAACGGGAATTAAACTGTGAGGATACTGGGCATAAACTGTGAGGATACTGGACAGCATCACTTTTGGGTCAGTCTCAGCTGAATGTATCAATCTAATTAATAAAAATGTCACTAAAACCCACCTAAAAGCCATAGGATAGCATAGACAGGAAGTGAACGGGCTGATCTGCGTTAACAGGAAATGACGTCACGCCTCCCCGTGCATATAGCCCATTGAGCTGATAATGGCATCGCTGTATCCCAAGTCTATGGAGAAGAGTCTCAAACGTCATTACTTACATGGATATTGAGCTCCACATTCTTCCACTGGCAAAAACGAGTGAATTTGTCACTAAAAGAGACAAAAAAATTGTTTAAAAAAAAAAAAAGAAAAAAGAAAAAAAGTATTACAATTATTACTTTGATTCAATATGTTTTCACCTTTCAATAAACTTTTGGAAGATCTTCCCTCTCAAGCTGTCACAAATCTCAACAATGTATGGCTGCGGATAAACAAAACCACATAAAGCAATTGATTACTTCTATGGATTACCCTTTGCATTCAAACACTACATATTCTCCAATTCTATAGATTATACTTTTTTCTCTGTGTATAATCTCACAAGTGACAACTAAGAAAAGTTATTATGTTGACCAGGAAAGACAAGATGAAGCAAGTTGTACCTGAAAAAGAGTTGGAGGAACTTGCTTCTTTGCCAGATGACTTTGTACGTGATCCACTGCTTTCTTGGAAAATGGCTAAGACAAAGACAAAATGAATAAATCGTTTAAAAAAGTAGTGGAAATCATATTCAATGGTAACCAGGCTACTTCATTAGTGATACCCGGAAACAAAACCTAATGTAGCAGATTGGACGGGGCCACGTGGTAAAACACAAGTCTGAAGTAAAATTAAAAGTGAAATTTAAACCGTAACTTTTCTGGTGTAAAGTCTGTAATCTGCTTAATTGTCACACATTAAGTAAATATGGAAAAGTTAAACAAAAGCAATTGGGGGTGCGCAAAACTCACAATCTGTACAAACAGCTGGACTCAACACTCTGGAAGCAGACTTTACTAAGAGCTTCAATAACTTTCAGGACCTCGTGTACATTCAAAATATATTTTGGAATATTGTACATGGAATTATAGGAATGAATAAATACTGTGGAATACCCAAAGTATCGCAATATTCTTATTGTGAATCCTAATGTATTGTTCTGAGTTCTATTCAGCGTTATAAGATAAAATATTCCTTTATTCGTCCCACAGTGGGGAAATTTCAATGTCATCGTTGTGCACCTTACAGCAGAAGATAAGGAAGGAGAAAATGAGAGCACTCAGGTTGCGCACATCAAACAGATATTTATTTAAGATAATAGATAATAAAATCAAATCAAATACTTCAGTAATAATAACATACGGTAAAACTCTGGAGCTATAATTGCTCTTGGTTCAAGGATAAATGCACTAATGCGGTCTACACTGTGGTCAGCAAGAGGTATTACAGATGTTTAAATCGTACTTTAGCAGCACAGAATATAAATAAACAATGGTACTAATAGCAGCAGGTAAAGTGACTAGTGAATTATCAGAACAGGTGAGTGGCACATGTACAGACTCGGATCTCATAACGCCGGGTCTCATGGTGTCCTTAAGCAGCAGGAGTGTTGTGGTGGCCGTGCACTGACCCAGGCCGAGTGTGTGTGCTCACATGTGAACAGGACAGGAGCTCCTTCATGATGTAGCCGTCGTAAATCTGCCGGCTGCGGCTTAGCCTCTCCTCCTCCGAGTCCAGCTTCTCGTACTCCTTAATCTGAAACAAGAGTCACCTGTTCGTCCACCACATAACGGAAAAAACTTTGCAGCCTAGTTCTGAATCGGGGATTATTGACGGTCACTCATCCTGCAGACAGTGTTTAATCCAGCACAGGAAGAGCCTAAGAGAGACTTACTTCTTCGTAGAACTTGAGCTGGGGCACTGCCTCGTCAATTTCATTCAAACAAAAGTCCTTGAACAACAGGAAGCCTGGAACACAAAAGAAGAAATATTGAAGATATGGCATGGAGGGATTATAATACAAGACTGCTATGTGGATATGGTTTTAAAAAAAAGTTATACTACAAGTTCAGCTGAATCAAATGTTGCTCATATAACGATAACCAAATAAGATCTTCTGCTCCAGCTCAAAATGGATAATGATAGAATGACATCAAATGTGCTCTGACTTTGAGCTCATTTCAGAGTCCACAAGACTCATTAGTAATTAATGTCTCTGTAAAGTTGTTAAGTATATTGAGCTACTGTTTTGTATGACATGTGCTATACAAAATAATCCCAGAATACACTTCAAAAGATATTAGTAACAAAATCATCTTCAATCAAATAAAAGAAAGTGGAATGCTCGAAAACAGCTGTTTAGAGCATTGTTAATTGCACAGCTGAGTGGCATGATTGAAGTAAAAAGGAACATCCTAGAAGCTCAGTCTTTTACAATCGAAAGATGGGACGAGATCTGGGAGAGATCTGGGAGAAATCTGGGAGAAATCTGGGAGATGGTGGCTGCAGTCTGTCTGCCCTCCTGTCATAACTAGTGCCTTGCCAATACCTGGTCTTTCTTTACTCGGCTCAGACAACAAAGGCTCGGCTTGTGCAACAAAGGGTTCTCTTGGCGGGGCTGACAGCCGGCAAAAAAAAAAAATGTTGCTAAAGGTAAGCTTCCCTCTTTGTGACAGTGAGTTACGACTATTGAGAGTCCAGGTATGAGACCCGCCTGCAGTCCAGTCTGTTCTCCTTTTGTACTATGAAGGGCAGAATGTGACAGGACACTCGACTGTTGAGCAAGTTGTAACAACACATAGCTACTACAATAGGTTTCCTAAGTAATTGAGTGCTATATATCTTTTTAATATAAATATGAATTAGTAAATAAAAATAAAAAATGTGTTAAATGCATCAGTCAAAGCAAATCCTTATATTTTTACAACTATATCCCAACTTTGTTGAAGTTCTATTCACAAGTAAAGAATGAATTGTATTGACAGACACAAACAAGCTTCAGCTGATTAGGCAGAAGCAAAAATAGACGGCTTAAAGATACTATGGACTCGTTGGGTCGCCCTCTCTTTGTTATATACTTCAGCATATTTCAGTCAAACAGCTTCAAATGATCAATACAAACATTTTAATTCCTGAGGATACTCATTATGCATTGGTTGTGCTCAAGTGATGTTTCAGAATAACCTGATACTCTTGAAATGTATATATTTTTAAATTTGCCCGAAATGAAATGCCCACTATCAAGAAGTGACACTTCTTCCCCTCAGCTTTATCTCTTGTCCAGATGTGTCACATCATTTCCCTTTCTCTCAAACAGCAACTACAACACTTTCCCACAGAGCACACATGCACACACAACTAGACATGCATGACGAGGAAGGTACTTTTGCTCATCACTACCCAACAATCACTTAGTATTTTTATATCAACCACAAATTGGAGAGGCATAGAGGGGCGAAAGGCACTTCTTACATCACAGGCACTCCAGGATTAATGTTAATCACAGAACACTTCAACACTGTCCAGCTAATTCTACAAATGGCCTCTTCCAGGGCCCAAAGCCAAGCACCAACGCACACAAACACACACTTGCATGCAGCTCGTGGAGTTCCTCAGAGCTTTACTCTAATTAGTGAGATCACCTGGAAGATCTAAATATATCACCTGCTAGTCCTTACAGCCTCTTGTGGCTTCAGATCATCTCACCACCTACAACTTGTGGAGCTCTGATAATTAATGTTTTAATATTACTGCCAGCAAGTCATGTTTAAAATCCTGTTTGTATCTCCAACAGGAATAAGAACATGTATTTGATGTATTTCAGAGACAGCCAGGGCATATTATTAAAATGTCTATAAATATGCCAGATTTAGCAAAGAGGTTAATGTTCCTACATAGACCAAATACGGGTAATAAAATAATTGCAAAAATGAAATATTACATCTTTTAAACTTCCCCCTCAGGTGTGTGCTCCCGCTATATTGAGTCTGCTCACTGTAGTTTCTGTGGACATGTGACAAAGGGAGACTTTCTATTCTATCTCTTTGATTTGGGCCATGTATAAACAGTAGAAACCATAAATTTGTTCCCACATCTGAATTGGATGTACTGATTTTGTAGAACCACTGTCAATAATGTATCATTGAGTCGCTATAGGAAAGTTTTTTGGTAAAAACGAGTGGCCTAAAACATGAGAACAAAAAAAAAAAAAAATCAAGATTTGAACATCTCAGAGCACCGTTCAATGCATAAAATAAAACGAAAGTCAGTGTTGAAATAAAGCCACGAGAAGCTATGTGAGGAACACCTTCAACATGGTGGTGTCTGGTCAGACATTTACCTTCTCATCATTCTACTTACAACATGATATTATTGACAAAAGTAATTCTACACCAAGTTTCATCTCTGTCCTTTATTGTTCAGTGTCCATGCAGTCTCTTTATGTCCCCCCTCTTTTCTCGTTGTCTATTTTATTCCTTCTTTAATCAATTTTATTTCTCCCTGTCGACAAGCAAATGCAGCAGTTCTAGTTGGGTTCCTATGGCAACCACAGTTGCTAGGCAACACACAACTCTCCATCATCCATTCCAGAAGTCTGACAGATGGAGAATGCAAAAACACTGAGAGCGGGGGTACATTAGCAACAATAAAGCCCCAGTGTAGAAAAATACAGTGGATATTACTCCTGTCAAGTGATTTGTCCTCTCCGGGTTATCCTTCTCAATTAGTCTGAGGCCATAAAATAATAGACCAGTTTAGTGAGAAGCGTTTGTTTGTGCAAACATCTGGCTGGACATTTAAGAACATGCTAGCTCCTCTGGGAAATTCACTGGAAATTTAAAGGGTATTGCGTCATACAATGAGAGAAGGAGCCCTTACACCTGCGGACAACAACAACAAAATCCTTGGGCGATTATTACTAAAGACACAGATTGTAACAAATAAAAATGACATAATTGATGAGGGTGTGACGGAATAACTGTATGGCTGCAATCACACCTACAGTGTATGGTGGCGTATTGGAAGCCTATTAAAGATCAGCAGGGTGAACTTCGTGATGCCATCGCCCTGACCAGCGATGTTTGAGGAGAACGAGCAGAAGCGGTGCACGGACTACAGATGACTGATGTACAAATACATTTTGCTCCAAGTCTTCTTCTCCTCCTCTGACCTTCTGTGACCCGTTCCACTGGTGCCGTTTCCTGATCGGATTGGAGGTCAACGAAGGATTGCAACTTAACATGCGGCGACCGTGGCATGTTAATCAATAGCGAACTATCTAAATGACGTCACTAAGACACGCCCCCGCCGCCTGTCAACTCCCGCCCACATGTTTCGGACAAACACTGCCGAAATGAATCAAATACCACTTGTCACTTTAGACGAAAATGATATACCAGGGGCAAAATTCCACCATCAAACCATCAGGGATCATAGTGTAGACCAATTATAACGTTGGCTTGAATGTCGTGGTCTTCCAGTAACTGGTAGACGGTTTGAATTGATAAAAAGATAATGGTGAGGATTATGCTAACATTATCTAGTCATTTAAATTGCAATGCTAGCGCCTTCTTTGTTTGTTTTGCTGTGATTAACTTCCATTTATCAAGTTGTTTTTGCACTATCCACTTTGTAATTAGTTTGATCATTAGTTAGCTACAGTCAGCTGATATTATAATAAATCCATGATCACAACGGGTTACGCCACTGTCTCTGAGAGAAACTATCAGAGCTAGCTACACTCAGTAAACGCAAATGACAATCAATCAACACATTTAAATGTTAATGGGAGAATACATTATACACATTCATAACACAAGTGCACGGAGGTTTTCAGAATTAACTGTTCAGGTTTTCACGACAAAAATACTTTTTTAATGCGACTAAAGCGATCGCTTTTAGGTTAACTATCCTCACTGTTACTCGCCTGCCACGGGAAAACCTTTGGGAACTATTTTCTTTGCACTCATTAAATAAACCTTTCGGCATGAGTAGTGAATGACGTTTATTTTGTGTGTTCAATTGGTACAAAGCCGTATAATAAGCAGACACAAAGTTGAAAAAAATCCCTCTCATCTTTCTTCAGGTGTGAGAATTGTATACTTTCTGGATTAGGACAAACAATACTAATATGGATTGATGGGGGTAAATGGTGTAAAGAGAAAGTTTGTGCTAACTACATTCAGAAGAGCTCAGACGGACCTGATACAGCGGTCCAGATCCAGTCCCAGCTAAACGTAGCTAGGACTGGATCTGGATGCTCCACAGTTGGTCCAGCGAAGTGTTTTGAAAAAACATGTGCCCTTTTTAACCTTTTCATGAGAGAAATTCTGCCGACCACAAGCACCCACCTGGTCTGATCTGGTCCTGGTCTGGTCCTGGTCTGGTCCGATGTTGTGGTTTAACGAACGGGTTGAATGTTTACTTTCATATAGTCCTTTTCAGAGTATCTGAAATCGCTCCGACAAGCACCATAACTGCAGTGTTTTGTTGTCACCATGATTCAATGATTTAGCCCAAATAAATACACACGCGTATGAGGAGAACACAGTAGAACTCAACGAGTCGTACACAATGTTTGTCCGAAACATGCGCGCATGCGCAGTCATCTGAGCTATTTTTAGCACATTTCGGAAACCGGACAGTGCCCTATTGATTGTTAATGTAAGTAAAACAATCACTTAATTTTACTCTAAACAATTAACCAAAATGGAATAAGTAAATCAGTCTATAAAACTCTTCTTTACCTTTGGGTTCAGTGCCATTTCAAAACAAGAATAACTGAACTGCCCATGTCAACATCTTTTTCCCGCTTCAATGTAATACAGAATACAAAAAATGGACAATAAATAAGGATACCCAAACCCATATTCAATAAAAGCAATAATGCACCCGATTAATGTAGATAGTAACTTCACTAAAATTAGCCACAGATGCAGCTACACGTAAATGTAAACAACACTTTTGATTTTTTTCCCATTTCTGTGGGTTCAAAACTCTTAATGTTCGATAATCTCCATCACTAAAAAGGTTTGTGAACAATATGTAAGTACATAATATGCTTTTCAAACAAGGGTATGTGGAAAATGGCTCTTAACTGTTTACATGACGACCAGGTCATCTTTGGCTGTATTTTGAGGTGGCCGTTATACTTCCATTGTGGGAGTTCTAAAACCCGATCTATAGCATTTAGCTAAAGAGCACTTGTAACACTACCCCGGAGGATAAAAACGCCATCATCTGCCTGACAGTGGTTGTCATGACAGTGGCCAAGGCCTGTTGAGCTCAAGGACAAAGCATCAAACTCAGAGATTAAGTTGATGCTTTATTTAATGTTAAGGCTCAGAAGGCTGAGCTTTAAGAAACCGACTGAACACCTGGACATATTGAAACATTCTATGACAGCTTGGACTCTCTACAATAGCATGATGGTACATTATTTACATACAGTAAATAAAAATTGTTTTTAAGTTAAAGTCACAGGAAAGACCATGAGTTTTTATAGCGTAGAAAAATGTTACAGGTACAAGGACATTTTTAGTAAGGATTCCTAAATGACCAAACATGTGTACAAACTGAGACACTGCCTGAAGTTTAAATCTTGTGTTAAGCTATGTTTACCAAAATAGACACATCACTATGTCTTTTGACAGGAAATCCCAAATAATGATTCCATCACCCGACAACTTCTGATGGGTTCAGAGACAAAATGTAAATTAATTGGAGGCACAGCTGTCAAAGTTCATGGCTACATCTCAAACGCGCTGCTTTCTTGATTGAAAACATGGGAAAATCAAAAGAAATCAGGCAAGATGACAGAGTTGCGGAGCTTCCAAAATTGTGTGTGTCAAGTTCATTAAAGTAATTATTTCCTCAAATATAAACGCAATGCAGTCCAGCCGTCATGCTCAGTCATCATGTGTCGTGTCCCAGAGAAAAGTGTGTTTTGGTTCGAATTGTTTCAAAGAAAGAAGGAGAATTATGTGCTATTATTTTTGACCCTTGAACATGACTTTTATTACTAGCATGTCATGTTTTTTCTAAAGAATATGAAGAAACACCTCAGCATGTAATACCCCACTTTTACCACCAGAGAGTTGAATTTCAATTACCTGTATATTAATCAATCAATATGGAAATATTGTATCCATTATACAAGATTACGAGTATTAATTACAAATATTTGTACTTGTAAAATAGTTTTTAGATAATACTTGCGGTTCAGTTCTTCAAGCTCTGAATTGCTGTATGTGTGTTCTTCTAGTTTCAACATCTAGCATCTTCACATGTGTTGAACCAACCTGGAGGTGTGAGGCTAATGGTGACTACACAGGACACTGACTGGCTACAAGTATTTACAATTGCTGTTTAAAACACATATTGATTGATTATGCAAAGTACAGCTACATTGGTCCTTTCTTGAGACAGACACATTATTCTATGTTGAGACAAATCGCCACTGGCACATCCAGGGACGAGGGGCACCCAGCAGCGCCACCTTCACCACATACATTTTCTCCAAACTTAAACACACAGTAAGTGGCATAAGCTCTGGTGTGTACTCTGATGCACACTGGGGTAGTCTTGCACAGTTTTTCCAATGTGGTTTTAATGCAAATGGAAAATTAAATCTTGTATCTTAAATTGTTGCATAATACTGTATCAAATCAATCTGATAGTTATGTTACAGAAAAATCCATATGTTACACTGAGTGAACTGACACGCAAACTGCTTTACCCGTGTGTGAATACTTTTGACATGATTCTTATCCCATGGAGCAAAGGCAGCAGATAGAATTAACAGTCTATTCTCACAGGGGCTGAGACACAGAAGAGTAAGTAAACCTCATTGAAGCCTGCAGGGCCACTGTAATCCCAGGGTGCCACATACTGGAACACTGTTCAGGATGATGTCACTCCATCTCTAGACATGCGGTGCCTTGTATAAGTATCCATACACGATGTAATTTTCCACATTGTTTTGTTATAACTGGTGTTGTTAATTGATTTAAATATGTAATAGCGATTCTATTCCAAGAAACGATCATGAGTTGCGGCGAGTTTCAATGCAAAGTCAATGGTGACGTGCATACGTCGCGGCGCCGCAGAGGCTGTGGGTACGGCGGCTAGATTCATGCAGCAAAAGCAGGATATTAACATCCTCGCGCCACACACGTGCGGTAACCAATCAGAGAGCAGCAAAGTGGTCACAGGGAAACAAGCCGGTCCAAACAGACACTTTAAAACAACCAAAACAGGAGCTAAACAAGGATTAAACCAGGGCTGACAATGGAGGACACGGTGCTTGTGAACATATGTCTTCACCCTGAGTTAGCATTCTACTGTGACAAGTGCTGCCAATGTGTTCACTGGTGCGGAAGTACCAGCTTTAGCATCAAAGCCCACCCACCACTTCCGCCCTGTGTTTTTCCCCCAACGCAGGGCAGTACGTTTGATTCACTAAACTCATGCAGCTGATATTTAGTGAACGTACGGCCATGATCAAAGCACACAAAGTTAGATTATAAAAAGACAGCTTTGAACAATGGACAACACACAATCAGCAAATACTGAGAGCAATAAAATCACTCACCAATTTTCTGGTTGAAAATTTTGTCAAACGTCAGTTCGTCTCTCTCTTCAAGGTATTTCTGCATCACACTGCGAATACTGTGGAGGAAATAAAGAGGAAACATTTCTCAAAATCAAAAATATTCACAATTTATATTACGACACAGACATGATGATAAAGAATGTACTTTCACCTGAAAAATAGTCAAAACAAATTTAAGGGCAAAACTATTGTATCAGCAGATGTAATATGTTACAATAACATCATAGCATTAAAGGTTTGAGACGGGATATGTAGAGTTGCACTTTGTGCCAAATGTTCCTGATATTAACAGGGGTGGATCTGTTTTGTGCCATTGTTAAAAGCTAAAAGTTAACAGTTAATTTCTATAATATGTCTCCTTTAAAAAGTTTGGTTTTAACATATTTAATCTCAACATACGTAAACAGCATTTTAAATGGTTGAATAATCTAAGGTAATCAATAGATTGCTTGATTCTTAAAGTAATCGATAGCTGTGGCCCTACAGTTGTCACACAAACTGCCTGAGAGCAGAGCCACAGGGGAAACGGAGGTGGTCCTGGAGAGAAACATGCTTCCCTGGGAACGAGTGTTAATGAGAATGAGTGTGGAGCGAATTAAACAATTAGCACCCCCTCCACGGGCCCATTAACACTACAACAGCCTCATAATGCCATGGGAGCTGACACATAAGGGAACTGACCGGGCTTGGCTGCATCCACAAACACCTACATGAAAGCATTCATATTCAACCCAATAAACCTGCTTACTATTATTTCCATTTGGAATACTATTTAATTTGAAATTTATACCTTGGTTGACTACTCCATCATGAAGCCTATGAAGTCATGAAGTCTAACGGTAAAGGTTTAAAGAAAAAACCATAACTATACAAAGAGTGTAGATAGGTAACTTAAGCCTTAATATTTCTTTATTTTCAATGTATTATTGTAATGCCCTAAATTACAACAGAAGTCGTCTCAGAGGACTTGACAAAGTTGTTGATTCACCAACACAGATTAGAGATTCAAACATAGGTAGTACAATAACAACAAACGCAAAGGAGCCATTGGTCCATAGAAGGTGAAAGACCAATGTTCATGAATGTTAATCAATAGGGACGCACCAATACCAACATCGGGTCGGTACCATAGGCTTGTACTTATTCGTACTCATACCATAGGACCCAATGCTGGCAACAGGTTCCAACATTTTTCATTTACATTAGCGTCACGACAGCAGACAGCTGCCAACTCTCCCAAAGTTGGCAGCGGGAAAGCAGCTTAGCTTAGCCGCTAGCTTAGCAGAAAGCGGGCTGTACGTTGTGTATGAGGTGGGTCCAATACAAACGTATAATACCAGAACCTCAAACATCTGAAAACTCAACCACGCAGAGTATAACACCTTTGCTAGCACCAACTCTACAACTCTCAGTGCATTGAAATGGCAGCTAACTCTTTGTACCATTTGTGAAATATGACAGCAGCTCGCATTATTGTTGACTGTTCAAACAATTTCTAAAATGTTTAATAGTTAAAGCATTTTATTATTGTTGAAATGAGAAATAACACATTTTAAATTTCAGTTATATTAGTTTTATGAATTTGCAGGGATAACACAATGCAGTACTTGTATCAGTATTCGGTATCGGCAAGTACTAAAATTTAGGTACTCATACTCGTGTCGGTTTTGAAAAAAGTATTGTAGCATCCCTATTAATAAATGTTAATAAATGTCATTAAACGTCCTGGATCATCATCATCACAGTCCTTTGACCCTCCTGCATTAGCAAGGAACAACTCAAAAACCCAGTGCGTTTTTATTGGTTATCCAAACAATCATCCAAAGATCGATGGCAAAACAGCACGGTTTATATTTTTTTTAACAATTTATATGCCAAAATATAGGTACCCTGTGTGTGTGACGTGTCCTACTCTCATTATTGCCCCTTAACCCAACTGTTGGAACTTTACCTGTTGAGTACTGTATAAACCATGTGAACTAAAAAGCTATTATTAAAAAGGGTCAAGAAGGGTCCGTGGTGAAAATCCATTCATCGCGTTTTTCACCACGGTAAAGAGGCCCGGCTTTTCTCCGTTGCGGTAAAGTGGTCCACACATTAAAAGCGGGTTGTCCCTTTAGGCTGTTACTTACAGTAAACGTGGAACAGGATGCCCCGATAAGCAACCAAAATGCAATGTTTAAAATGAATCATCACAGTGACCAAGTGTGCAGTGAAAGTAGTTGCAAAACTTACATTTGTTTATGAATCTTTATCCCCTCATACCCCCGGCTTCCCGTTCTACGTAGGTAATAGCAAAAAAGGGCAACCACTTTACCGCGGCCGTTATCGGCTGTTCTTTTCCAAAATAATTAGAAAAAAAACTTAATCTGTGCCCAGCGGGCCGTACAACTGATCACACAACAAGAATGGACCATTTGATTTAGTAAAACCTCTTTCCGAACGTCTAAAAATAGCTTACTCTCTAGCATCCAGGTAACTTTCAATGCTTTTTTTCCACCCGGTCACGTGACCGGCGAGGAAAAAGTATAAACAACCACGTCACTCCAAGATCCTCCTATTACGACCCACATGGCCATCCATCCATTTTCTACCCTTTAATCCATTTCTGGGTCAGGGGGGGTGGCAATCAGAGATGCCACCCAAGTCTCATAGCACCAGCCCCTCACTGACCCTCTGCAGGTGGTGAGTCCACAGGAGGACGGCTGCTCTTGATCTTTCAGTGGGGGCTTTGGGCAAAGTGGGGTTAAGTGTCTTGCCCAAGGACACAACGAAAGCAGTCATCAGTGGGAGTCAGTGGAGAAGGTGTAGAGGTGGGAATTGAACCCATGACCTTCAGGCCTGAAGGCCAATGCTCTACCAGCTGAGCTACTGTCGCCTCTACTACATATTTCATTCTTAAGTGTCCGCATTATTCTCTGAACATCTGGCTGCAGTCTTCATGCAGCTATAGAACACACGCTGCTCAAAACATCGATTGCATTCAAACCACACTAAGCATTTCCTCTCCCTCAAAACTGTTTGGTGCGGTCACGAGTTTTCATATGCAATATTGTCTGTGTTTTGTCATATCTTTACATCAACTTTTCATACAGAGAAGGGGCTTTTTCACAGCCAATCAGCTTTCGACTCAAAAGGTTTCAGCGAGTCAACACAATGAGCTCAAGCTGCAACTATGCCTGGACCAACTGGTCCGAGTTTTTACCTAAATTACTATAAAATATGTAGGAAATGTTTCTCAAAGAAACTAAAATTACTGATGGCCAAGCGGCAGATATTCTCTAAGGGGATAAAAAAATCATTGACAAAAACACCCCAGTCAAGACCCTTCTATCAGTCTCTTGAAATATAGTGTACGGGTAGGTCTATGCAAAGCCAAAACATTCAGATCCAATGATCCACAATCAGACTTTGTGAAGTCGGAACTTTAGTTTATAAGATTGCACACAAAAAAAATAAAAAATACTGACATGACATTACCTTCAAATGCTACTTTGTGAATACATTTTAGACAAAGTTAATTCAAGTAATATGTAACATTAAAAAAAACAATGTTTTAACTGAATAAAAAGAACTTACATTTGATTGGTTTGGCAGTTTATGAAGTGCAGTATTGTACAAATTTTATGAGAATTAACTTTTTCACTGAAGTGACACCAATCCTATTGGCCTTCCCCCATGCCTCTCATCTGGTCCGTCTTTGGTATTGCTGTCAAAGTCTCACCTCACTGCCAGAGGACACAGCCCTGGCCTGTCGAGAATGTTGCAGCACCACACTATCTTCTAAGTGCCACATTTAACAGAAGCTCCAACAAGATGTTTTTAAGACTGCTGTACAGTGTAACAAAAGCACACACATTAGACAGTGGGGATGAAGATCATTTAAGCAAATAATGATTTAATGATGATAACAGCAAAAATCAGAAGCAGCTTTGATGTTCAATCCAGATAAAACTAATTTCACAAGTACAATTTCAATGTGATTTTATGCCTACAAGAATTTTTTTGGTCGATTACAGCTCTAGTCCCACATTAAACCAACAATGGCACAAGATTAAGACCATAGACCACAGAGGAAGTTATAAACTAGGACAGGCATCTGTACCACGTTTTAATGAAGAGCTGTTTCGAGTCTCTTCTAAGAAACAATGAATACTGCTGTCTCCATAGACAGAAAATAAATGTGTGTTATAATTTGTTTGCCATATCAGAATAGCAACCATATGGCATTGTGACCAAAGTATTGTGTTAAGAATTATACGGCGAGATACAAGGCACAAAAACAAACTCATAGCCAGTAGTTCACTTACAGGACAGATTGACTTGATCTCTACGATCCTTTGGGTGGCCTATAAAGCTACAACAGGCTCTCGCTTGTTAGCTTCACTAATAAAAGCATCTTTAATGGCAATGATCTGATCAACACCTTTGCAGCAGCAGCGCAGAATTGTGTTCCGCTCTAATGATGACGTTGATGGCTACCAAAGTTATGATTGAGCCTCATCCTTGAGTTTAACTGAGATCTCTATATCATCTTACAGAATTTGTTTTGAATACACTTGTTTCAGTTGGAAAGTATTTCAAACCGATTTATTTAAATAATCTCTGGAAGAACATTTTTTCAGTTGATGCATATCTAATTATGTTCAAAACTGTACATACATTTTGAACATCATTATAGAAGGTATTGGCCATATCAAATTACGCTTGAACAAAATGTTGCATGACTTGAGCTTTGCTCATTTAAAACATCTAATATTCTCTGTACTAAGAATTATCCTTACGCTAGTAAAGTTGAATATTTGTACAGCCAACACAAAGGCCATGATTCTAAACCGGAATAGGTTCCCTGTCATCTCAAGGTGGTGGAGAGGTCCTTCTTCAAGCATCTTAACTCAGATAATTCTATAATGACTGCAGGAAGAAAAAAAAAACAACGTTTTTTTAATCAAACAACCATCTCTAAGTCATAATCCAATGTATGTGTGTATATATATATATATATATATATACACATATATATACACACATATATATACTGACCATTCAGGATCTAAACAATTGATTAATGGAAATAGTCATTAATAGCCATTGACCGGATACAATCGATCAAAATGATTAAAATGGCAGAGGGCTCCCTTAGAGATAATAGGGTAAGGAGGGCCGCTTCTTCTCCATGTCAAGAGAAGCCAGTTTGTGCAGGCTCCAGCATCTGTTTCAGATCCCTCCCTGCTCGTTTCCCCCGAGAGCTGTTCTGGGCATGTCCCACTGGGAGACTCCAGGGAAGACCCAGAACAAGCTGAAGGGACTGTGTCTCTCAGCATGGATAGGGAAGTCTGGTTGTCCCTGTATAAACTACTGCCACCACAACCCAAATGGAAATGGATGGAAACAAGCTGTTGCAGAAGTGCAAGCTCACCCTATACTCCAAAACATACATTATCAAATTGTTTTGGATTAGAATTACATTTTTAGATGTAGCGATGTATAGACAATAAGACATAATGAGGTCATGTTACAATTACTATGTCTGGGCAGGGATCAAATAACCAACATATGGCTTATAAATGTAGAATGGGCCATGGTAAGGAGGACAATGCATGAGTCAAGCTAACCCAAGTCATTTGGGGAAATGAATAGAGTTGTCAAAACGTATATCTACAAGGGGTGTACTAGCAAGGAAACCAGCTGGTAAAAATGTCACTAAACTGAGCCTTCCGATGTCCAAATCTAATGTGCAGCCATCACATTTAATACTGTACACTAACAATAACAACTTAGTCTGGTGCGTGCGTGAATGGTTGGTGGTAGTCAGAGGGGCCGATGGAATATACTGGTTACCTCGCTTTTGTCAGTGTACCCTAGGGCAGCTGTGGGACCATTAGTAGTTTATCACCATCGTGTATGGAGTGAATGAATAAGACACGTGAAGAGTCTGAGTGTCCAAAAGAGGCTATACAAAACCAATGCATTATTATGATGATAAACCTATAGCACTGCAGTTACTTGGATTACACTACTTGATTACATATGGCTGGGGTAAGTCTTGTCTTGTAAACTGTTGACTCAACAGTTATCATTTGACTATAACCAAATGATTCTTAGCTCACTAAACTCTATGAAAAGCAACTGTTCCAATAAACAAATTGTAACCACATCCTCTTCACTCTAGTTGCATGTTGAACCACAAGACTACAGAGCATCCACTCGACCATAGGTGTGCAAGTGAAGACACAATTTAACCATATGCATGCATTACTAGAAAAGGGTGAAGTTATTTAGGTAAAGAGTGTGTTAGTTTAACCATGTGGGCACTAGAAAAGCAGCTACAACACAGCAGCATACAGTTCATGTTGGATGACAGATACAAATTACACTGTCGTATGCATATAACCTTTAATGAAACAGTAATACCCCTTTTGTAAAGATTTTCTGAGATGATTGTGGCCACTTGAGCAAGATGATAAGGTCGTGGCTGTCACATAGTTATGTATTAATCTATTACAATTAACATTTGTAAACACGGCTTTGGAGAGGAAGCCCACCACAAACACCCATGTGTGTGCTGTAGCAGACATCATTTAAGCAGAATACCTGATCAAATATGCTTACCTGGGCTCAGGGAGGATAATTTTCTTGCTGGCTCGGGCCGCTGGAGTAGATTTGCTCTTCTCCATCGCCATCAAGTAACTCACATCGGCGAGCACCGCTTCTAGGTCCGCCATTTTCAACCCTGGAATGATCTAATTGATGAAAGACTGGGTTCGATGGGGTTGTATTAGGGGATCAGAAAACAAAGTCCTTCAGATATGAGCAGCATCAATGGTCGAGCTGGGTGACAGGAGCAGTGGAGCGAATAACAAGATAAATGTGGCGTTGCCTTGGTGGTTAATTTCCCCTCAGATCATTATATAAAAATCCCGTTTTGAGCCATTAGAAAGCTGGCGACAGGTCAACACAAAAACAAACAGCAGTGCAGGGTCACAGACCTTGCACTTGTCGTTTCAAGTCTAAAATGTGCATCAAAACTGGAAAGCAGAATTACAGCTGGGGTTTAACGCAGCACTTCCTTGGTTGTACTGCTGTAATGTGGCAAATACGCAAATAGTTACAAGAAAGGATGGGTTGTGAAACAGCTGTCAACTCCTACAGGTCTCGGGAGGTTGACGGCAGAGCCCAGTGGATGGAAAGGGACGAGTTTTCTGCATGTACCTCTGTCTTTATCATGTCAATAGAAGCAGGACTGTTGGAACCAGGCTGTTTGCGATCACACGCTGCACTGTGACAGTCGCTTCTTCCTTTTTCTAAGAATAGTAAAAACAGCTCAGTTGAATTCAGCGCTTGCTCGTCCTTTGCCCCACAAAACCCTTAAATATATATATATCTATATCACCAACGTAATGGCAGCAGCACTCCCGCACTCACACCGCTGAGAGGGTGGCCCAGAGTCATGTTGGAGACCCACAGATCCACGCACTGCAGTTGTTTATGATGCCGCGGTCGCTGCTTCCTGTGTAATGGTTAAGGTTCCATATCCAATCATCAATCATCAAAACGTCGCCAAAATGGTGCAGTAAACCGTGTGATCTCGCATCAAACCCAGGTCAAAAACGTCTCTTGGTTAAAAGGACATAGACAGACTCCACAGTGCTTGAGCAGGGCCGTTCTCCCCTCAGTATTTCTGGTGTTTGGTTCATGTGCTAGTTAGCTTCTCCGAGACGTGCTAGCAAAGAGAGACTTGTTAGCCAGCGGGCTAACTAAACGCGAGGTATGTGACACCAGTCGCTATGCGCATCTACGCTATCAAATACCCCACACAGGGAGCATCCAGGGTTGTTCGTTGGTTGAAGGCATCAAGATTAACACTGGCACGATTTCAGACACCGATTTAGTTGGTTAATAAGCTAGCGAAGGCGAGTTAAGTGGCCTGTCTGAAAGGGGAAGTATTTGCACCCTCCCCACAGCAGTTTCCGTGAAAGTCCAGGTTAAAAAACACACAATGCAAAAAATATCAACTTAATCCACATGTGCATGTATTGATCCGGAGGTCCCCGCAGAGACCATGCACAGAGAGCTGCTGTCTGAGGGCTGACCGTGGCGCAGACTGACTGTGGAGGAGGGGAGGGTTCATTGCGAGATGATGGCACTTGCCCACCGACACTGCTGGTTCTGAGACTTTTATTTATGAAACGAGAAAACGTACTCAACATATGCGTATACTTGAGACACGTGGACAAACCAGAGACTGATATGATTTCCTGCCCTCTACACAAATGTTGAGTTGACTGTGTGTGTTTCAAGATGCAATTTGGTCATTATTTTTATACATTTATTGGATATAGCAACAGTACATTTTAGTCTTGCAGTTTATATTTTGTAATTTTGTTATTTTCAATTGCAGAGGTTGTACTGCCAGTCTGTGTCCCATGTCTATGCTCAACCTGGACATCTTCAGCTCCCTCTCACATTGCAATATGGAAAGTTTCAAAACCAGGACTGGCTCTGACAGGAACATGAAGGTAATGGACTCTTGGTGTATTGTAGAAATGTCTACGGCCCACTAAACATAATTAATACTGGAAAATGTTTATTAACACAAACTGGTGAATTTATGCATCTGATTTAATAGCCGATCCCATCTGCAGAGTTAAAAAAGCACTTAAAATTTCCACTAATTAACGTGGGTATCATTTTTCGGAAATTCCAAATATTTAACGGAATAATTGTGTTATACACTGAATCAAATGCGTCAGTCAATTTTGATGGGAATGCAGCGCCTTCCCTCGGCCATTGGTTGTAATGCAGGTCCTTATTCCGTATGCCAGAACTACATATGTACTTTTCCTGTATTTAAAAAAACCGAGTTGACGTACCAAATTGATTTTACTGATGCCAAACACTTAGTGAATACAATATAGCTTATGATTACATAATGGTTTTGCTATAATTCTGTTTATTTTGTTGGCTGTTTATCACTCTGCTTCGAATAAAAAATGACACATTGTAAAAAGTGAATGGGGTTTAAGAAATACAGTTTATTCAGCAATAGGAAGCAGCAGTGGTCAAAAGAGAGGGGGTTACATGGGAAAGGGCCTTGTATAAGTGGTTACTGCTGAATACGGCGGATGGACTGGATTTGAGGGGTCTGGCAGTGGGATCCAAACTCCCTGAAGTGTTTGTACTCTCCACAGTGACGATCACACTCCATGATGTACTGGTATCCACGATATCCAGGGTACTGGTAGCACACAAATCTGTACAAGGAAAAGAAAACACACTGTAACTTTCTTGACATGTAGAGGAACTTTAGTACCTTAGAACTTTAGAACTTTTGGATTAGTGAAGAAACTTACGCTCCAGACTGGACCTTGAAGGAACCAACTTCATTGTTGCACCAGCCCATGGCCTGGAGTGAGGGGTAATCGTCACTGAGCTCGCCCTTGCGAGCAAGGAAGTTCTCACGCTCATAGATGGTCATACGGCATTCTCTGTGGTTCTGCAAAAAAATAAAATGTCCATTAATGCACATTCAGATACTGTAGATTAAATTGTCAGCTTAGGCAAAACTCTTACAGCACAGGCAATAGGCCTGAAGGAGGTCATCCTCTCGATGTGGTAGGCATTGCTTCCGCCAAAAGCATCGCACTGAGGATACTCTCCTCTCTCCAGCACAAACTGCTGTCCCTGGTAGGAGGCATGCTCATAACCCACCCAACTGAGGAAGACATTCAGAATGTTAGAATTAGGAGCCTTGTTTACGTTAATTTTAGTAAAATAGACTAGGTTTTACAGGACATAGTATTTTGATATTTGGGCGGAAAGTTAATGAACAATTATATTGATAAGCGATTACTAAAATAATTATTCTTTGGATTAATCAACTAGTTTATTAGAAGCAAATTTGCAATTCATTTCTCAATTTGACTTTAAAAAAGCTTAATTGAACGCTTACGCTCCGCTCTCCACTCTCAGGGAGCGCACGCTCTCAAATCCAAACTCCATCACGTTGCAGCACTCAGAAGTGAACTCATGGCGGCGACCCTGGAAGCACTCCTCGTCGTAGACAATGATCTGGAGGTGATGTGCACATTAATTAGAATTACTAGATGTATATTAAACATGACCAGAGAAACACACAGTTTTAAAACTACAAGGACACAAATGAAATAACATTCACAACTTTACTATCAACATTTAGAAATGTTTACACACAGCTCCAAATGTACCACTGTGTATAGCAAAGGCATACCTTCCAGTGGCCGGAAAACTTGGTACAATGGTGAGTCATCTTGGCTGAAAGAAAGAAATAAATCACACTATGGTCATTGAAAAATACATTTGCAAAAAACATTATGCTGTTGTAGAGTATATGTTACAATTTGACCTGGTTAAAGTTGCTTCAGGATACTAAATAAAATCAATTGGCTGTACATTATAAAAGCTTTAGCTGTATGTGAAAGAGTGTAAAATGAAATAATAAATCACTGGTTCTGCACGTTCCTCTAGACTTGGATGTGTCTATACATACTTTTAGCTTTAGCTTTTATGACACAACAATCCCATGTGGAGTAATGGGCAGATGTACTTTGCTAAAGCTGGACTATCAGTGGGACTTGGACTCACCTTGATTTGATGCTCTGGGGATGTCCTGCCGTGAGAGTGAGAGCAGCCACGCGCCCCCACCCTTTTAAAGCCTCCCCATGCTGAAAGCTCCGGGTCAGCAGCAGGGAGGGGCTTATTCTTTGTCACTAACAACAAAAGTGACATTTATTTGTAATGGGGTAGAACTGCAAACATCACATTATTGCTACAGGATATCAATTTTAAGTAGAACTCCATGAGTGGTGTGTTGAGGAGGATTTTGCCACGTATGTTTGTGTTACTATATTGCAATGTGTGTGACACTGTGACTTCATCATTTTGATCTTGGGCGAATAAAACGTGACTATGTCAAAGGAAGCAAAAGTGCTCTATGATTTGATATTATAGTGATGGGTGATGTCGCATGTTGATGAAATTGAGGAAGGTAATGTTACATAAATACCAGTAAATATTGCCACATAAAACAATGTTATTATTGCATTTTTTCTTTCTATTTCAGGTTTTTATAGGATTCAGGGTTTGTTAATAAAGTCATGCACAGAATGGATAACCTTTCACAAAGAGTTTTGCAGGATAATAATCCATAATCAAAACAATATTAAAGTAAAAGAAGTTACCATGGATAACTGTTTTTCCTGTAAACTATTATTTCATAACAATTATGGAGCCTTGTTACAGCTACAAATAAAAACCGCATTGTTCTGTGGGGTTTATTTGTCATATATTGTTTGTTTGTAGTTTTCCACCAGGGGACATGGGATCATGAAAGTGCTTTTGAACTTTTTAACATTAATAAGCTATTGTTGTATAGTTCAATAGTTGTGTTGGAGGCTAAGAGGAAGGATTACCTCCACATTCCACCTTTCCACATGCACTGTAGCATATGGCTGGAGCCCCGCCTCACATGCAGAAAATGCTTTACTCAGTGGTTTCTTTTGACGGTGAAGTGCTTACAGGCTGGCCAGAGAGAGGCCGGCAGTGTTTTCTGGGCTTCATGATGACCCGTGGCTTTGGTGCTGTCCACTATGATGACGAGAGCCTTTTCATTGTGCTCTGAGCCTCCAGGTTTGGCCTTTGCCAGAGTATAAAAGCTTGTGGAGAGAGTTGAAGGGACCAGCACAAGCCAGCCACTCTAACACGGCACTACAAGCTATACTCACGCAGGTAAGGATATATGCAGACACACGGCATAACAGTGTATTGCAAGGATGACCACTCACTCCCAGCAAGCCATACTGATTCAAACTTTCCTCATCTGGGAAAGTGGTCAGATTAATGGCTTCAAAGCTCAAACATGAAATTAAAAAGCATCATGAACTCCCATAGTGTTATTGTTTTACTTATTTATCTGTTTGTTTCATCTAAGACTTTCCTGAGCCCCTCACTATGTCTCAGTCTGCCAAGTCCGCCTCCAACCAGGGCACTGACGCCAAGGACAAGGGAGCCCCTACTCCTGCTGCTTCCAGTAAGGCCACCAAGACTGGAGAACCCGGAATGGGATCCTACAGAGTGAGTTCAGACTGATTTTTACTGAGCATTGTGATTTAGTGTACCCAAAAATAGTGCTTCAATGAAGACAACTACTAGTAATTTGAATCTCTATATGAGCAACTGTGCAAAATCGTACACGACCTCTATTAAAGTAAAAAGTGTTGGCATCTGCTGATGGGTATATAACGTCTCTCCCCGGCAGATCATGCTCTTCGACCAGGAGAACTTCCAGGGAAGAATGATTGAAGTCCAGAATGAGTGCATGAACGTTTGTGACCGTGGCATGGATAGAGTGCGTAGTATCATCGTGGAGTGTGGCCCGTAAGCTAACACACTCACATGCCCAGGTTTACTTACCATATATCTGTATACCAATGACTCATATTCTTCATATCTTCCCTCTTTTCTCTTCTCTTCTTCTCACTTGTGCCTCTCTGCACCTGGTGCCCCTCTTTCTCCAGCTTTGTTGCTTTTGAGCAGAGTAACTTCCGTGGGGAGATGTTTATCCTGGAGAAGGGAGAGTATCCTCGCTGGGATACCTGGAGCAACTCCTACCGTAGTGACTGCCTCATGTCCCTCAGGCCAATCCGCATGGTATTCTTGAATATCACTGATCATTCACATAATTGTTTTGTTCTGACAAATCACCAAAAGAACTTCAAAACCTTGGTATTTGTCTACATAGGACAGCATGGAGCACAAGATCTGCCTGTATGAGCTCTCCGACTTCAAGGGCAACAAGATGGAGATCCAGGAGGATGATGTGCCCACCCTCTGGGCGCACGGCTTCTGTGACAGAGTGGGCAGCGTGAGGGTGCCTGGAGGAGCGTAAGTGCACAAACAGTGATTAGCTCAGTGTGGATACTGCTATCTTGTACTCATCATTGTAGCTTTTCGCTAGGTTAAAAAGTCTGTGTCTGTGTTTATACCAGCCTGACCATGACAAAAAGCAGCCTGAGAACTTGTACCCATAAAAGCAGAGCTCTGTGCTATAAATGTTCCTTAGACGTTGCTCTCTGTGAAGCTGCAGGCCCGTAATGACTTACAATGTAGTGGCTCATGAAAAATAGCCTTTCATGTCATCACAAGGTTGACAGCTGACTGCATGGCATTTTGTTTGTCAATAAATCTCTATTTTAAGCAACTATGTTGATAATGTATCCAAGCAACAAACATGCAGATACAGTAGCTTGAAATGTAATCTTTAGAAACTCAAAATGTCAAACAGAATCTAAGAAACACATCTATTACTATTACTATTACTAACAGTATTTCTTCTCCTCTCTCAAACACAGCTGGGTTGGTTATCAGTACCCTGGCTACAGAGGATACCAGTACCTGTTTGAGTGTGGTGATTACAGACACTACAACGACTTCAGTGCTTTCCAGCCCCAGATCCAGTCCATGCGCCGCATCAGGGACATGCAGTTCCACCAGAGAGGAGTATCCAACAGATCAGTGAGTGGATGCAAAACAACTTCCTTCAGCTAAACGCAGACAAAACTGAAATGATTGTCTTTGGTCCCCAGAAACAAAGAGAGAGCGTCATCTGTCACCTACAGTCTCTCTCCCTAAAACCTTCAAACAAGGTCAGAAATCTAGGGGTAATACTGGACTCAGACTTAAATTTTAATAGCCACATCAAATCAGTAACATCAGCAGCTTTTTACCATCTAAAAAACATTGCCAGGATCAAAAACATAGTGTCTAAAGCAGACTTGGAGATTCTTATCCATGCATTTGTCTCCAGTAGGTTAGACTACTGCAATGGCCTGCTCACAGGTCTGTCCAAACAGGCTGTAAAACAGCTGCAGTACATTCAAAATGCAGCAGCTCGAGTCCTGACAAGAACCAGGAAGTACGACCACATTAGTCCAGTCCTCAGGTCTCTGCACTGGCTTCCTGTGGCTCAGAGAATAGACTTTAAAACAGCTCTGCTTGTGTACAAGTCTCTCCATAGCCTCGCACCAAAATATATTAGTGACATGTTAGTCCCATATGAACCAGCCCGGACTCTGAGGAGCACAGGGACTGGACTCCTGTTAGTGCCCAGAGTCAGAACTAAACATGGGGAGGCTGCTTTTCAGATTAATGCTGCTAAAATCTGGAACAGTCTTCCTGAAGATGTGAGACAGGCCTCCTTTCTGACAATGTTTAAAACCAGGTTAAAGACGGTTCTGTTTAACTGTGCATACAACTGAGGGATTTTATATTTTTATCTTTCTTTTTAATGTTCTGTGATAATTTATGATTTTAATGCTTTCTTGTTTTGTTCAGCACTTTGAATTGCCTTGTGTATGAATTGTGCTATATAAATAAACTTGCCTTGCCTTGCCTTGCCTTGAGGTCTCCCATCATAGTGCTAACCAGGCCCTGCCCTGCACAGCATCAGAGGTCTGATGAGATCTGTCTTCTACATGCAGGTATGGTCAAAATGAAATGATCTCAATACTAGACTGGTTCAGAGCCATCTCAGCCTGGAGCAAGTGCTAGTTACCATAGCAACATTGTTTACTTGCAGCAGTTAGCATTTTATGTATATTAACCAGTTTTGGCATTTATTAACAATAAAAACAGTATTTATTACTAGATTTTGATCAAAGTAGAGAAAAACTAGAACTATTTTTTGTTACTGTTACTAGCCTGGGAGTTCTACTTGTTTCAGAATTCTGGGAGTCCTCGTGCGTGAGTAAGTGAGTCAGTAATCTTTATTCATATAGCTCCTTTCACAGACCAGAGTCACAAAGCGCTTTACATTTGTTGTGGGCATTTGTCTCTCACTCCACACAGATGGGAGCGGGGTCGCCACAGGAGGCACATGCCAGACCTATTGTACAACACATGCCAGACCTATTGTACAACAGGTACAATAGGTTTAGAGGTAGGGGAAACCGGAGCACCCAGAGGAAACCTATATAGACACAAGAAGAACATGCAAATTCCACACAAAAACAGGAGTTGAAATCGAACCTGCAGGACTTTCTTGCGGTGAAGCACAAACGCTAACCACTCTGCCACCTTGCTAGGCAAGGCAAGGCTTGTGTATGAATTGTATAGCACAATTCATACACAAGGCAATTCAAAGTGCTGAACAAAACAAGAAAGCATTTAAATCATAAATAATCACAACACATTCAAAAGAAAGATACAAATATAAAATCCCTCAGTTGTATGCACAGCTAAACAGAACTGTTTTTAACCTGGTTTTAAACATTGTCATTGAGGAGGCCTGTCTCACATCTTCAGGAAGATTGTTCCAGATTTTAGCAGCATGAATCTGAAAAGCTGCCTCCCCATGTTTAGTTCTGACTCTGGGCACTAACAGGAGTCCAGTCCCTGTGCTCCTCAGAGTCCGGGCTGGTTCATACGGGACTAGAGGTGCAACAGTTCATCACTGATCCGTGATCCGTTCGGTTCAACGTCTTCGGTTCGGTACAGACGTGATCCGCGGTTTGATTTATGAAAAAAAAGTTGTGCGCACGTTGTTCAGTCCACACACAGCGCGGTCATTGCGAGCGGAGGAACAGAGATGCTTGAAAGCCACGCGTCATTTAAATCCCCAGTATGAGAGCATTTTGGCTTCACTGTAAATACACTGATCATTAATATTCAACAAAACTGTCACGATGTGTAAGCACTGTGGCACAAGAAAGACATGAGTGAAAAAAGCGTCTCAACGACCGCTTATTGTCGCGGCATTTAAGCAGCTCCTTTACGCACAGTCAGACCGGGCTAAAGTCAACTCTCCCGCGCATCCTCAGCTGCGCTCACGACTGACGCTCGGACGTCCCGCGGAACCTATAATAGATCCATGAGCGGAACCGCTCACTTCATCACCGCAGACTGGGAGATGAAAAGTTTGGCGCTGCAGCCCCCTCTACGACAGTCACACAGTCACACAGCGCAGGTACTGACACAAGCAGCGGAGGAATGGAAGACAAAGGCCCAGTACTAATATCCCAGTCACAACTGATAATGCCAAAAATTAAATAAATGCAGTGATGGAGGCTGGGCCCAGAATGGAGCGCCTCCTCGGGAGAATAATAATAATAATAATAATGCATCGGTTTTATATAGCGCTTTTCTGGACACTCAAAGACGCTTCACATGTGTCATTATTCATTCACTCCATACACGGTGGTGATAAACTACTGCTGTAGCCACAGCTGCCCTGGGGCACACTGACAGAAGCGAGGCAACCAGTATGCGCCATCGGCCCCTCCGACCACCACCAACCATTCACACACACACCAGACTCATTCTAGGCAATGGGGGTGAAGTGTCTTGCCTAAGGACACAACGGCAGTTTGGCACTTTACAGCCGCAGCCGCCCCACTGTGGCTGGTGTTCCCAGAGGTTAAGTGTCTTGCCAAGGACACAACGACAGTAGTCAGAGGGAGTCGATGGTGAAAGTCTTGAGCGGGGCTTGAACCCACGACCTTCTGGCTCAAAGGCCAAAGCTCTACCAACTGAGCTACTGCCGCCCGAATCAGGAAGGTGGTGTAATATATGAGGGTAAATATCCTCATAAAGTGCCTTCTTATGTTGCACTTTGTGTTGTTTTTCATTAATATGTTAAATAGACATAATTGGATGGATGGAATATTCCATCCATCCATCCATCCATTTTCTTCCCCTTAATTCATTTCTAGGTCAGGGGGGGGGGGGGGGCAGTCAGAGCAGGTGCCGAGTCCACATGAGCTGTGTTTATTAAAAAGACAACACTTTTTTTTTTGAAAAATGAACCAAAAAATGAACCGAAACGTGGCCTCTGAACCGAGGTACGAACCGAACCGTGATTTTTTCAAACCGTTGCACCCCTATATGGGACTAACATGTCACTAATATATTTTGGTGCGAGGCCATGGAGAGATTTGTACACAAGCAGAGCTGTTTTAAAGTCTATTCTCTGAGCCACAGGAAGCCAGTGCAGAGACCTGAGAACTGGACTAATATGGTCATACTTCCTGGTTCTAGTCAGGACTCGAGCTGCTGCATTTTGAATGTACTGCAGCTGTTTTACAGCCTGTTTGGACAGACCTGTGAGCAGGCCATTGCAGTAGTCTAACCTACTGGAGACAAATGCATGGATAAGAATCTCCAGGTCTGCTTTAGACACTATGTTTTTGATCCTGGCAATGTTTTTTTTTGCTACTGCAGCGCTTTTAACTAATATACTGCTGGATGTGTCAAAAAACACCTCCTGATTACAATGAGATTCTTGTAAAATTTCCCAGACTCCAAGACAGGCTGGGTCTTTCACAGACCAGAGTCACGAAGCAGTTTACTATTGTTGTTTTTTGGGCATTTGTCTCTCACTCCACACACAGATGGGAGCGAGGTCAGCAGTACAGGAGGCGCATGCCAGACCTATTTTACATGTTTTTAGTGGTAGGGGAAACCGGAGTACCTGGAGGACACCTACGCAGACACAGGGAGAACATGCAAACTCCACTCAGAAAGGCCCTGATCCAACCAAGATTCGAACTCAGGACCTTCTTGCCGAGGAGCGAGAGTGCTTTCCACTCAGCCACCGTGCCGCCCATGCCCACAGTTATACAGACTATAGGGAGGGTCATAATAATAGCTTACTAATGTAAATACACAGCATAAGCTAAAATATAAGTTTGGTCAAATAAATTAGACTTATGCATTTTTAAATTCTTGTGTGTGGTCCTGCATGCAACACCTGTGACAAACTATTTTGCACTTTTCTATTGTTTTCACCCTAACTTCACTTCTAGGCTGTTACCAGTTCACATCCATTTCCTCTTGACTGTTGTCTGTGACACATGCTTTGCCCTGTCTGTTGTATCTGTATTCTTAATCCAGTTCAAACCAGTTTTTGTTTATCAGGCAGACAGAAGCAGCCTGTATTGGAGAAGCCAAAACATTATCCACGTGACCTCTGTCATCTCGTGTGTATGCGGGACCTCAGTGTTATGTGTGCACTGCAGGGAAAGGTAAGGCGTAACCAAACACACCAGACTGGTGACTGCGGCATAATAACAGGTCTCATCAAAGACCAAGAGAACCATAATCAATTGGTTTGATTTAACAGATATTTATGTGGAAGGTCCCAAAAGACAGAGTTAAACTGTATCATAAAGAACATAGAAATCACATTGTATTATCACATTAACCACATGCTAAAGTCAGAGATTTTGTACTTATTCTTCTCTTCTTTTTTTTGCAAAGTTGGAGATTTTGTATTTAATTCTTGCTTCTTTGTTCTGCTAAAGTTGGAGATTTAAGATTTGCTTCCTTCTAATGCTAAAGCCAGACATTTAACACTTGCTTCTTTTTATGCTAAAGTTAAAGATTGTATTTTATTCTATTTTAGCATAAAGTTATTGTTCATTTTTCTTGTGTTGAGTGCTCCTCTTTCCTACTATTCTGTAACCGGTGATGCAACACATACATTTCCTCACTGTGCGACAAATGAGGAATTCTTAATCTAATCTTTATTATCGCATTATCGACACAGTATATCAATGTGCACTTCAGTTGTATGAGCCCCGAGGTTTTAAAGCTGGTGTTTTTAGCTGTTTTTAACTAGATTTCATGGGACCATCCCAGTTTTCAAATCCCAGTTTGACCTATAAACACGCTTTTGTTAACATATGAAACAAACCGTGTAATTTCTTCAGCAATAACAGGTTTGAGCGCGCGCCAGAGGGAAGATTAGCAAATGAATAGGCAGAAAAATATTATTATTATATAAACTTTTCTCTTTATGCTGTACTGAAACAACTGCCATTAAGAGAATTTCTCCACTCTTTTTTTAGAGTTCTTGGGCTACAGAAGGAATTAGGTCAGATGCTCATTTGTCTGGTAACAGCACAGACAGAAACTGAAAACACACAAAGATCTATAGAGGGAGGAAAAAGTGCAATCCCCACCATGAGAGTAAATCTACACCAAGTTTTCTTATAAAATAAACCTTTATTTATCAAAAAATGATCATGTTATTAATAATATAATTCACAAAATGGAAGAAACAGCAACAGAGCATAAGAAAACAAAATCTAGTGCAAAAAGAAAATCACATAGAAAAATATATTGCACTTGGTATTTAGAAGTTTTAGGTAGAAGTCTTTGAAATTGTTTTAAATAATCTTTCAATTTGACGTATTTATCTGTAAACATTATATATTTTTATGCTTTGATATGATGTCCTAAAGCATGAACCTTCAGCTATCGTCCAGCCTTCTACCCTAATCAGTTTGGTTGGTTCCTGTGGTTGGCCGGACTTGTGCTTTCTCTCCTTTTAGAGTTTAAACCTTGTTACCCATGAGTTATTCAATGCTTAAGATGGTCATTCATGAAAAAACAAACAAAAGCATTAATCTCACAAGGCCTGTTTTTGCTCATAACTGCTCATATCTCGTCTTTGTTCAAGGAAAAGTTTGGCATCAACCTAAAATTGATACCGCTGTCTCAAACACATGGGCACAGAAAGCTTGTAGCCCGGTGTGAATGTGCCTTTATGATTTAAAAGTAGCCAAGTATTTGTGAACAGTCTAGCATATAAAGCTGAGTAAAAACATCCATAGAAAACAGTAATAACGGTATGTGCAAATCTCATTGTAAGGCAGATGTGCCACCACTGGGCAACTTGTCCATGTGACGCCAGAGGACGGATGGAGAAGATCCGGGTCTCTATCCCTGGTCCACTCATCCAGGGTCACCGAATACTCACTTTCAGTCATATTCTTGGTGATATGTGTGGTATTCTGGTGCGAAGGCTGTTTGGGCTGTCACTGTCTGGAGCGGGAGCAGCTTGCAGATGCAGTCTTGCCGTTGTCAGCGAGACGGGCACACATCAGGCCTTCTCAGATCCGAGCTCCCACAGTCCTCAGGGGCAGGGTACGGGTCCACCTGAACCGCAGCAGATCAGAGTTATCAACATGTTCTAACTTCACCCTTAGCTGAGCAAAGAGCAAAACCCATAGCAGCTGACCAACACATTCTGAGGAGATGTCCATGTGTATAAATGAAACTCATATTATGTTTCAAAGCCTCAGCATGTACCCGAGGTACACTCACAATCAAATGTATGGATGTTGCAGCTGTAGTTAATGCTTTCATCAATCTGATATTTGTCTATTTTTAAAACTGTTTACTCAGTGGAGGTCATATAAGTAGAGGAGGGCGTGCACTGTACCTCGGAGTAGAGTGGTGGGGGCAGATATCTGAACTCTGTGATGTAAGAGAGTACAGAGGCAGGGTCCTCTCCTTCTGAGTCATGCCTATCACAGCCACGCAGGCAGTCTCGCCTGTGAGACTCTGATATGGCCAGGTCGCTGTAACTTGGAGGAGCTGCCAAAGAATTGCAGAATTGTTAAACATGTTCTTAATGTGCTTAGAGAGTAGTGAGACATGTGTTTACATACCCTCTGGAAGGTCCGCCAGGCCCAGCCAGCTCATCGCGCTGCAGTTGCTGCTGATGCTGGATGTACGTGAAGCAGAGGCGTAAAGAGGTATGGTTCCGATCACCAATGGTAATGACAGCGACAAGTTTAGCCCCCCAGGAATGTCCACGTACACCTGTGGGACAACTACATTAAATAACTTTGTCTTCCTATTAGGACTAAAGGTTTGGCATGAAAGTGTGGGGGAGTAAATAAAAATGTATTCCAAATATATTATAATATTTATATAAAGCGCCTTGTAGACGCTTTGTTGAGTGCAATGTAAAGAACGATGCATACATCTGAAACTCAGGACACAGTGGTGGTAACTCACTCACATTTAAGATTTACAATAGAGAATGTGGAGAGTTTACAGCCTCTGCTGTCTTTATGTGGTATTCTCAACAGTCTCCCAACACAGTATTAACCAGTTTTCACACCACTTAACTTCTGTAATCTAACAAGATCAGGCTTTGACAGGCAGGTGTGCCCACTAGTAGATTTCAGATAAATTAACAGTAATCCAAAATATATAATTGCCAATTACCATGAATCAGTTCTTTCATAGAACTCCACTGAATATACTTCATACTGAATATATTCTTTAAATGTTCTAAACACAGTAGTACTTTGCTTAGAACATTAAAAGCAAATTTTGAGACACGTCCATCATAGGTACACTTCAACTGTGAGAGACAGAATGTGAAAAAAAAATCCAGGAATTCACATTGTAGGATTTTTAAAGAATTTATTTGTAAATTATGGTGGAAAATAACTATTTGGTCACTTCAAACAAGGAAGATCTCTGGCTCTCACAGACCTGTAACTTCTTCTTTAAGAAGCTCTTCTGTCCTCCACTTGTTACCTGTATTAATGGCACCTGTTTGAACTCGTTCTCTGTATAAAAGACACCTGTCCTAAGCCTTAAACAGTTAGATTCCAAACTCCACTATGGCCAAGACCAAAGAGCTGTCAAAGGACACCAGGAAAATAATTGTAGACCTGCACCAGACTGGGAAGAGTAAATCTACAATAGGCAAGCAGCTTAGTGTGAACAAATCAACTGTGGGAGCAATTATCAGAAAATGGAAGACATACAAGACCACTGATAATCTCCCTCGATCTGGGGCTCCACGCAGGATCTCATCCCGTGGGGTCAAAATGATCATGAGAACGGTGATCAAAAATCCCAGAACCAAATGGGGGGACCTGGTGAATGATCTGGTAGTGTGTTACCATCAGTTACCATCAGTAACACACTACAACGACAGGGAATCAAATCCTGCAGTGCCAGACGTGTCCCCCTGCTGAAGCCACTGCATGTCCAGGCCCGTCTGAAGTTTGCCAGAGAGCACATGGATGATATAGCAGAGGATTGGGAGAATGTCATGTGGTCAGATGAAACCAAAGTAGAACTGTTTGGTATAAACTCAACTCCTCGTGTTTGGATACTGAGTTGCATCCCAAGAACACCATACCTACTGTGAAGCATGGGGGTGGAAACGTCATGCTTTGGGGCTGTTTTTCTGCTAAGGGGTCAGGACGACTGATCCGTGTTAAGGAAAGAATGAATGGGGCCATGTATCGTGAGATTTTAAGCCAAAACCTCCTTCCATCAGTGAGAGCTTTAAAGATGAAACGTGGCTGGGTCTTCCAGCATGACAATGATCCCAAACACACCGCCCGGGAAACGAAGGAGTGGCTCCGTAAGAAGCATTTGAAAGTCCTGGAGTGGCCTAGCCAGTCTCCAGACCTCAACCCCATTGAAAATCTGTGGAGGGAGTAGAAAGTCCGTGTTGCTCGGCGACAGCCCCAAAACACCACTGCACTCGAGAAGATCTGCATGGAGGAATGGGCCAAAATACCAGCTACTGTGTGTGCAAACCTGGTAAAGACCTATAGTAATTGTTTGACCTCTGTTAATGCCAACAAAGGTTATATCACAAAGTTTTGAGTTTAATTTTTGTTATTGATCAAATACTTATTTTCCACCATAATTTACAAATACATTCTTTAAACATCCTACAATGTGAATTCCTGGATTCTTTTTCACATTCTGTCTCTCACAGTTGAAGTGTACCTATGATGAAAATTACAGACCTCATTATTTTAAGTGGGAGAACTTGCGCAATCGGTGGCTGACTAAATACTTTTTTTGCCCCACTGTATATGTACAGGATATATTTATTCTCATGACAACAGATCCACAGTTATGTGACACATAATGTCACCATGTTCTTAAAATGTGTAAAACACATTACTTTGAAAAAACCTGTACCAGCTTTAGAGCACATTTTAGAAGAGGCCAGTCTTAAAAGGACACAACTAAAAGTATTTATGATGTTGAAGAATGGGAGGGAGTGGTGTGGCGGAGGTCATGGCAGGAGTTCTCAGGAGCAGCTCCACAAAGTAACCTACAGTATTATCTGTGTCTGACACTCACCATAAGTACATACTCCACTTTGATGATGGGACAGTCCAGGATGGAGGGGGATACAGGGGGGATCTTGAGCATTTTCCCTTCCCAGCTCTGGCTCTTGCCCTGAGGTAGAGGATCTCCTCGCAGATTGGACACCAATTGCTGAATTTCTTTGCCCTTGCCCTTGGCGTAAAACGTCTGTGTCTGATAGAGTGCAGCTTTTGGAACCACCACCCGAGTCGAGCAGTTCTCCACCTCAGCAAAGATCTGGATGGATTCACCTTAGAGAAAGGGGAGAAGATATCAGTCTGACAGACTGAGAGGGAGGAGATGGAGAAGTGTGAGTCGTAAGGAAGTTAAAGAGAAGAGTGGAAGATGGTGTGTATGAGCTGTGCCTCACCTGGTGTGTAGCCTTTTCTCTCTATCTTTGCACTCAGAGAAATGGGCCCCGAAGCACAGAACCAACAACACAGCGTCTTCTCCTTGGAACCCGCCTGCGGAGCCTGCACACACACACACAGACACAGGCACACACACGCACACACAAACACACACAGAGGCACGCACGCACACACAAACACAAACACACACAGAGGCACGCACACACACACACACAGGCACACACACGCACGCAGACACACGCACACAAACAGATACACACACAATATGTTAAAGTCTTGACGTTCCAAATGATCGGGTTATCAGTGTGGCTAGTGTCGTCCTACCAGCAGCAGTGGAGTGTTGATGTCGATGTGCTCGAACACAATGAACTCTTTCTTGGCTTTCACGGGGAGCAGCCATGGCCGGTGCAGTTCAGCTTTCACCCAGTACTTTACACTGCCATGCTTCCCTTCAAAGGAAGTGGCTAAGGCCCTAAAGTCAGAGAGGAAGGGTGGGGAGGAACAGCATGAGGACACGTGGGTGGTCTGCGGCTGACTTAATGCTCTGACACGCATCGCTAACTACACAACAGTTGGGAAGTGCATATTTACATCTGAGGCAGGTTGAAGCTGAATGCAAACTCGTGTAATCCAGTGTGCAGAACAGTCAAGCCTTCCTCTGGACCGTCTCCATCTGAAACAGAAACATCACTGTAACCGCTAAACACACACAACACACCCCAGACTGAAGATCACACAGTCACTGAGACACTGGGCCGAGAACAGAAAACAAACACATTATTTGGGGAATTTCAATGTTTAATTTGAATCATGACATACAAAAAACAAAACATTTTTATGGTGTCATCAAGTTTGTATCAATTTAAAAACATGGCCAATGTCAGTAAACACTTCAGAAACCAGCAATTTTCTTTGGAAATGCAGAGTTACATAACAAAATCAATAGCAGTTAAAATGTAAAACAAAAGGGAGGCATAGCAGACATGTATAAATAGCAGGCCTTTATAAAATAGTCCAAGTTATAAAACTAAGTTATATAGTTTTACAATTGGCCCAAAATACAGAAATTATCCTCAGGCTGTCACAAAGTTTGTTTGCAAAGAAGATGAAGTGTTAGTTTAAGTCCAGGAACAGAATGGGATCGACTATTCGACTAGAGCAGAGATCGGGATCATTTTTAGCTGAGAGCCAAAAAAGTCTCATACTTTTAAATGTGTTTATGTGGGAGCTATACACATTATTTTATTACTGTGAATACGTGGGATTTTTTCAAAACAAGATCGACGCATTAAGAGTGTAATGTTAGTCTGAGAATGTATAATATATATAAAAAATAAAAAGAAGAAATCCAATACATAAAACATTCTCTAGCCAGATGTGGCTCTTTTGATTATTTATGTCTGAGAGCCAGACACAATCATTAAAAGAGCCACATCTGGCTCCTGAGCCACCGGTTCCTGACCTCTGGACTAGACAGTCCGATCATAGCCTCCCGTTTCAGGGGAGTGACCGACAGATTGTGTTCAGTGAGAGAAGGCTGTGATCCGATCTTCACGCCCCCCCTGGTCCTGGACACAGCAGGTCCTGGAGAGATGGAAAACTGAAGCCGATCACCGCCTCATCAGAAAGTACAGTCTGTTTCCTCTGCGGCCTCTGTGAACCACGTGGTGCTGAGAGGTGAGGACGCATTCACTGACGGCCATGTATTAGATAACTTTAGATCCTGAAGATTCTAAAGTCAGGGACACAAGGGCAGGCTTCGACTCAAGGTCCTGGGTGATGGTGGGAAATGTAAAAGTCTAATTCTTTCAGTCGAGACACTTCTTCTCTGAAACAACCATATCAGTTTCCAAGTATGAACAAAGCAAAAGAAATAAAATTGCCACATTGCCTCAAAAAAGTATTATTTTGAGTAAGACATCTTAGTCTATTGTCCAAAAACGAGCATTTATAAATATCACCTTGGTATTGACATTACTTCGTGCAGTTAGTCCTGGTCGTATCAAAAGTAAGAGATCCTTTATTGTTGCCCCAGTGGAGTCAGAGTTACAGCACAGGTTACAGAACAGAAGGAACGGGGAGCACATAAATACACAATAAGATAGTGAACATTAAGCATAGATCAAAACCTTTACATTTAGCTTAATAAACCTCAATGTATAAAACTGTATTAAATATATACATTACATTTATTTCAATTTGAATTATTAATGTCATTTTCAAACACAAAACAAGAAAAAACCTAATACAGTATTCATACTGTTGGGACATGAAAAGAAAGTCAAAGTCACTTTTAACTGAGAAATAAGTGTAACATATGTGTATATAATCCTACAGTATCAAAGTACTCAAATTATACACACGCACAAGGCAGAGGTAATTAAAGAAAATGAAAATACCAACAATGGTAAATGACAAATAGAAATACCACAAGGGTAAGATCACATCCCCGAAAACAGTTATCAACATGAACTGGGACATAGATATCACGTGACTTACAACTCGCCTTCTTTATACTGTGACCAGACTTTTACTTTATAGAGAGACATGAAGCAGGAAATACTTTAACATTTAAAAAAAAACATTGTACATTGAAAAAAAGGGGGGTATTTTAAGGGTATTTTATGTATCATACGTGCTGTATTCTTGTTTGCAAAAGACATTTCAGATGTAGCACAAACGGGATGTGGGTGCGTGTAAGCCTGTATGTGTATGTGTGTGTCCACGCGCGTGCCTGTGAGCGTGCGTCTGACAAGTCACTGAGCGCGAGCAGGAGCAGACCGGTATGAACCAGACTGAGCAGCTCTTCTGGCTGGAAACTCCACATACACACACACACACACACACACACACACACACACACACACACACACACACACACACACACACACACACACACACACACACACACACACAGGCATACGCATACGCACAAACCCGCACGTCACAACTCCAAATCTGATTGGACGAGAACTCTGCATCTCAAGTTGCTATTGGCGTAGACCAGCCAGATCCCGCCCACATGAGCCTGACCGGGCCACGTGCTGACGGCGTGAGGTCCCGGGGAGAGGGAGGACCAGGTACAGGGGGCTCACCGGGGTTCACACGCAAACTTTAGTAGAATTAGCGTGTGTGTGTGTCGAGGGAAAAGCTCAACCAGGCACAGAATTTTGAGAATCAGTAACTGTTGAAAGTGTTGCATCCTTTGCTGTAAACTATGAATGCATTGTACCTGCCAAACACATTAATAATAATAATAATAATACAACATTGAATTTGGGTGAGGTCATAAACACCTGCTTTGCTCACATCCCTACACACCAATAACATAATATTAACATACTGATGCGCCCTAAATGACCACATAGACGAGCTACAAGTATAGACCAGCTCGGAGCAGGCCCTACACAAGATGTTTGCTTTGAAAGACGTAATCTCATCAGTATAACAGTTTAGATTTGCTATATGCGAGCCCCGGTGGACTTACAGCGAATACAAAACATTTTCTTTGGTATCTGCTTATCAACTAAACAAAGTGATTGTGGTTTTGAAATGTAGTCCAGGTATAGGAAGTGGTTTTTAGGGTTAGACAACAGCTGAGTCTCACTCTTATAACGCACTTGAATGAGCAGTGGTCCTCCCCCTCCCTCCTCCTCACAGCTCTCTGAACAGGTTTGAACCGCTTCTAACAAAGGGAGTTGCCTGAACTGCACTGGAAACGATGAAACTAGAGAAATGACAGAGTTCTATCCTGGTTTAAGTTTTATTTTTTACCAAACTTATCATTTAGAAACATGATTATGTAAAATTCTTCCCAAAAGACTTGAACGTGTGAGTGGCAGAGCTCAGACAGACTGGTGATGTTGAGATGAAAAGTATGTCAGACCAGGTAAAAAAAACCATAGGGGTAATGTTTATTAGGGGCAGTAAACACATTAAGGTGATGGGGTTTAGCTATTTCTTAGTGATCAAGTTAAGGCTCGCTAGGGCATCTCATATCAGCTGTTGCATCAGCACCACTCAACAGCTCCGTACCCTGATGCATACAGAAAAGTGATGAGGACGTGTAGCATATGGGCTGATAAAGGCTCCAGTCACCATCACTATTGTCATGGAGAGAATATGTCATGTAGCTATAAGAACAGCGTTATACCATAGACCAAAGATATGTGGAATATGGAAGCCCAGCTCCCTCAAAGCCCTTGTTGTGTTGTTTGCTGTTGCCACGACTGCAGCCTGTGCAGTTTCAGTAACTTTGTGCAGACTGTGTCCTGCTGCTTACCTCGATCCTCTCCGATCAAGGTGTCACAGTGATGCAAGTACTCCACTTCCTCGGTGTAGTTCTGAGTGTACGCCGTGTTGGCTCCCGCATTGCGAGACTCAGTCCATCGCACTTTGGCCACTCCTCTGGCCGTGATGTCCAAGCTCTTAACGCGGACATCACCAGTGACCTCCACTACTACGCGCCCTGACACCAGGTCCCCGCCGGAAAAGGCCGGCAGATTGTGCTCATTCAGAGAGTCGAAGAAGATGGCCAGGGCGCGGACCTTTCCTAGCACCATGGTAAAGGCCTGTGTGAACAGCTGATAGAGTCAAAGGAGGACGAGCAGGCGGTCCGGCCCGGAGCCCGCGGTGCAGCCTGTGTCCGCGCTCATCTGGATCCGCAGAGTGGCTCTCTGTCTCTCTGGGGACAGCGCCTCTCCTCCGTCAGGGAGTAGTCTGCTCTGAGTCCGATCAGAGTCTGCTCTGAGTCTGATCAGAGTCTGCTCTGAGTCTGCTCTGTAGAACAGGAGCTCTCCTCTTAAAACGCACGCGCACCTCACTGCGCACGCGTCATGCTCGACCGCCTCAGCCCTAATATCCTCAACACTCTCACATAGCTCTATACAACTTCAAGAATCCGGGGATTTATGAATGTGTTTTTGAACAGAAAGCAGGACCACGCCCCTCTTCCTCACGGTGTAAAGCCTTCGAACGTTTTTATAAACGATTCGAAATCGTATATGTAGGAAATAAGCAACACTGTGTGTTGTATATTTTGAAGTCCTCTTTTCGACCATACCTGTTTTTCAAAGCCACTGCCTCATCAGATAACATAAGATAACCTTTATTCAGTGTTTATTTTTCCAGTGTTGCATTACAGAGCAGTAGGAACAGATCAGTTCTTAATACTGCACTCATAACAAGATAAATAAATGCACTCACAAACAATATAATCCACATTTTGAGCTCATCTAATTATTGCAGTTTTATCGCAGTTTCAAGACTGTAAATTGCGTCTATCATTGCCACGACGACATGATAACAAATATGACATGGGTCCCAATGACTTTTTTGATTGGATTGCAAAAACCTTTTTCCATGAAAATAGTCATTCTTTTTTTAAATGATTAGTTCCTTGTATAAAAAACTAATGGTAATGTATTTTTTTGTTAAAATGCTCACACCTTGAGAGTTATCATGATTTAAGTGTGCGCAGCAGTGGTTCAGTTAGTAGAGCATTGGCCTTTGAGCCAGAAGGTTGTGGGTTCAAGCCACCGACACCAGCCATAGTGGGGCAGCTGTGACTGCCAAACTGCTGTTGTGTCCTTAGGCAAGACACTTTACCCCCATTGCCTAGAATGAGTCTCGTGTGTGTGTGTGGTTGGTGGTGGTTGGAGGGGCTGTTGGCACATACTGGTTACTGCGCTTCTGTCAGTGTGCCCCAGGGCAGCTGTGGCTATAGTTTATCACCACCGTGTATGGAGTGAAAGAATAATGACATGTGAAGTGTCCAAAGAGGCGCATTATTATTATCAAAGTCCTTTGGCTAAAACATAGGAGTCGTACTTAGACAATGTGTTTGAGCTACGTGTGCGAGAAGCTCCAGCAGGAATCTGAGAGTAGTACAGCAACACAGTGAGAAGTCAGTCAGAAACATGGCATTTATTGACATCAGGCTGCCAAAATTGAATTTTGGAAAAACCGTTTTTATTTGTTCCATATACAAATACAACAATTACTGTATGTCTGTTCAATGTGAGATGGTTTAGTTTAATCACAGATTCAAATATGATATAAATCAGAGTTTGTGGTCAGCACTTTTGAAAAATGGCCTTCTCAGTGAAACCGTCAAAATGCAATTCCAGTGTTTGTATGTGGGAGTGTTCATGGATATACACCCAAAACATTAGATTAAGATTAAGATTAGATTAAGAGATCCTTTATTCGTCCCACAGTGGGGAAATTTCATGGGTCAAAATATATGATTCTACAATGAACATAGTTTATTCTCATGCATTTTCTACACACTTGGGGGGCACTGAGAGAAAGATAGCGAGAGAGAGGCTCTCTGCACATTTTACTTGTGTGCACTTAAAGAAAATATGTTCCATTTCATCCATCCATCCATCCATTTTCTATCCATTTCTGGGTCAGGGGGGTGGCAGTCAGAGATGCCACCCAAGTCTCATAGCACCAGCCCCTCACTGACCCTCTGCAGGTGGTGAGTCCACAGGAGTTCCATTTCAGAATCTCATATTTGCACTTTGTGCATGACTTTGTGCTTGATTCTTTAAAGGTACTCTGTGTAATTTTTACAGTTGCTACAAATGAAAAAACATATATAAAACCAATAACAAATGTGACCTTTTGAAGAATATTCACCTCCACCATGTCTTTGAATTGTTGTCATAGGCTTAGAATTTGACTTATAAATGTCCATGAGGCTGGAGGACTCTACATGTGTCAATACGCCATCTTGAAATACGGTGGCTGATAAGGGACAAAAAAAGAGTTGGACCGGGAGTTGGGGACCACTGTCAAAGACCTCACATTGTCCTGCGAAGCTACCGTAGTACCGTAAATTACAATATATGATGTCACTGGGAGTAAAAACTACACAGTGTACCTTTAATGTTATAACATAAAACAATATTTTAAGACATGTTTTTGCTTGTACTAGATTTAGGTTAATAATGTGCATTTTGTCAGAGGAGAATGTGACTCATGAGTAAAATCTGAAGTTTAGACATAGTCACAGTTTGATCGAATTTTCCTGACACATAATGACAACTGTTGGTTACACTGTTACAACTGAAGCCTGATGAAGGCTCCCCCTGCTGGCCATATACTGACTCACACACAATTAAACTATTGGGTATTAGAAATGTTTTATTACATTCAAAGTAATTAAAAAAACAAAATGTGTGAGAATAAAGTTGAAAGTATGCAGCGTATACAACAGAGACGTAAATGTGACAGCAAAAGGCAAACATTCTTTTATAAATGCTCTTGAATAAATATCTAGTTCTATTTTTATGAACAAGTTGAGTTCAGACTTGACTCAGGTGCTTGATGTCCAATATTTAAAATATAAATACATGCAAAACAGCCTCCCATCATTTGACACACATGCAGTCTTCTCACTGGGGTAAAACATCACTCAGACATTTTCAAGTTTTTCTGCTACATCCGCGTAGTATCAGATAGATATAATGTGGTGATAACACTGTTCCAGCAAGGAGGATTTGTTCAGGGTAATGTGCAAATACTGGCCAATGGCATTGGGTAAACAGCATATAAAACCATTTGGAAGAGTGGTTCCACCACCTGCATGCACAAACAGATGTAACAACCATTGCAGCAATGACACACCTCTGTACAGGCATGCAACACACACACATGCGTTTGCATAATAGTGCTGTAGGAAAATAATTGTATCCAAAACAATAACAACATTTATATTAACATTTCTTTGAAAATAATTCAAAAATAAAATTGTTTCCATCAACAAAATCTTTAAAGACACAATAGCACACAAGCACACACAATCCACAAGTATAACAAATATATAAATAAAATACTTTGTTTTGGTATCATCTGAATATGATGTAAATGGCAGCGAGTTAGCTGGGATTTGTCCTCTTGCGTTTGTTGGGGCTTTGTCCTGGATCCACTTTGTACTCGCGATACTGCATCTGTGTCACATGAAAGTTACTGTAAACATCATTCTCTTTAATACTTCCTTCAGATAATCTGAAGGAAGTATGCAGCTGCGTCACAGGGTTACAGTTGTTGGGATACAGTAGAGTATTTGTGTCCTTCTGAGTCTAAAAAGTAGAATTCACAAGTAACAAAAGTCACTCTGCAACATAAAAAAAACAACCTCCATCAATATTCAAAGGGAAGATCTATTATAGCTATTATAAAGAGTGTCTATCCACGACTTTTGGAGCCTTTTTTCTGTTTCGCAGCTGCCAGTTTTGATTAAATAAAAATCTCCAATGCGTTCTGTGAGCGTCATTGGTTTATGTCATGTTTTTGTTTGTTTGTGTAACCACATGTGTGTGCACTCACCACTTGCACATCGGAGGGCACTCTGGAGAGAAAGTCAAGAAGCTCATTGTTGTCGATCATGTACGGATCCCGAAGCTTCTTTGTAAACTTATTTACACCTGAAAAAAATTCAACATTACAACATATATATGACAGTCATGTGACATTGTTTAAAGTATTCAGAAGACCCACCCCATGCGAGCACAAGGTATCTCAGGGGAATGAGGTAGAGAAGAACTGTGGCCAAACATAAGGCCGTAATTGCCAACCAAGAAAGAAAAGGCACTGTCCAGTTTATTGTGCTACAACAGGAGAACGCAAGATGTTAGGTCTTCAAAAGTGTCGACGAACAAAAATACAACCTGTCAAATACCGACTTTTTTATCCTCTCTCCAAGTGATGCCACATCATCCAAAGCATTCTGCACACTAATGAATACATCCTGGATTGCATAGAGTTTATCCATAAAGCCTTTGGGCTCTGATTCCTAAAGACGCACAAAAAAACCAATGTCAAATAAATGTGTACCACACCAAATATGAAATATAAGAATGTTACTTCACCCTGTCGTCTCTGTCTTCCTCTTCATCTTCCCATTCAAACATGGCGTCTACTGACTGTAACGCAGGGACCAAGGAATCAGATTGGGTTATTTGTTATTTTGATTCTTCTATCTATGATTACAACGCAACCTTGACTCTTCCATAGCAGGATGAATTTAAATGCATATTATTAGGCGCACTTGTACTTTAAGCCGGTGAGGTGTTTTAACTCACTTATCTTATGGACAAAGCCCTCTGGTAAATCCAATCTATTTTTACAATAAACATACTCCCTATTCCGTTCACTATTAAAACTTCATGAGAGTCAACATTTGAAAAATATATGAGAAAACACAAGGGATTCTTTACCAAAATAATAATACAAACATTGGCCTTTTCACTATATAGGCCGCAAGGTACAAGTTGAAGAATGTAGCGGATTATAGTTCAGCCAGTACTGTAATTGGAACAAGTCGGCCATTTTGTGAGGAGTCATAAATACTGCATAACAAAAAAGTAAATAAGCATACTATTTACAAAGGGTCACCAAAAACACTTACAGTTCATTAATCATTCACTCCACACGCAATGACGGTAAATCAATCTGGCCACTCCGACCGCAACAGTCATTCACACAACACACTCATAAGACAGAATGTGCGTCAAGTGTTTCATCACAAAATGGACCCAACAACACTTAAATCTTAAATTCACTGTCTCCCTTCACAGTGCTGCCCGGGCTCCATACTGCTTAGCTACTGAGGCGTGGCGTGATCAGGCTTATTATATTTCCAAACTTATAGACGTAAATGTGACAGTAAGAACGTCAGTAATCTTCATCGACTGATAGAGTATTTTCCATTCCCAGAGTATGTGAGTGTGGTGAGTATTTCTCACGCTGTCAGACGGGTCTCTGCTCGTGGAGAAGAAGTAATTCCAAATGAGCAGCAGCAGCAGAGCAAATGGCAGCATGTACAGCTCAAAGTTCCACACTATCACCACAAAAAGCTGCAGGAATAGAAAAGGAGGCTATAACAAACACTGGAAAAAACATTTGCATTTGTGTCTGACTAGCGTACCACAAGGGAAAATAGGCTCCTCTGTGCAGACTCCCATTCAAAACAGCTGTTGATATAAGTCCCGTAACTTAACAGGACCATGATGCACCTCTTCACGCGGTTAAAGTTCTGCTGCAGCAACTGAAAGACACAAAATGATGGTTATTTCGTGTATACCGTTTCTGATTATTTACTGCAACTGAAAGGATCTAATGAAAATAATAATGTTTTAGTAGAACCAGGAAGTACAATCATATTTGTCCAGGTCTCAGGTCTCTCTGAGGAGCACAGGGACTGGCCGCCTGTTGGTGCCCGGAGTCAGGACTAAACATGGGGAGGCAGCATTTCAGATTCATGCAGCTAATGTGGGACAGTCTTCCTGAAAATGTGAGACTACTGGGCCACTACAATGTTCAAATGTAGGTTGAAAACTGTTCTGTTTAGCTGCACAACAACTGAAGGATTATATTTTTCATTATTATCTTCTTGTTTTGTTCCGCATTTGGAGTTGCCTTCTGTATGAACTGTGCAATACAAATAAACTTACCCTGCCTAATATTTGGTAAGAATATGAAAACATAGGCCATACTGTGCCATACATTCATAATTATATTTTGAAAGTTCATATTCATTTCAATGTAGTTTTGTATAGCCCTAAATCACAAGAGTACAAGATACAAGAATTTATTTGCCATTTGCAGTAAAACCACATTGGAAAAATTGTGCAAGCCGGCGAACACAGATCAGAGAATATACACAATAGGTCCAGGTAATAGGAAAAGGATGTAAAGGTAATATTCAACACACCTGCTTTGAAACTTTCTGTTCTTCTTCTATGTATTTCTGCTCTGCTGGGACGACCGTCTTAAACGCTGCTTTCACCTGAGCACGACAACGAAAGAGACAAACTCATTCATTAACATAAACTTAATAACGTTTTCATTGCTCATAACTAATAATCTGCGTTTAAACTCTAACAGCAGCTACTTACTTTATTGTAGATGACGTCGATTTCCAAAAACAGCAGTCCTTTGGTTGGCCCGGTCAACTGTTTGTTTTTTAATGCATAGCCCTTTTGTTCGCCATTTTGCACCTGCAGTTAAACCAGGATTATCAATATCACAGTGCTACAGTATATGTTGAACTAATGTCAGGTGGATGCAGAATCAGCATAGATACTGGAACTTCAATATAACCATGTACAAAGTAGGGATCCAGGAAACGGCTGCAGAGTGGGGTGTGAGTGAAAAGTATTTGGAGAAATGACTAATAAAAAATACCGGTAATATCATAGAATCTGGAAGTCTCCCTGAGCATGTGGGACAGGCCTCGTCCCTGGCAATGTTTAAGTCAGTGGAGGCGGGTCCCAGCTCAAAAGTGGCCAAAATGTTGTGCGATGATATGCTTGCAATACCACCCCGGGCTGATGGGGGTGGACCCTGAATAAGAATTAGCCAAGGCTAACATATTAAGAATGAGGAGTCACGTGCCGAGTTGGGGTGATTTGGGGGGGGGCTCTGAGCCTGTCGGACATATTGGCTGCGCAACGGGGGCACGCCCCCAGAATTTCACGCGCTCCTCATATTCCAGAGCACTTTAAATTATACGCATTTACGTTTTCGGCGAGACAGAGACGGATCTACTGATACAACAAGGGAAAGGAAGACAGTAAAACTTCAGTTGTGTGGGGCTTGTTAATAAACCCTCTGGTGACACGCCATGGTTTTGCCCTTGTTGTGCAGAATAGGTTTTTCCTATTTCTTAAAATTGTATTATTGTTATTGCTGTGTGCCTTTGCAGTGTTTTTTTGTACATTTGCACTAATAACAGTCTTATTTGTTATTATTATTTATGTTATAATTTATTTTATTATGTTGTGCATGTTTACATGCTGGAAACAGTACTTTGAATGCACACGTTGTTTAGCAGTGTTTTGTGTCCCTTTGCACTAAGAAAAGTATGACTCTTATGATCATTTTTGCCTATGCTGTGCATGTTTACATGCTGGAAACAGTACTTTGAATGCACACGTTGTTTAGCAGTGTTTTGTGTCCCTTTGCACTAAGAAAAGTATGACTCTTATTATCATTTTTACCTATGTTGGGCATGTTTACATGCTGGAAACAGTACTTTGACTGCACACGTTTGTAACGAAAAAAATATTCATTTCTCAATAAATATTGGTAAACCATATCAAGTTGTTTCATGCATTTATTTAAAAATAAAAGATACAGTAAAGAATAAGGTACTCAAACAACACTTTTGCACATGTTCGTTAAGGCACAGCAAACAATGACAATCTTATCCAAAGGCATTAGGTTTTCACCCTCACATTTGACAAGCATGTGCACAGGTACAGTTGAGTGTAAGAATTTGAATTTGTTGCGCACAACACCGATCACCCTCTCCACGTGAATTCTGAGATGTGCTATGGCCCTAGTCTCCTCCACATCTTTCGCCTCAAGCTGAGCACGACCCCTGGTGAATGTAGGTATTTTCACTTCAGCACACATCATGCCCACATGTTCTCTTATATTAAAGCCTCTATCTGCCAGCACAATGTCACCTGGTAACAGCTTGTTCAGGAAACCACTTTGCTCGGTTATATGCTTGTCGCTTGTGCGCCCACCCCACCCGTTCGATATGAAGGAAATTACACCCTGGGGCGTGATCACGATTAGGTATTTCATAGTGTATGCGTGTTTGTATTGAGAAAAAGTCTGTGCCCTTGCTAGTACATTGGAAGGTTTCTCGATGAACACCTCGAAGCAGTCCACAATGGCAGCCACATTGTTCCCAAATGACTCCACAAACTGGTGTGGCATACTGGTCAATAAGCATTCCCTACTTGGCCAGTGCACCAATGGACACAGCTGTGCGTACATCACACCAAGGGTATGGTGAAAGGCATCGGCGACTGTTGTCCTATGTACTCTAAACAGATGGCTGAGGTGCTGTATTGGAAGGTCCAGTCTGAGGCGCATTAAAGTCAATAGGACAAGCTGGAAGGGTGAGAGCTTCTTCATTCTACCTTGAGGCAGATCTGGAGTTAGGTAGAGTAGAAGTGTCTGGAACAATGCAAAGTTTGGAAGCCCCGTGTAATACTTCACTGTGTTATCATCACCACTCAGAAAGTTCTCATTCATCCGGTACGTATCAAGCTCACGCTTCAGCTGTCTGTTTTCTTCAAGAAGATTGTTGATAACATCTCGTCTAGATGTGCAGAGTCCACATTCCATGTCCGGGTCAGCTGGCGGCTGGTCTAGGGCTGGCGGCGGCGGCGCCTGCGGCTGGTCTAGGGCTGGCGGCGGCGGCGCCTGCGGCTGGTCTAGGTCTGGTGGCGGCGGCGCCTGCGGCTGGTCTAGGGCTGGTGGCGGCGGCGCCTGCGGCTGGTCTAGGGCTGGTGGCGGCGGCGCCTGCGGCTGGTCTAGGGCTGGTGGCGGCGGCGCCTGCGGCTGGTCTAGGGCTGGTGGCGGCGGCGCCTGCGGCTGGTCTAGGGCTGGTGGCGGCTGCAGCTGGTCTAGGGCTGGTGGCGGCTGCAGCTGGTCTAGGGCTGGAGGCGGCGGCGCCTGCGGCTGGTGTTGGGCTGGAGGTGGCTGCCGCTCCAGTGGCAGGGACCTGCGCCTTACTTGCCGCTGATATCTCGCTTCATCTGTTTTTTGTACATCATTGTGGCCTAACAACAGGGATGGTGTCCAGTCAGGGTGGTTCTCCAACATCTCATATGCTGGTTTACCTACACGAGAATAATAATAACATATAATTAATATAATAATTTGCACAATCTATGTAATCAATGCTTTAAACTGGCAACTATGTCATGAACAGCATCTCAAGTACTTTTTAGGTCACCTCATAATGTCATATGAAGGTTTATGTACAACAGAATAATTAGATTATGTGTACAATCTATGTAATCTATGCTTTACACTGGCAAAGACCTCGCAGAACACGTGCTAAGTAAGAAACAGCCTGAGAGGGTAACAAAGACACAGAGACAAAGGCACTACAGAAACCATAATAACATATGCTAACCTACACTTCCTAGCTTTAAGAGACAACTACATAAATACATTTTTAGAGAACGTACCAGAGTGAAAATGCAGAGAACACACTCTCGTCGACAGGGGTGTGTGATCGAAAGTAAGGTCCTTTCTTCTAATTGCAGCCAACCAAGCAATCCGACGTCTCCTTGTCAGGTCAGAGAATTGCTCCCCTTGATGCTTTTTCCATTTCGGTAACCTAAAAAACTGTATCCCGTTGTTACTAGGTTTTCCATATCCATCGTGGGAGGTATTGGAGCAGTTTTTAACGCAGCAGTTATTTCCAGGCATGATAGAACAGTGCGGAATAGCAAGAACCTCCGCTACTACCGCGTTCACAACACACGTAAACAAACTGTACTGCCGCCACCGGTGCGCAGCCAATATGTCGGCAAAGGGGGGATGGGGAGGGGGGACTCTGTGCCGTGACGTCAACTCCTCATTCTCAATAGCATTGGCAGACCTCTCGAAAACGTCTTTAAAGGATGGACCAAAAGTTGGCTCTTGGCCCTAAGTGTCAATGCTGAGGGGGGTGAATTTTTTTGGACCACTCTAGTTTACTTGCTGTGAATTTTTGAAGTCTCTCGTTCAAATGAATGGAGCTCTCGCCGGCTGATGCATGCGCAGATGCGTTTTTTCCATAGACTGTATATATTCACGAACAGAGTCACGCCTACATGTATCTCTGCCGTTCTAACTAATGGGCCAAAAAATCTGCTCTACTGGAGCTATCCAAAATGGCCGCGAGTGGTCCCGCCCACAAAAAAATTGTGAAAAAACGCATCTGCGCATGCATCAGCCGGCGCAGCTCCATTCATTTGAACGAGAGACTTAAAAAATTCACAGCAAGTAAACTAGAGTGGACCAAAAAAATCCACCCCCCTCAGCATTGACACACATGTGGAATGGAGCTTTGGGCCAAGAGCCAACTTTTGGTCCATCCTGTAAAGACGTTTTTGAGAGGTCTGCCAATGCTATATGTTAGCATTGGCTAATTCTTCTTCTGGGTCCACCCCCATCGGCCCGGGGTGGTATTGCAAGCATGTCAGCGCACGTCATTTTGGCCACTTTTGAGCCGGGACCCGCCCCCACTGGTTTTTTCACAATTTTCTTGTGGGCGGGACCACTCGCTGCCATTTTGGATAGCTCCAGTAGAGCACATTTTTTGGCCCATTTATTTGAACGGCGGAGATAGGCGTGACTACGTCCGTTAATATTTACAGTCTATGGTTTGAGTCCAGGCTGAAAACTGTCTTGTTTAACTATCTGACTCATTAAACTTATATCTTTTTTAATACAATGTGTTTCATATGTAGTTGTACTGTTTTTTATATATTTTAATTTCTGTATTTTAATTGCTTGTGAAGACCTTTGGTTTACACAGTATGAATTGTACTTTATAAATACATTTGATTTTGATTATATGTGATTATTTGATTATATGATTCAAGAAATTCAAATATTGAAAATAAAATAAAGTCTTCCTCACTTGTAGACTCACAGTGGGAACTAAAACCATTACTAATACACACATACAATTGAGAATATGTGTCCTCCTGAGTCTAAAAAGTACAACTCACAAGTAGCATGAGTCCCCCGGTAAAATATGTCCGCACAATATGACTCACTCGTAACAACGGGATGGCCACTTTCCCCAAAAAGTCGGCACTTCTGTCTCTGTCTTCGTCAAACACGGTCACCTCCAGCACCGAGTGGATGTCTTTCACGTTACTGGCAACACAAACAAAACCGATGCTTTTAATGTGGAATAAAATGCAGTATTTTCGTGTACATGACTTTTCTCCCGACACTTACAAGGTGAAGACTTTGTTCCACTCCGGGTTAAGGTTCTTGTAAACAGTGTGTGTTTGTAATCTGTCATTATTCAACTCCAACACACAGAACGGGTCGCTTTTACCTGGGAGGAGGCAGATGTGTCAGACAGGGCAGGTTCTAGGTTAGATTATTACGGAAGACTTTTTTGTGAGAGTTTAATTTTAAATTTTTAACCATGAAAAAGCATGTTTGAGTTTACAAATTTCAATGTGATTAAAATTTCAAAATGACATATTCGCCTGAAAATTATTCAATACGTTTAATTTCAAGGCCAGAAATTCAATGCACTGTGAATTTTTTTTCTAAAGACGTCACTTGTTCCATTCGATTTGAATTTTAACCATGAAAAAAAAGGACAAATTACCTTTAAACTTTTGATGCATATAATTTCAAGCTCTTAAATTCCATTTAGTTAATTGAATTTCACAGTGAACAGAATGTTAGGGCTTGAAAATATGTCATTTTGAAATTTTAATCACATTGAAATTTCAAAAAGACAAAAATATTCAAACATGGTTTTTCAAGGTTAAAAATGTCAAATGAAAAAAATTCAACCTCAGATGACACAAATCGTATAATCCATAGATTACATCTTTATTAATCCTGAAGAACATGTTGTGAGAGAGAAAAACAACACTGTTGCGTCAGACACTTTCTAAACGGGGCACAGTTTGAGCGCCACAGAAAGCTACTGTTTTTAAATAACAGTATTTAAATGGTTACTTTTTCTTTTGATGTCATTCAGACTAGTTACTTATAATCTATCATGATAATAAAAATGTAACTTTTAGTGGTCTAAGGGAGTCTGCTCTTGCCTTTTCAAACGACTAACATACTAAGTGCAATATGTACAGTGTTCTGATAGGACCAGGTAACATATACAGTAAGTATGCGTATGAAGTATTCTGTAACTACATAAGTATTCTCTCCAACACTGTCTGAAACCCAAGTATTTACCAGTGACATCTGCAGCCATGAGTCCTTCAGCTCTCGTCACCTTCACCTGCACCAGTCCCACGTCTTTCATCTTAGAGAAGGACTTGAGTAAACCCTAAAAGAGAGTTTACGTTTTAGTATTTCATCTCAAGAGTATTTACACTGAACATATAAACACAGTACATTTGTTGTTGCTCTCAAAATTCAAGAGTCAAGAGTCAAGATTCAAGAATGTATTCTGCATTTGCAGTAAAACCACATTGGAAAAACTGTGCTACACTACCCCAGTGTGCACCAGGATAGTACACACCAGCGCACACAATAGACCCACCTCTATCTAGATATTGTTCACAAAATTGTGTTTCAGTGAGAACCTCTTTCATCTCACAGCGGTGGTAAACCAAAATGCTGAGGACATCAATTTTGCACAGGTGCCTTTGACTGTCCACAATAAAAAGGCCGCTCTAAGATTCTCATTTTGTGTTTTTTGGGCGAGGCTGAGCGCTGAGAAAAGCATTATCTGACACTGTTTGCACTCTGCATAGACTTTTTCAGGTTGTTGATTTTGGCCTGTAGAATGTTGGTCCACTCATCTACAGTGACTGTGTCGGGTTGCAGGATATTGGCAGGAACTCAAACATACTGTTGTTATACAGCAATCCAGAACATCCCAAACATGGTCCATAAAAAACATATTCAGAAACGTATCATTTAATAACTACTCATTGCAGATTATACCAACCACGGACCACAATTAACAATCTATGTAAAGTCCTGCACTGGGATAGGCCGATGGGGTCACACCAGATACCTCCTGGTTTTCTGACCCGTCCTGACCCCCTCCAAAAAGAAACACGGGAACATCTTACAGAAGCCTTTTGTAGTGAACAGTCCAAAGCACATGGATACATACTGTTGTGATATACTTACAGTATGTGTTAATTGTCTGTTATGTTGATTTTTGAGATGATGATGTTTGTGCAGGTTTTGAAATAAATAATATCTATCTATCTATATACCAAACCTGTGCAGTGGAATGGATTCTCAGCAAATAAGAAGATTTAGACAAATGAGTATATAATATCTGATAGTTATGGAAGTTGGTACAGCATTGGCCTTTGAGCCTGAAGGTTGTTGGTTTGAGAACACCACCAGAATCAGAATCCTTGTATAGCCATGTGAAAAACAAGAAATCACAAACCAGGAATTGCTTTGGCTCAAAATGAGACCTTCTTTACCAACTACCACTGAAGTCTGCTGTCATTGTGTCCTTGGGCAAGAAACTTAACTTTGCCTGAAATGGATTATGGACCCAAAAATGGATTATGGATGGATGGGTGAATTATGGATTTTTGAGAGTAGTTCAAAGTATAATACATCTATAGAGAATATTAACGGCTTATTAACCGAGCGCGAGGTCTGTATGGAGAAATATCAGAACGCGGCCTAAATGAACCTTATAGAAAAAGGCAGCAAAAACAAAAGTGCTGCGTTAGTATGTTTGTTCAGTGAAGGTGGACTTGGATGCGGATGACCCTGAACTCACATATCGCCGCAGTATGTCGCTGTGCTCTTGAGGATCGTCCAGAGGGGTGAGTGACAGATCAGCGATGGACACGTGTGCGGAGGCGGTGAGAGTGACCAGCAGGACCACAGTCCCTCGACACTCCTCCAGGGGGAGCTCCTGATGATGAGTTTGCTCCTTGGCAAGAGTGGACAGGTCCAGTTGGCAACTAGAACAGGCAAAACTTATATTATCATTCATCATATATTAGATGTTACTTATAATATTTAGTTTGGATAATTTGGCTCAATGACTAATACCAGACTTATAGAAAACACAGCTATTTGAAAACCCGGCAAACGACTCGTCTCAAGCACAGACTTTTTTTTTCTATTTTAACGGTCAAGTTTATTTAAAGCACATTTACAAAACCGTCAACACTGTCCTAAAGTTCTGTACAAAAGAAAACAGCAGTAACAGTAAAATCAATGGCAACATGTTCAGCTCATCATATGTTTAAGGCTGAGTCAAGATAAAAAAAATCTGAAAGTTCTTTACAGAAAAGGCTGATCCTAACTGACCGAGTTTAGGACCAGCCATGGAAAACGCTCTCCTTTGCTCTTCCAAGTCGAAATGTCAAACTCGACATATTGTCTATCAAAGGCTTCCGTAGTACCCTGTATATATATCACTATATTGAAACTGAATTATTATTATTTTATTATTATCATTATTGTTAATATTATCATCATGTGTTGTATGCTGAAGGGTGTTGTCCATGTACCGCCCGATGAAGTCGTCTCTGCGGCCGGTGTCCCGGTCCCACACTGTGATCTCCAACACCTCTCCAGTCTCTTCGTACAGGTGCAGGTCGAACTGCTCCCTCCACTGCGGGTTCAGAGTCTTTGGCATGGTCTGCAACCCCGAAAAAATAAATCAACATCTACAAAAGCACCGACTTGGATCCATCTGGACACTGTTACCTTGCTCCTGTACTTCTGGTGTCCCAGTCTGAACCTGGCGTACGGGTCACTCAGGCCGTTGGGGTCCATGGGAGTGAGATTTCGTCCTTCGATGAGTGTGATGCTGACAATCCCTCTCCACAGCTGAGACTTTCTGTGCAGCTCGGCCAGACGCGTGGACTGCTGCTGCTCCACATCCACACAAAGAACTTAGTAAGTAGGCGTTTTTGCACTATAGGAACCACTTTCAGCTCCTGGTGCTTTGGGCACGTTCACACATAGGAACTGTAGGAAAAGCCAGACTTTGGAGGCTTTTTAAATTCCTCCTCTGGGGCTGGTACTAATGAAGCTGAATGCGCAGGTTCAGACTGAAAGACCGAGTGCCTGCCAGCCTCGAGCCTCAGCCAATCACACAGCTCTGCCAGCCTCGAGCCTCAGCCAATCACACAGCTCTGCCAGCCTCGAGCCTCAGCCAATCACACAGCTCTGCCAGCCTCGAGCCCCAGCCAATCCCACAGCCCGGCCAGCCGCCTGCCCCTCTCGCAGCAAAGCGGGCAGTTTAAAAGGCAGCCACTTCCTGACAAGCAACGCTTCCTGAGGCTCTTAAACACCCACCACCTCCCCAGCACCCCCTCTGGCTCTTGGCTCCTGCTCTGGCTCCCGCTCTAGGCTCCCGCTCTGGCTCCTGCTCCGCCTACGCCCCATTCACACCATACTCTAGCCACCACCAGTGATTGACCCCGGGGGATCTGAGATCATCTTCAGCTGCAATCGATCTCATTGCTGTGAGTGTCACTGCCGGGGTCAATGCGCCAAACAAATAAATCATTTTAATGTATTAATTGTGTCTTTGGTCTCTTCAGATTGAAATGATTTATACTTAGTTTGATCTACTTCTGTTGCACAGCATCTGAACAAGGCTGGGTGATAAGTCAAAACACAGCTGCAGCAGCATCGCTCAGACAAATACGTTTGATATCTCTGCGAACACACATCAGCAGTTGTGAGTTCAGGTGGTGTATAAATGTATAAGTGTGCATAAAGCAGGGGTCTCCAACCTGTAGCTCGCCACCCCCTCCCAGGTAGCTCGCCAAAGGATTCAGAAATGAACAAATCATATAATATACTTAATATTTCATGTTGTATAATTAATTGGAATAATGTATTAGTCTAAATGCACTTACTTGTAACATATTTATCCACTAGTAATAAATATGCAATGGTAAATAATGACTGTACACAATATCAGGCTTGTAAAAGGAGTAGCTCTCTGCCTTTATTGTCCCTGGAAAGTGGCTCTCTGGGTAAAAAGGCTGGAGACACCTGGTGTAAAGTGTGTAGTGAGAGGTTTACCAATTAGCTGCTACTTTTCAGATTTTGCTTCTCAACAAATAACAAATATAACAATCTGATTAAAAAATAATAATAATAATAAGGTCCAAACACATATTTTACGTTTGGACCTTGGTTTATCCAGAATAAGTAGTACAAGTATGAATGTTTTACTAACCATCCTAATTACATATGTACCGATTCTTCTGCTCTTATTAAATCATTTAGAGACACTATTTTTTGTAGTGTGAACGCAACCAAAGGGAACTGGGGGCTGGTAAGTGCAAAAACGCCTTGTGTTATTCTCTGCTTCTCAACTCAAACATACAAACACAAAGTAATGGTGGATGGCATGTACTGATAGAGCTTAGAAATGAATATAATATACATAATGATCATCTCTGGAGCTTGTATCTTTAATCATTGTCATTTTTGAAGTCGATGAGCTGCATGTATATTACAACATGTTATTTTTATTCATCACCAAATGACAACAGACCACATGACACAGCTGTAACATGCACTGGGCACAAAACGAATGGAAGAGAATCATGTCTGTCCTTTACCTTTGTGGAGCGCTTCCAGGATCTCCTCAGCAGCATTGTCTGGACATGGGTCACAGTTACTCATACTGACAAAGTGTTAGTGTAATAATGTCCACTAGGGGGAGCCTCGGGCCAAGTGAATAATGCACAACTATTGTCACAGCTATTTATAACTGAAGAAGCAAAATATAGAGTATTTTGATGAGTCCTGAAATGACCATAAAAGAATGATATTGGTTAATATTTCTAGTGCATCCGTGTATAGCACTGAAGTATCGTGGTGAACTGTTTCTTATTTTTCTTCTTCTCTGCTCTGTGCTTCCCCAGACTGAATCAGCAGCAGAGACAGCCAATGATTTATTCAAACACTGAATAAAACATCATTTCCAGAAGCTGCGTTTAAATTCTTAGACTGAGAGAAAGTTACATGTGATCTTTCTCAAAACGGAAGAATATTTGGAATAATGGAAGATGCATATTTTTGTGCAAAATGTATGCAATTATGAAAGGATTTTATTATTTTATTTTTATACAAATAAGAAGTTATTTTGAATAGGTGAGTAAAAAGAAACTATATTTATTTTAAAAAAAATATTGTTTTCTAATAACAATATTTGGCTTCACTTTAGCTTCACATAAAATAACATATTTGTATATACATAAGAATTATCTATAGATTTATCGATTATAAAAAAAGTGGTTAGCTACAGACCTAGCCCTGAAGTATGAGTTTTGTCTGCTGCACACAAACTTGGCCGAGAACCCAAACTAAACCCAAACAAACTGATTTAAGTAACAGGTGATACTATGTATTTTGGAGCATCTATTCTAATGGGCGTGAGGAGGATTCTATAAAGGTTTTGTTCTATTGGACACTACTGTCTGTCTATCTCTATGAGACTCACTTTATTCACATATGGTTTCCACCGATACGTCTTTAGCTCAAGTTGCTGCAGAAAAATGTGTTCCACATTAACCTTTATACAAGAAAAAATCTACTAGTAGAGATGACGAGGATTTTAAAAATGTGTGTTTGCAAAGTACCATAGAGTCACGGCGCTCCTCCAGGGGGCTGTACTTGGGGGTGAGGGTGACGTAGAGCTCCAGGCTTCCCAGGTCTTCATCCGGGAGCTGAGGGTCCTTCAGGTGCAGCGTCACTGGGAGCTTCCTGAAGAACAGAGGGGCCACTATGATCACTGAACAGATTCACATTTACTGTGTAAGGTTTTGATGCCAAAACCTCAGAAAACATACACAATAACACACATAATGTACACACAGTGTATAGTTTTTAAATGAAGTAAAAACTGTTTCAGCTGCTGAACTGCCAACTTCCCAAATTTAAATATTTTCAGAACTGAACTGAGGCTGGCTCACAGACTCAGCACGAAACATGTTGAAAAGATAAATGCTTATCAGTATTATCTGTCTGCCGGAAAACACTTTTTAAAATGTATTTCTTTCTCACGTACAAATGCCTGTGGGGACATGGAATGTTAGTCCTCAGGGCGAAGGAGCCTGAGGTTCTATAAAAGATAAAACCTCAGGCTACAGTTTCAATTCAAAGATTCATATACAGAGATACAGAGAGAATACAGAGATACATGCACTGCCCAGCTCCACTTCACTGGTGTTTAACTCAAACTGTCAAGTCCTACTTCAGGGGGAACCACCTCACGAGGCTATAGCATCTGTTTGAGATGTCTCCAGAATGTCTCCAGGCATGTCCCATCAGGGAGAGACCCGGGGAAGACACCCAGAGACCCAGAGACCTTCTGGGTCCTGAGCAGTGCCCACTCAAAAGATACTAAAGAATAATGTAAAAGCCTTAATCAATTCAATCTGTGACAGATTCCCATTGTTTACAAAAGGAATACTTTCCATGAAATATAAACTATTGTTTTTCATTTGCAGCTGTCTGCAGAAACAGAATGAATGCTGCTATAAAACTATTATAAAGGTTCAGGTTTTGCAATTGAAACAACAACGGTACAATAGATAAGCTGAAAATAAATGGAAATAAAAAACTATACATTTTACTATATTGTTACAGACGTGCCTTCCTTTTCCTTAGAAATAATCAGATGGTTATTCCTTGCGTGTCTATTGCTCTTCGAGAGATGAAAAATGAGGACCTATGGAATCTTCGAATTGAAACTTTGCATTTTCCATTGAATTTGAAAATGGTCCAAACAGAAGACAGAGATGAAACTTCACCTCAAAGTCCACCTCCTCAGCTCCCAGTGTCAACACAAACTCATGGAAGTACAGAAAGATCAATTGTGCACGTTCAATAGTGCGTTGGCACGAGCAGAGGCTGGAGGTAAACATTCTAAACAGGAACAAAACACTGGGTTGCTTTTTAATCCATTGAATCTATTTGTGCTTTTTTTCAGGGCAAAGGTGATGTTGTACCTTTGCTGCTCGAGGGACTCCAGGTACAGGTACGCAGAGCCCATGAAGTCGTCTTGAAGGCCAAAGTCATAGTCAAAAACCTGCCGAAGATTGCAAGCTGTTCAAACGTATTACACATTATGACAGATCAGACGTTTCCTTTACCTTGATGTACAAAGGCTCTGATAACGTGTCCAGGAGCAACGTGGCCTTCTCGTCCCACACTGGGTTCAGATTCTTGTGGATAGTTTTGCTCTTGAACACTTCTCTCCCTCCGAGCTTGAACTTCACATAAGGATCGCTGGTGCCTTGACAAACAAATGGATCAATGTTTCCTCAGATCAATAGAAACCACAGAAAACAGACAGGTGGTGCAGTGTCTACCTCCTCTGTCCCGAATGGCCAGGTTGTGACCGCTCTTCAGCTCCACCTCCAGCTTGTACATCCCAGCGGCGGAGGCTCGATCCTGGGTGCTCCCGGCTCCCGCTCCGCTGGCAGCTCCCACCCCCTAAAAAAACCATACATACTGTTACCACACGGTCTACGATATACACACTTTTAAACTACATATAAAGGAGATGAACACAAAACAAACCGAGAAATTAGAAATGAAAGTTGATGCAGAGGAGTCAACAGTTGTATATCCACGTTTGCGAAGGACAAAGGCTCAAATGTTTAATTGCTAAAGGTCTCTGGAGTGACCACTAACAGGAAATTACAGCAGAGCTTCCTCTCGAACTACTAAAGTGCTGTTTAGCTGATATCTTTTTTTCCATTTACTGAGTATACTTTCTCCCCCACCGCAGCTCATCTCTTCTCTGATTCAGTCGTGATCTCTGGCTTTCAGTCGGTCAACAGAGCTATGTGCAGCGACGCATGATGTTGTAATTTTAACCAACTTTGTGTTAAAAAAAAAGATGAGAAAAGGCTACAAGATAGAATGATAGAAGATAGGAATGGAGGTGTCTGTTTTGCTGAACTAGGTTTGTCCGTGTTGTTTGTCATTCTGTCCTTCATAAATTAATAATAAATGAATACAGAGGATAAATGAAATCGAACAAATAAAAAGGCCACTAAGTGAAAAAAAATCAAATGTCCAAACAAAAGGTGAATTTCAGGAAGTTCATTTTGGACCTTGCATACGGCCAATACGCACAGTTGCAGGCTCTCCCATGCTGCTAACAAAAAAACACAAATAATTGAGGTACTTCCTCAGTGTCATCCAGCCAACTTCAGCTGCACCAATAAGGTCATCCTAAACCTCGTTCTAAATCTCTGAACCTTTGGAATCCAGCTGTTTACTTTACTTGTATGTATTGACTTTTCTTTTTGGATTCTCTCACAACATTCCACATATGACACTAATGTAGCTGTGGTGTGAATCGATATGGACGTATAAAAATCATTTTTAAAGCTCAGCCCGAACCAAAAAGATGTACAGTTCATGATGACGGTCTCTGATGGACTAAACTGGCCTTCTTACTAGAACAAGTTTGAACACCCCTGGCCTGCTGTGCCCTCCCATCTGCCCTATTTAACACAATGACCAAAGAAAATATACATTCAATCAAAATTAAATAATTAATAAAAACAAAAATATCTTAAACTAAAGATGAACTGAGTAAATTATAATGAAATAACATAATATCTCCAACAGTAACAGTTCGGTGTGTCCAAAACCCTAACCCCTCTTTTAGACAAACGCAGGAGAATCAGTCAACGTTTATTGCACAACAGTAACTTTCACAGATTATGAAACATCTGTAAGTTGCATGAAATACCAACTGTGAAGGGATTATGTGCAAACTTACAAAAACAAGGAAATCGTGTTTGTAGCAACGCAACTCTTTTTACTTATCATAATGAAGTGATCAGATTGTGTTACTATGATAACTTTCCTCACAGCAGCAAGAAGAAGACTGAGGGTGTTTAGCTGCAGACTACTTTTTGTCACATGTTGTCACGTGCCATGTGTTTGTAAATAACTTTTGAAATATTGTATGTTTAGTGTGTTTATTTTGTAAATGCATTGGTTTTATAAAGTGCTTTCAGGACAAGACGCTTCACATGTCATTATTCATTCACTCCAGAAATGGTGGTTATAAACTACTACTGTAGCCACAGCTGCCCTGGGGCACACTGACAGAAGCGAGGCAACCAGTATGTGCCATCTGCCCCTCCGACCACCACCAACCATTCATGCACACACTAGACTCATTCTAGGCGATGTGTCTTGCCTAAGGACACAACGACAGCCGCCCCACTGTGATGGTATATTGCATTTTATATAAAAATACTTCACCTTGGAGAGACCCATGAGGAAAACGCATTAGACTTATTAGATTTAAGCATGTTTATTGATTGAGCATGTTTGGCGCCCTAGGCCCGGGCGGGATGCTGTTGAGCACGGCGCTTGCTCGCGTGCATGATCCCCCCGGGGCCTAGGCACTGGTGACGGCAGAGGCAGTAGGCAAGCACGCTTCATGAGAGAAGGAGGAGGTGGGGCGGCGGCGGCTTGCAGACTTCAGAAGACTGGGAAGTGGGCGTCTCCGGCTTTTAACTTGCTGTCCTGGTGGTTATTGGTTGACTGGGTGTGGGCGTTGCTGGTATTGATGAGTCGAGGAAGAACAGCCTGTGGCCTGGCAGCAGCAGCCGGGTCTACCACGGTGAACTTTCGCGAAAGCTCCATTTCACCTTGGAGAGACCCATGAGGAAAACGCATTAGACTTATTAGATTTAAGCATGTTTATTGATTGAGCATGTTTGGCGCCCTAGGCCCGGGCGGGATGCTGTTGAGCACGGCGCTTGCTCGCGTGCATGATCCCCAAAAAGCGGGCCTGCGATTGGGATAGCAGGACGTACTGCGCGGGCCTGAGAGCATGAGCGAGCTGAGAACATGCGCGCACGCGCATGTTCAGCCAGCCGCCGTAGCAGGGGAATCTTTGAGCGAGCTGAGAACATGCGCGCACGCGCATGTTCAGCCAGCCGCCGTAGCAGGGGAATCTTTGAGCGAGCTGAGAACATGCGCGCACGCGCATGTTCAGCCAGACGCTGCAGCAGAGGAATCCTTACCATTCCTTATGTTTATTATGATGGCTACAAAAACATACAAATATTTTTAATGAGTTTCCTCCGCTGAGAGGTTGGGAAGAGCTCGAAGTAAAGACGCTGCTCCTACATTGAAAGGAGTCAGCTAAGATGGCTTGTCTCTGTTCCTGACGCCTTCTGGACATCTCCTGGACGCCTCCTGGACGCCTCCTGGACGCCTCCTGGACATCTCCTGGACGCCTCCTGGACGCCTCCTGGACGCCTCCTGGACATCTCCTGGACGCCTCCTGGACGCCTCCTGGACGCCTCCTGGACATCTCCTGGGGACCAGGAGGAGGTTCCAGTAACAACCCAAGACTCGCAGGAGAGAATTTGTTCAATTCATTTCAACTCAATGTATTTTTGAGCAGCCCTAAATCCCAACAGTAGTGATCTCGGAGGACTTTACAAAGCTGTCGATTTGCCAACACAGATCAGAGAATCAAACCGTTCAAACACAAGAAATGCAATGATAAAAATACACATAGCCCTTGGTCCGCCTTCGTAGTTTCTCAATAGTGCTCTTAAGAGTTTTATATGTGCCTCACTGTGTCTTGCCGCTCGCTATTTTTATTCATTGTGTTTGTGTGTTGGTGCTTTGTGGGGTTGGCGCCCCCGGTGTCTCCTGCTGGAATTTCAATGTAATGTATTCAAATGGCAATAAATTGATTCTGATTCTGGTCCATACATGATAACAACCAGCTCATAAGTCAATCCGTTGGTCTGGGATTTCCCTGGATAAACTGTAAGATACTGAATGGATGGAGAGTCGACCAAACAGATGTCATATCTGCTCTTATGATGACAGAAAAACACACATCAATGTAATCTAAGTAGAATATGATCTCTTCCATCGTGTGCTGAGTGAGGTGATGCATCTCTGCTTCTTCACAGCAGTTTTAAACGGACCTGGCAGATCGATCACATGTGTGCGATTTGATTATTGATGAGAAGTGTCACATCTTGACTGCAGCGGTCTTGAGCTGACACTATTCTCATCCTTGTACTTTGCTCCTGATTTAGTGGCACAGGACTTAATCCACAGTAAGCCTCTCATTAACTCTAGAAGCCCAGTTATTCCTGTAACATAAACGCTGGTCACTCACGGTTAAGACTCATTATGCGCCATTGAACCCTCCTCTTTCTCTCATTCACAAGATAAAGTAAGATAAACGTTATTGATCTCACAATAGAAAAATGCACATGTCACATTCGGCATAGATAGAATCCATCCGGCTGAGCAAAAAGACAAGGAGTGTGCAAACGTGTTAAAAAGGTTAAAAAATACTACTTATTGAAATAAAAGAAAGCCCTAGTCACAATGGTCTACACCCACATCAAAAACAACTTAAAATACTATCGCACGGAGAAACACAAAATCATGCTTCGTTTGAGCTCACAGGCAGATGGAGCTTGTCGGCCCACACAACAGCTGGACGTATGAGAGTGTAATACATGTGTATATGAATCCAGACACCAAAGCCTACAACAGCAGTGTGATGAAGCATGAGCCCTATCCTCTCTCCTCTTCACAGCCACACTACTCTCTACCAGCCTCCAGAGATCATTAACATAATTCAAAATCAGCCGGGCGGACTGTAGTGATCAATACAACCAAAGAGACTGACACATTTTATTCACAGGACCAACAGCCAAGAGTGTAGGGTTAGTTAAAATGTGTGAAAACAAGACTGTTCTACCGCATTTGTGACAGAAAGAGGCGTGTGTGTGAATGTCATTTAATATAGAGGCCATCGTTAATGGGCCTGGATAAATGACAAGCCATGGGACATCTACAAATCTGATCACTAATGTTTAATATTATGATTAAGAGAAATTCAGTGTTGCATCACCAGTTGCAGAACAGTAGGAATGAGGAGCACACAGCACAAGATAAATGAAGAATAACTGTATGATAAATACAAATAAAAAAAATCTCTAACTCCAGCATGGAGAAGAAACAAGTATAATATCTCTATCTTTAACAAAATGAGTAAAATAACTCTAACTTTAGCATAATACAGAAGTGTAAAATCTCTTTGGCATAATAAGAAACAAGTATGAAGGACTGTGTTTTCTAGTGGTGCAAGTAATATATAGTTGTGTGTTTACATCTGCACATGTTTGCAGCATGAGGTACTGGGACAAAGTGACAAAGTAGAGCAACAGTGACACATGTTGCACATTCTGACATAATTAAGGTTATTATTGCACAGATGAGTAAGTAAACTAAAAGTGACATTGACACAAGTGCTTCCATATTGCACATTTGTTCATGATATTGCACCGATGCGTGACATGTAAGGTCAGGTCTGCAGTCTTATTTAGTCCTCAATGTTTGTTGTACAGTCTGACAAACCGACTGTTTAACACTATAACATTATTATTTACAGCAGACATAGCGCAACACAAGTCTAGTATTTATCAGAAAACAGTGTATTTTTGAAAGTGCGCTCACCGACAGCAGGCGTCCACATCTCGAGACCACAGAGAAGGTCTCGTCAGCCGAGGCGCATCGGAGTAAGCCACGGAAAGCCTTATGGGACTCTGCCACTGAGGCCTCATTTATGAAACGATCCAGGGTCAATCAAATCCCCAAAGTATTTAAACAGACAATTGGTTCGAAGAAGTTTTTTGCAAATTAGTTCAACTCCACATGAGCACTATGAGAAACACCCCCACCTGCCTCGATCCACGCAAACACAGTCAAAATAGTTAATGAGAAACAGCCCTCATCTGCAGCCACGTGTAAAGAGAGACGGGGCTTTGAAGACGGGAAGATGCAGGAGAAGAGTGGGAGGAGCCCAGGAGATTGTCTGTTTGGTAACTTTGGTCCAGTGATAATCCTCCAGTGAGTAAACCTAATGACGCAGGGTTACACAGGAGCCAGTGCAGGTCAGTTTGTCGTGTCGAAGGGGCAATACAGTTCAATAAATACAGATATTCAACAAATGTGGGTCACAGAATAAAATGACAGTTGTATAATAATAGAAAGGCCAATCATTTCACATTCCCTGTAGGAGGAATATGAGTGATAGGAAGAGAGGATACAGAATGACGCAGATAATTACTGACTAGATGATGATGATGAAGATGATGATGATGATGATGATAGGGCCAAAATGAAGGAAACTACTGTAGAGTTTTCAGTTGAATAATAATTCTTAGCAAAACCCATATCACAAATTGATCAATATGTTTTAGAGCAGGGGGGTCAAACTCATTTTGGTTGAGGGCCGAAAAAAAATTAAAGGGCTGATCAGGGGCCGAAAGACGAAGTGGGTTTCATTTATTATACTTTTTTAATAATATGAAGGTATCTATATAAATGACTTCACATTAGTTAAATTGGATATTCTTTTCTGATCGACTGAGTTCCGTTACTGTGGACTGAACCAAAACTGGACCAAATATTGAAGGTATAAGGGTGAGGGACGATTTTCGGCTGGATCATCAATACTATTGGTCCTCCCAACTGTCAATCATTCTGGTGATTTGTGCTCGTCAAATAAGACCAGAGAGATTTGTTCAAAAAGTGGAGAGGGTGGTTCTTTCCAAAGAAAATTGGGAAATCCTCCTTCATATCTTTAAGAAGAAATGTAATTGAAGACTCGTAGAAAAAAAAATAAACATAATAATACTAACTTCCCATTACATGTTGGCTTAACATTTCTTATGGAATTAAATGTTTGGTTGTTTTCTTGAGAAAATTAGTAATGGATAACATTCCATTGTCGCCTATTACTATCGAGGCTGCTATTTAATATAGTAATTTAAATTTGTCTCAGGGGCCACTGGAAATGGTCTCGCGGGCCGGATCTGGCCCCCGGGCCTTGACTTTGACACCTGTGTTTTAGAGCGATGGCAAAAGTTCAGACTGATAGTGTTTCATTCTGTCTCATTATTGAGTCCTCTCCTTACTTCTGACTGTGCCTCCACTTTATCACTCCCGGTGTCCGACTTCTCTTCTCTAATCTCTCTATTTCAGCTCTGCCGTAAGTTCAAACTTTATTTCATAACATGTCAGCTTTCAGGCAAAAGTCACGAGACGGCCTCTTCGTCATCAACACTTCTGTGTTTTTCTACCTCAGGGGGATGGAGACTTCCGCTCATATTATGTTTTTGACTATTATAAATTCAGCTGTAGTTTGTTCATTGTTATCCACCCGCTGTCCCATTGACTGTTTCATGGTGTGATAATGAGACCCCTGAATCCAGCTTCATTCACCTGCACCTGTGGATTGTCCTGGGTCTACAGCCCAGCCGTGCTCCTTGTGGACTGCCCCGAGGGTTCACACTTTTTCCCACTGGGTTTGTTGACTTGTTCCTTGCTGTCTAAGGACAGTGGTGATGATCCAGGACAATTAAGGACATTTATGGACATCTTAACATTTACATCTATTACCTTATGGAAAAATGGCTCTCTGGGTTTTTCATGCATTTCCTTTGTTTGAACCATTTGATTCTCTGATCTGTGTTGGCGAATCAACAACTTTGTAATGTCCTACGAAATAACTACTGTAGTGATTTAGGGCAATGCAAAACGAAAATGAATTGAATTGAATTAATGTGAAATGTCCCCTCCCAGGACTCGGGTGTGTTTGGGAATGCGTCTGTGACTGTCTGCTGACTGTATGTCACATGTTTTTATGGTATGTATGTTTGTGCCACCTGTGCGTGGAGTGTTCTTCCCTGCCGGGGGACAATGGATGTAAATTATCCTACGGCTAACTCTGGTACAATGCATTAAATGGAAACAGTTATGTTCTAATTGTATTTGGTCCCTTTTAAATAAATTAAATAAATAAAGCGCTGCTCTCCCTGTTTTTGCAAGAACAAATATCATAAAATATGATCAAATTCAAAGTCACTTTGAACTTTGAACGGTATTTGAAAATGATATGATCAAGTCTCCAATAACAGGTATTATCATCCATCCATCCATTTTCTACCCTTTAATCCATTTCTGGGTCAGGGGGGTGGCAGTCAGAGATGCCACCCAAGTCTCATAGCACCAGCCCCTCACTGACCCTCTGCAGGTGGTGAGTCCACAGGAGGACGGCTGCTCTGAGTGTGAGCATAGCCTTGATCTTTCAGTGGGGGCTTTGGGCAAAGTGGGGTTAAGTGTCTTGCCCAAGGACACAACGACAGCAGTCATCAGTGGGAGTCGGTGGAGAAGGTGCAGAGGTGGGAATTGAACCCACGACCTTCTGGGCTTAAGGCCAATGCTCTACCAACTGAGCTACTGTCGCCCGCAGGTATTATCAATGATCCATTATTATCAATAATGTGTATTGATATTGTAATGTATTTGTGCTCTCATTACAATCACAATCTCACACAACAACACAGCAGCTCCTCCAGCTCTGAAATGCTTCAGGCTGAGGTTTAGAGATCAAAACCTGCTGGATTTCACCTCAGAAACTCAAAACCCAAACAAGAGACACTTGTGATGCTATTTCTGCGTTCTGATTGGATACTCAGCAAAAAAAACTAAAATATCACTTGTTAACCCTCTTGTACATTATTAAGATAGAAACTATACAAGAAGACCACTGATGTCAGCCACTGAGAAATGTATGATTAAAAAAAGAAAAATATGTAATAAAAATCCAGCGTTTGTGGGAAGCCTGGTCGCTGTATAGAAAGTGGAGCTGTTGATCTTGTTCCCTGGGGTTTAATAAAGAGTCAAGATGAACTTTCCTAAACTATAATAAAATGTCTTTATACTTCTGTAACACACTATATGCCCATAGTGTGTTTTCGCCTTTCTATCTATTTTTGACTAATTTACTACTTGTTATTGCACAATATGCCAAAACACATTCCTTCTAACTTCCTGTTCCTTTGGTAATATGAATTCTGAATCTGATTCTGCTCACATCATCACTTGAATTGTACGTTATCAATGTGTAAACTGTTAATAAGGCAAACTTTAGTATCCGGGGTGCAATCGATGTGACTCATAATGCAGCTTCATACAGTAATGATGGCAGCTGGACCGTGAGTTCAACAGATAGTAGTCTAATTGAGTGTGCTTCCAGAGAGCCTAAACATACACATGAGTGAATGAACACACATGTCCCAGAGACGCCTGAAGCAGCAGCTCACCTGTGTGCCGTCAGACTGACTGTCCAGTGGTTCTGCAGCTGCATCACTCTGACCCTCTGCACTCGGGGGCTCGGCCAGTCCGTCCATGCACGAAGAGCCCAGGGACGAGCTCTTGTGGTGGCAGAACACCAGCTGTGCCACTGTGGGCTTGTGTAGTGGGCTGGAGGGGCGCTTTGGGCAGGGATGAGCTGCATCTAGATCCGTGTCCGAAAAGAGCAGGTCTGGCTGAGAGGAGGAGATCACCCGGTCCAAGGCAGTGCTCTGCTTCCATTTGATCTTCTTGAACATCCGCATACCTCGCTCCTTCTTGTCCTCGGACTCCCTTCTTCCCAGTTTGGGGCTGAGCAGGGGTTTGGCTTTGGCTTGAAACTGCTTCCATATTGTATTCTGTTGGGATGTGCTCTCCCGGCCGTCCTCCTCTCCTCGCTCCATTTCCTCCCAGGCTGCTGCTGGTGCGTAAGCGTATAGTGACAGTCTGGTGTAGTAGTGCAGCTATAGGAGAGAAAATCCCTCTGACACAGCCTGCACAGCTCCCACGGTCTCCAGCAGCGCACACTCAGCCTACAGGAGCGAGGGTCCAGCCCCCCACACCAGCGCCAAGCTCCTGCCACACGGAGCTGCAGGCGGAGACGTTGGCAATAAAAACACAAACCTTTATGGCTTCAGGAGCAGAGCCTCTATGTGTTATTTTGGAGAACACCCTTCCCAACTCTTTCACCACACATACAACACACATTATTTCAAAAATCTTTATTGCAAATGAGTCCAACATTGTACAAAATGTTGTTCGGTGGGTCTTCATGCACAACACCTATTATGAAAACACGCACAAAAAAGTCATAAATAATCATTCTACCCTGGTTCATATGTTTGGCCAAAAATACATAGCCTAAAAGAGCAGTACATAGGCTAGCATGGATCACAACCGTCACAAGTTGTTCAGGTGTTCACTCTGGACTGGAAAGAAAATCATATTCGAAAAGCACGTATCAAACCGTAAACCGCAAATAAAAGTGCAAAAAACGACATTAAATCCATTACGAGACATATCTACCGCGTCCTAACAGAGTGCTCCTATCCATTTCACCAACACTCACTTGGCTATAATGACTGCTTTATAGACAACGACATTCCTATAGGTCTTCATGCTGATATTGTTTTGTTTCATATTTGTACACTCTAAAAAAAAATGCATTGGCAAAACTTAATAAAATTGAGGCAGCATTTTGCATGCATCTTTTTAAGTTTTGCGAACAAGACTGTGTTTTAAGTATTCTTTGTAAGTCTTTTATCATTGGTCCAGCACAATTTTTTCAATACCACCAACTTGGATAATTGAGTTATAAAGACACTTTGTTAAGTATATTCAGCAAGTGTTTTAGCATCAGTTCAACTTAATTTTAACAATACTACCAACTTAAATAATTACATTGAAAATAAATCTTTTTGAGTATATTCAACAAGTGATTTTCAGTCAGGAATATGTAATCTTTATTCAAATACCATCTTTTACAGATCAGATTCACAATACGGTTCACAATTGTTAATTTCAGGCAGTAGTCTCTCACTCCACATGTATATGAGAGTGGACCAGCACAGTCACCTGTACTCATGTCCTCCTTAAAGTATTTGTTCAAAATTGAAGGGTGACACAGGGAGTATAGGACTGCTTTGGCTTGGCCCTCTCGATCATGGTTGATAAAAATAAATACAATTACTTATTTGGTCAAATTAGTTTATTCAGAATGTTGCTCAAGTATTTTGCTTTAGGACTTGCTTCATATTCAGTTTTAAAATTAATGCTCAAATGTAGAATTTTTAAGAAGTTTATATTTTTCGCTGCAATGCATTCTGGGTAGCGTCACTGCTTCGCCACATTTTGTTTTCAATCAACACAATATATTTATTTTGAATGAACTCAATATATTTATTTTGAATCAACTCAATATATTTGTTTTTTCATTAATTGGCCACCAGGCTTACAAGAGGATTTTCATGTTGAGCAAACTCAATACTTCTCCGTTGTCCAGTTATGCCAGAATAGCAAGTTCAAATTTGTTACAAAAATGAGTTAGGATTCTTGTATTAACTTTTAATTGAGACCGACATGTTTAAAATGAGTTGCGACCACACTAATTTAAGTAAAACTGGCAAAAATCAATTATTGAGTTTAGTTTAGTATGTATTTTGAGTTCAAAATACTAACCACCTGAATCATTTCTTTGAGTGTAGTGTGATTATCATGTTGTGTATACGTAGTTTCGTTCGACATGAGTCACAGGTCCTGCTCGTGCATCTGCTGCTGCATCTTCTGAAGCATTTGCTGCATCCTCCTCAGCTGTTGAGACAGAGGAAAAGAAGAGACTTGCTTACATAAGATTAGATGTGGGTCATCCATTCTCATCACTGTCTGCGTTACATAAACCCCAGTTCAATATATCATCCACGCAGGGATTATTATGTGCCACTGTTGTAAATCACCTCTTCGTCTTTCTTTTTGATGAGCTTCTCCGTCTCTCCGTCTGGCGTGGACAAAGGCAGGATGGGAATGGGGCTCTCCACTCTGTTGTCCGAGTTCATTTTACTGGAATGAATACAAAAATAAGAATCGTAAAGGTTAATAATGGGCACGAGTGAGAGGGAGAGGAACCACCAATAATATTCAAAACATCGACAAATTGGTGTAAGTTTAGTCAAGACAGAGGCTCAGTTGGTGGAGCATTGGCCTTTGAGCCTGAGGTCATGATTCGAGCCCACTGCGAGACCTTCTCCCATTGAGGTCTGCTGTCGTTTGGTCCTTGGGCAAGACACTTTGCCTATAAGAAGCGTGGAAGTAATTTCACGTTGCATGTGAGTGTGTGTATTCATCGAACTGAAATTTCCCCACTGTGCTAGCCGGTATAATGGACAATCTTCTTCTTCTTAAGTTAGTGTTTGTGCAAATTGATCCTCTCCATTCGACCCATCTTTCAGTGCCACTGCAGGTCTCTGTCAGGAGCAACGGCGACCATAGTACAGAACCCCAAGACCCAGCTCCAGATGTTGATGCTCGGTTTGATCAGGACGCGGCCGTTGGGAGAAGATGCAAACTTCACTGAGAAAAGCCCTGTTCCAACCCGGATTCAAACCCAGAATAGAAGGAGCTAACCACTCTGCCACCGTAACATGTGATTCATTGTGTTGCACTGTCTTTGTAAAGTGCATCGAGTTGCAATCCTGATTGAATTACTGTATATCCTCGTTCTCAGCTTATACAGATCCAAAGTCCTGGATCTATGGCCCACATTGAGCAGATCTCTTTCTCTCAATGTTCTCACTTGTTTGTCATTGTTGTTGTTGTTGTTCCATTTCGATGCAGGAGGGTCTGGACAACATATAGGGACATGTATTAACATATATGGACATCGGCCCCGCTCCCTACGGACCATTGACTCTCATGTGTTTGTTATTATTGCAGTTCCTGTTAAAACTGTTTGATCTCTTGTTGGTGAATCAACTTTGTAGAGTCCACCGTGATGACTGCTGTTGTGATTTAGGGCTAAGCAAGAATAACATGAAAAAAAACCAATTTCATCCTCACTTCAAACTCATTTGTGAGAGTTCTGCTACTCCTACTCGCACTGGCCTTCAATAGTCCCCTTACTAGTAAAAGTGGTCTCCTGCTGTGGCCCCATGTTGCAGGTTCGTCATGTTGTGTGAGGTAGTTGACTATAACATGATCTTTTCAGTTTCTGTTGCTTCTCTAACTAATCTCCCCGATCTCCTCTGACCTCTTACATCAACATTTTGGTCCACTTTCTATCCATTTTCTCTTTTTCAGACCATGATCCCATGAGATAATTGTGTGTGCAAATCCGAGTTTCTCTGAAGTTTCTGAAATACCAGTTTTACTAGCACCAACATACCACGTTTAAAGTCCATCTCCCCCATTCTTATGCTCAGCTGGGACTTCAAGATTAAGAGATCCTTTATTCATCCCACACTGGGGAAATTTCAGTGTTGCATCCCAAGTTACAGTATGAACCGCACCAGACAATGTAAGTTTTCTTCACTACTACTACATGACATCACATCAGAAGTTACCCCCCTGTGGGACGAACAAAGGATCTATTAATCTTGATCACAAATTGAAAAAGAAAGTACATTTTGTCCACATATAGGCTACACTTGAATATAAGCCACAGTTTTTCATGTTGTAAAGTAAGACTTAACCAACAACTGAAAGAAGGCTGATAGAGTAAAACAAAGCCCAAGAGTCGACTGATTGACTTAATGTCAAGGGATTTTAACGCACTGTTGACAAAGCACTAAAAATAACACAGACTTTGAGGAGGCAAACGTTAGCATGCTTACATTAACTGTTAGCATGTTGGGACTTTTTTACCAATCTATTTTAACAATAAACATGTGTCTCAGAGCTACAAAAACTTGACAACTTGATTCAATTATGCATGCCTTATTCTGTTCTCTACTTTTTAACTTGTTTGCACGGAGAGCCAGAGCCATTTTCCTAGACTGTGACTTCTTGTTACTTAATTGGCAGTAAGAATTCTGTGAAGTCCATGAACCGAGCTTTTCCCTGCATGTCGGCTCTCTGCTGTTCACATAAACATAAGCAGCATGAGTAAAGTAGTAGCTTAAAGGCAATTATGGTTGCTATTTGTTCAAACAGGCCTTTGAACGAGACCCCCTTAGGAATACCTACTGTTTTCTCTTAGACTTTTAGATTAAATCAGGTTTGGTTTGGATTAGGTCAGGAGCAGTTCATTTGGTTCGGGCTTGGGCAATGAAACGGCTTGCTGCAAAACGAAATACTGATTATTTAGAGAATCCAGCAAAATCCAGTTCATGTTTAAGAATTATATTACAGTTGGAGGGTGAAGTACTGACAAAGAAGATGTGGAACGTTGTGACCATTTGTGTTTTATGTGAATCGGCCCAGGGATGGCAGAGACATTAGCTCTAAACTAAAAATCTGACTTTTGATTGATACTATAGATACCAAGATTTTTCAACGGCCCTCCACAACAACTTAAAACTATACTCTCGAATGTTGCAATGTCACATGAATGCAACCTATGAGGATGTCTGAATGAATGAAAATCTTGTGATATAAAAAGGATATATACCTTGCCATGGTCTGGATGCACTGTGCCCTGTAGTTCTCATAATGGCAGTCGTTGGTAATATCCTTCAAATCGTGCATGTGCGTCCGAATTAGCATGGTTCTCAGCTTCACAAAGTCACAATGGGCGGGGTTCTCCACTGTAGGCAGGAAACCATTAGTACTCCGATAGCATTATTTTGTAATGTGTGATGGGTGATAAGCAGCTGGAGATGTCCCCGTTTCTTACCCTCCACAATGCCCCAGGGATACAGCCGGCCTCTCACTCTCTGACCTCGGGCCTCCACCACTGTGTTGCTGCCAATCACTGCAAATGGAGTGCTCTCCTGTATGCCGCCACAGACCAAGAGGCTTTTAATGCAATATTCATAAGAGCAGAGCTGCGTCACTTGGAGTAAGCACATTTGGGAGACGCCTCACCTTCAGCTCTTTGTCCTGCTGCTTGAACTCCTCGTCTTCATCAGAGTCGCAGTCTGGGAACTGGTAGATCTTTATCCCACACTTATCTATTTCCTCCCTCAGCTGCAAAAGTAAACGTGTCCTTATTAGACAAATCACCGCTCTGCACAAAAAGCTACCGTGAGGAGAGTGAAATGGATTCTGTCCATGTTACACGCTGTGAAAATAGGAACAGAAACTGAAGATAAATGTAGTTGTTTGCACTCTGGTCTTTGAATGGTGACACTATAATTGCAATAGTATTCACATCAACTGGAAGTTTCTCTCAGACATTTTCCCACAACATCTATTCTACAGCTTAAGGCAGCCTTTAGACCAAGGGTGGCATGCCGAATAAAAAAAATACAAATGTGCTTTTCTTAGAATTTTTACATAATGAGTATTTTGACATTACTTTTGTTTGACATGAGTTTCACTGTTATTTTCTGGCTGATTTTTCTGAAAATAAAATGTGTTTATTATTTAGATTTACCCAAAACGACAAATTATGAAGTTAAACACATTGATATATATTTAACTATTTAAGTTCTAATGATGAGTGGAGTTAATGTTTTAGAATACATTAAATGTGGTTGTTTTCCTCAGAAAATAGATGATGTATAACATGCCATGATAGCTCATTACCATCAATGCTGCAAGTTGAAAGATTGAAAATAATTTTTGGGCCATTCAAAATTGTCTTGCGGACCAAATTTGGCCCACGAGCCTGAGTTTGACATGGCTGATTCAGACTATTGATTTCAAGGTGTTGAAACAAAAAATGTTTACGTTCCTTACCCGCTCTTTAAACTTCTTTATCTCGGTGGGGGTCAAACAGTCGGCCTTAGCGATGAGAGGGACTACGTTCACCTTTTCCTGGAGTATCTTCATGAATTCTATGTCAACTGGGCGTAGCCTGTAGAGAAATCACACTTCATAACAGAAATGTATTTGTCACATCCCATACAAATGGATAAGAGTGTTTTGTGTTACCCATGTCCAAAGGGAGGAATAAAGTAGAGGCAGCAGTGGACCCTGTTGTCCTGGATGTTCTTCCTGTTAAGACCACTCTCATCTCTGAAGTATTGCTCGAACTGCTGATTGATGTAGTCTGTGACCGGCCGCCAACTGGGAAGCCCAAAGGATGTTTTATTTATTTACAATGGAAAGTAGGCCAACTCTGTCCAACCACATTTGTCAGGAGTTCATGAATGACTTGAGTGACTTAGAGAAGAAAAATTATACAATATTTTTGGCCATTACAAATAACAGTGAGAGCCAGAACCGTTTTCTTTAAACCCTGTAGCCTATATAGCACTGCAGCCCATGCATGTATTTTTATTGTGGTAGAGTATCCACTGGGGCGCAGAAAAGAATGTGGACGCATCTGTGTTTTATGTTTATGTGGACAGCAGAGAGCCGACACAAGGAGATGCATGAAATACCAGGGACTTATGTAATTAGGGCTGTTGTCAAAACAGAGTTTATGGACTTCCGTAATAACATGGACGCAAACAATTCACGTTTGCCTCCTCAGAGTTCGTGTTATTAGCAAAGCTTTGCTCATATCAAGTGGACTTTGTTTAGTTCCATCAGTCGTTGGTTACGTATGACATTACAAAATTAAAACCTACGGCCTTATTAAAGTGCAGCTTATATGTGGACAAAATGTACTTTCTTATCAAATGTAGCTGGTGTGCTATATACAGAGGTGCGCTTAACTTTCCAGCAAGTACAGGATTTATTCTTTGTCTTTTCATGTTTTAGAATGTGAAATAATATCTATATATCGAGAATATATGGTGAAACAAGTATGAAGTTCAGTCTGCCTGTAAGTCCCTTTGCTACCACTAGAGGGAAGAGTAAATATTATTTTGTTGACTGTCTCCAAACGCAACTACGTGATTGTAATGGACGTCATTTCATAAACAAAGCTAATCATTGCGATAATTATTACCGTGCCACAATACGTTTGTGTAGAAGAGAGCGCTGTTACCTTTCGGTGTTATTAACGGCGTCTCCAAACCCTGGCGTGTCCACAATGGTCAGCTTGAGCTTCACTCCCTTCTCTTCAATGTCCACCGTGTGTTTGATGATCTCCACTGTCTGACTGATTCTCTCTTAAATACATACACCTTGTAAGAATGATTTAGTTTTCACCCACAATAAAGCACACATAAGGAGAAGCCTCACCCTCTGCATTGAGAAGTTTTCGGTCTTTATGCAGGTCAGTCAGAAACAAACTGTTTACTAAGGTGGATTTACCCAGGCCAGATTCACCTGAACACGACACCAGAATTAAAAACACTTTAGTACAATGGACTCCAGTTTACAATCTATAGAACCACACCGTGTTTAAGAATTTAGTTCATTTTATTCTTGGCCACTGTAGAGCTGGTTTCTCCTGTGATGAAGGATGGCAAGGCTTAGAAGGTTCTTATAATAAAACAAAAGTGTAAAAAGCTAGTTCTGCTTAATTACCACATGTTTGGGCAAATACTTCCGCCTTCGTCAGAGCTGACATGTGATTGTGTAAGTAGTAAGTCGGTAATCTTTATTCATACAGCACATTTCACAGATCCAAAGTGCTTTTGCAATGTTAGATATTAGATATATAGATATTTTGTGACCTGTATATTATCAGCTGTTGTTACCGGATGCAGCCGGTCTGACAGATTGGGCAGATCCGTCGGACTGGCCACGCCCCCCGCCACGCTGTGATCTCTGGAGAAGTGAGTCCCACGTGTGAGCCAAGGTGAAAGCCCCCTCGTCTCCGTTGATGGTCTGTGTGCCCTGCTTCCTGGTTTTAATTGCCTCTCGTATCCATTTATTTTATTCATGTTTATTTGTTTCTACTATTTCTTCATTGTCCCAGTCCATTATGTGATTTTATCTTCTGCAGTGGTCTGATAGTGCTCGTTTGAGGTTTTCCTGTGTTGCTTTTCCCTTAGTTTCCATTAGTCGCGCTGCTGTTTCTTTTTTGCATTCCTTCTGATGTCGAGAGACGGAAGCTAACAAAAGCTAATAAGATACAGCTAATTAAGCAGTATCAGCTTCTTTACACTCTGTAATAATGAACTTTTTACGTTTAACATGTCACTCCCATTGGTGAATGCTGTGGTGGGTTATTGACACCAAAAACATCAAATTCTGCGCAGACTGGTGGATTTGAAAGATGCAAACCTGCTCTATAAATATGACCATTTTCCAATTTGCATAGGCCCACAGAGATTTCTCACTTTCTAAGAACAAGATAACAAAAGTACAACCAAATATAGCGAGAATGGTACTATTTTTATGCTAAAACATTAGCTTAGTTTGCAGCAGCAGTAGAGTACGGTTCACAAACACATTTCAGTGTGTCCCTACCTGCAACCATGAGTGTGAAATCAAATCCTTTCTTGACTGACTTCCTGTGCAGTTGATTGGGCAGAGAAGCGAACCCAACATAATCTTTTTCCTTGAAACAAATACAAAATATCAGTGTCAGTGAATACATTTTATGACCATTGTTTTAGACTGTTATGATGCTATAATGCTAAAAGTCTAAGTAAAATGAGCTAAATAGATGAATTGTTTACTGTGTTAGACTTATCTTCAAACACTTATGTTAGAATAATGACACTTTCTTCCAGTTCATTAACAAGAACAGAGGTGATGCTTCTATACTATATTAAAAAGGCTCATGTTGTCTGATTGACTTCAAGGGTTTTTGTGGTTCTTTTGAAAGACATGTTTTCACAATTGTTTACGTTTGTGAATTAGTATCTCAACATTGTATAATGACATCATGCTCAATAAATATAATAATGTATTTGTTGTATGTTGCATTCATTATTATATTAATAGAATTCAACGATAATGAGACTTGAATTCTAAGTCTCATTACCGTGAGATCAAACCAGTTCATGATCAGTGCTCTATCTCATGTGAGTATCACTTTTCCCTATATTTCCCAAACTGTGGTTCTTTTTGATGGAAAACGATGCCATTAAGATTAAAACAGTTGACATTACAACAAATGTCAAAATAATTCAAGCCTCTTTGTGCTTTAATGCAACCACTGTGAAGCATTTGATAATGCTACACAGCAAAAACAAAAATTAAAAAAATGCAATAATGCAAGTGCAGCGTCTTGGAATTTGATAAATTGCTCCCACACAAAAATCACAAAAATACAACAATCCAGACTGCCACTGCGTCTGACTTCACAGTTCTGACTCAGCCTCAGTGCTGCCATCCAACATCACACAGACAACGAGGCACAATAGAGCTAGAGGAAAACATGGTTTCCAGCAAATATTAAAGCTGTGGGACCTAACTTTCAGATCAGAAAAAATGAACTATGAAATCCATGCATCGAGTTCCTGGCACTAAAACAGTTATAACTATTTTCCTATTCTAATAGGTTCACATCTTTAGATCAGATTTCCAGACAGAAAAGTGAGACAGAGACTATGGCCCTCGCTCAGCCAATCAGCTCTCAGCCCACAGCCTCAAATAGGGACTCACAGGGCTCTTTCTTAGTATGTAAAATATATGTTTTCTTCTTGGTTTTCTCTAAGATGACAACACCATGTTGTCATACAAAATGTATTATTTGTGAAGCACAAAGTAAGGTAAGGACTTTTGAATGTTTACAGATGTTTGCTTTGTTCCAATACCTATAATATCTGGAATAATTCCACCCATTCTCACATCCATAAATACCTAGTATAAATGGTTGACTTTCAATTTTGAAATACAATAGCACAATAGTTATTACCATCGTAATATATTTAGTCATCCACATAAACAATGCTGTGTTTTGTTCATTAATTGCAACACTGCATCAAACAAACATGATATCCACACAGGATCACTAGCAGCAGATACTGTATGTATTAGCTTCCTGCTGCGAGAATATACATAATAAAATGTGTATTTATAAGAAATCTTGTCTGCAAAAGTACTATTTTAGGAGGACGCTAGGGGTACAATGCTAACCAGGACAATCAGTGAGTGGCCTACCTCCGGGTCTGGCAGTGGAGTCACATTCCATCAGCAGAGAGTCCCAGCATCCCAGACAGAAGCAGAGGTTAAAACAATGAAATATCTGGAATCATGTGAAGCACACGCGGTTTACCTGCTCTGGGCGCACGGCTTCGGTACCTGCCAGACATGATGGGGACAGTGGGTCACATACGCGGGTGGATGTGCGCGGATGAGGGGACGCGCTGGACTCTTGATGCCCGGTGCGCACAGTAAGCGGCCCGCAAAGAATAGACGCACACGTGCGGAAAGTAATGGTCACATCCCAGTGAGCATCCCCTGCAGCGTTCAGAACTGTAGCCTCTTACGACAAGTGGAGCGGATGGGATTTTTATTTACGTTGAACAAAAGAAAGACAGTTCTGGAGCTGCACCACAAGGGGGCAGTGTTACACCGCCCTCTCACCGAGAACAAGTGACCCAGTTATCAGAATCTAAATATGTGTTCCTTGTTTAAACATTAAAGACGTCCTGTATGTTTGTGACTAGCAGATTACTATTCATTATGGTATTTTTCATGGACGAACCATATGCACTCATTATATTGTATTACATCCATTTTCATCCTCAAACAGCACATTCAAGACTCCACAGAAACATACAGACAAAGACACACACATCAATAATAAAAAACATGATTCTTTTGCTATATTGCTGAGTTACTGTATCGTAGTCCACCAATGCAATCTATATGTGCCATGGATCTGTATGTGCAGTACAGGGGCGTCGCATAGGGAGCTATGAAGTGGGCAGAGTTTCCTGGTTCAGGAAGTAAAAGGTACCGTCATATTCCCTATAGGTATATCGAAAAATATTTGTTGCAAAAGATTGTAAATGTATCCGGGGCTGATCAGAAACCTGGTGCTTAATGACCACAAGATCTATATTTGTATAAAACATACAATATTTATCAAACATTAAAACCCCACAATGCAAGCAGAAATATGGATGAAAAGGCCGTGCTGTGAATGATAGTTATAGCAGGCGCTTGTCTCCCCGTTCCAATTATTGATATTTGGATTTTCAAAACTCCTATGGCAAATTTTACTTCCAAAGTCCTATACTCTACCCACTTTGCATCATCATTAAAACAGAGGGCCACATTTATGGTCATCACTGTGAATCTGACAAATCCGCCATCTGAGTTTTCCTCCAACATGTTTGACGAGAAACTAGACCTTTAAAAACTCAATTCAACCTTTTATTTTGCGATAACTTGTGATACAACTCTTTCTTCACCCATCTCAACCCAATCCTATTTTTTGTATCAGTTTCGGCTGGTGATGTGCCATGTGATTGTCTTCAATGAAAAAGGTGTGCCATAGCTCAGAAAGTTTGGGGAACATTGTCAAAGATAGGCATTAGACCCAAAAGTGTAAACGCAACCAAGGTACAGAGTATATGTAGGGTGCAGTGGAACAAAAAAGGGATTAGATCTGTATCTGCTCTACATTCACTCCATCCCCAAAACATTTTAATCACATCCCAGCATCCTGTTTGTCAGACACTTGCTGATTTCCACCATAATGCACTGGTGTGACGCATAGATACGAGTCAGTGGTCGGTGGCAGGACGTGATGTATGGACTCGAATGGCCCAGTGACAGAGGCCTGGAGGCAGAGGAGACCACAGCAGCAGAACAATGATGAGAACAGGCCTCCGTAACCTTGTGTGTTTCCTGTGCTCCCACCTCAGCTGCTTCTAGTGGGAGGCACACAGCTTTGTCGTGAGACTTGCTTTCCCCTCAAGACCCAGTGGTGGAATATAACAAAGCAAAACAAAGGATCAGCCTCAGTGCACAATCAACAGCTCACATGCACACGCACTTCAGATGTTATTGAGTTGATATTTTTCAGCTCAAGATTGGATTCCAGATGAGTTTCCTCTGCAGAGTGGCTGAGCGAATTCTTAGAGATAGGGTGCAGAGCTTGGAGTAGAGCCACTGCTCCTTGATAGTGAGAGGAGCAAGTTGAAGTGGCTCAGGTTGGATGAGGTCTGGATAGGGAGGTCCCTGCTTGACAAGGTGGCTGAGGGGGTAGCACTCTCGTTTTGCAGCAAGAAGGTCCTGGGTTCGAATACTGGTCAGAACAAGGCCTTTCTGAATTAAGTTTGCATGTTCTCCCTTTATTTGAGTAGGTTTCCTCCGGGTGCTTCAATTTCTTCATTCATTTTCAAGCCGGTTCTTTGGTCTGATGAGACAAAGATTGAACTCTTTGGCGTGAATGCCAGGCGTCATGTTCATGAGAAACCAGGCACTGCTCATCACCAAGCCAATACCATCCCTACAGTGAAGCATGGTGGTGGTAGCATCATGCTATGGGTATGTTTTTCAGTGGCAGGAACTGGGAGACTAGTCAAGATAGAGGGAAAGATGAATGCAGCAATGTACAGAGACATCCTGGATGAAAACCTGCTCCAGAGCACTATTGACCTCAGACTAGGGCGACGTTTCATCTTTCAGCAGGACAACGACCCTAAGCACACAGCCAAAATAACAAAGGCAAGGCAAGGCAAGGCAAGTTTATTTATATAGCACAATTCATACACAAGGCAACTCAAAGTGCTGAACAAAACAAGAAAGCATTAAAATCATAAATAATCACAGTGCATTAAAAATAAAGACACAAATATAAAATCCCTCAGTTGTATGCACAGCTAAACAGAACCGTTTTTAACCTGATTTTAAACATTGTCAGAGAGGAGGCCTGTCTCACATCTTCAGGGAGATTATTCCAGATTTTAGCAGCATGAATCTGAAAAGCAGCCTCCCCATGTTTAGTTCTGACTCTGGACACTAACAGGAGTCCAGTCCCTGTGCTCCTCAGAGTCCGGGCTGGTTCATATGGGACTAACATGTCACTAATATATTTTGGTGCGAGGCCATGGAGAGACTTGTAACAAGCAGAGCTGTTTTAAAGTCTATTCTCTGAGCCACAGGAAGCCAGTGCAGAGACCTGAGGACCGGACTAATGTGGTCGTACTTCCTGGTTCTAGCCAGGACTCGAGCTGCTGCATTTTGAATGTACTGCAGCTGTTTTACAGCCTGTTTGGACAGACCTGTGAGCAGGCCATTGCAGTAGTCTAACCTACTGGAGACAAATGCATGGATAAGAATCTCCAAGTCTGCTTTAGACACTATGTTTTTGATCCTGACAATGTTTTTTAGAGGATAAAAAGCTGCTGATGTTACTGATTTGATGTGGCAATTAAAATTTAAGTCTGAGTCCAGTATTACCCCTAGATTTCTGACCTTGTTTGAAGGTTTTAGGGAGAGAGACTGTAGGTGACAGATGACGCTCTCTCTGTTTCTGGGGACCAAAGACAATCATTTCAGTTTTGTCCGCGTTTAGCTGAAGGAAGTTGTTTTGCATCCCGGCAGCCCGCAAAGAAGTGGCTTTAGGACAACTCTGTGAATGTCCTTGAGTGGCCCAGAGCCCAGACTTGAATCCAATTGAACTCTCTGGAGAGATCTGAAAATGGCTGTGCACCGACACTCCCCATCCAACTTGATGGAGCTTGAGAGGTCCTGCAAAGAGGAATGGGCAAAACTGCCCAAAGACAGGTGTGCCAAGCTTGTGGCAAGACTTGAGGCTGTAATTGCTGCCAAAGGTGCACCAACAAAGTATTAAGCAAAGGCTGTGAATACTTATGTACATGTGGTTTCTAAGTTTTTGAATTTTAAATTTTTTTGCAAGAGTCTCAAAAAATGTTTTTTCATGTAGTCATTATGGGGTGTTGTGTGTAGAATTGTAAGGAAAAAAAAATTAATTGAATCAATTTTGGAATAAGACTGTAACATAACAAAATGTGGAAAAAGTGAAGCGCTGTGAATACTTTTTTGACTCTATCAAGTTTTAGAATGCTGTAGGTATATGCGTCTCGGAAGCTAACAGTTAAGGTAAGCATGCTAATGTGAGTGAATGCTAGCATCCTTGGATTTTATCAATTTTACCAAGTTTTGTCCATCACACGTCAACAGTGCGTTAAAACTCATCATTAATCATGTCACGTCCAGTCAGAACAGTCGTCTTTCAGCTTTTCTAAGAATACAAAACCTGCGGCTTATATTCAAGTGCGGCTTATATGTGGACAAAATGAACTGTACTTTCTTTCAAATGTAGCTGGTGCGGTTTATATACAAGTGCACTCAATAGTCCAACAAGTACTGTAGCCATTGTTTTCATCTGCAGTTACTCCATCTTTACAGTGTAACACAGGGGTCTAAATAGTTATGCAATAATGTGTTTAAATGGAGAGACCAAACCAAGACTATTTTCCAACTACAGCCGTAACACCGACTCATTTCTCACACATTCACAGGGTGGCTGCGTAACTGCCTGATGTAAAAACTGCCATACAGTGTGATACAATAAAGAAACTAAGTCATAAGTAAGTCACGTTTATTTATATAGCACAATTCACAGACCGGTGTCATACAAAGCTTTATCGTTTTATTGATGTGATGGACATAACGGCGATGGATGGGGGGGGAAACCAAAAACATTCCCTTTACTTGTTTCTATCCAAGTCCAAGTCCAGAGTGTACAAGGCCGATCAGTGGTTATGTATAAAACTGTTATCATTGAAATTTCTTGTTTTTAAAAAAGGGACAGAAATGAGTTCAAAGCAGTGGATTTGTGGAAGACAGAATGAGGAAGAAGATATGCGTTAATTTTGTTTATCTGAGTGATTGTGTTGGATGGAGACATGAAATAATACTGACACACAGGAAATGGACAGATGCAGCAGATAAGACCTGTAATGGCTCCAGGATTCAAAACAACAAAACAACTCACATCCGAATAATGTAAAGAAATAGAAAAGTGTTTAGGCTAATGTTGGTCTCATGGACGTTACAGTGAACTGTGGCTTCAATTGTATATTATGTTTAATACGTACATGTATCAATAAAGCTCATTTTCAATCAGAAAAAATATGAAATAACAACATTTTTTCTCTTTACCCAAATATGAAGACATTTCCATCATAAGTTTCTTATAAATTTGTCCGAGCAGAAATAGATTAATTCATACATTCATCATTAATTACAGTACATATGATATTTATAACACACATACGGTACACCTAAATATACATACATGTACATGAGCTTTATTTAGCAGCATTCACCA